GAATGAATGAAGGAATCATGAATAAAATCTTTCTTTTCTATTTCTTTTTCTTCTCAAGGGAAATCTTGAAAAGATGTGCCGTACTCTTGAGGACCAACTTAGCGAACTGAAGACCAAGAATGATGAAAATATCCGTCAAATCAATGACTTGGGTGCACAGAAAGCACGTCTCCTGACAGAGAATGGTATGTATAAAACAGTATTAAACTACAGGGATTTTTAGTGCACAACTGAGAAGATGAACACAAACTAATGTTATGACTAACGTTGATATTTATCACACAAGGTGAGTTCGGCCGTCAAATTGAAGAGAAAGAAGCTCTTGTCTCCCAGCTGACCAGAGGCAAACAGGCCTTCACACAGCAGATTGAGGAGCTGAAGAGACAAATTGAAGAGGAAGTTAAGGTAAGAAAATTTTAAGTGTGTCTTGGTATTACTTAATGAGATCTAGACATTTTGTGCATTCAATTATATTTGTCATGCCAGGCCAAGAATGCTCTTGCCCATGGACTGCAATCCGCCCGCCATGACTGCGATCTGCTGAGGGAGCAGTTTGAGGAGGAGCAGGAGGCCAAGGCTGAGCTGCAGCGTGGAATGTCCAAGGCCAACAGTGAGGTGGCTCAGTGGAGAACTAAATATGAAACTGATGCTATCCAGCGCACTGAGGAGCTTGAGGAGGCCAAGTGAGTAGCTTTCAAACAATGAAATGACCAGAAGTGTAGCTTTACATTGTAGCTCAACTGACAATTGTATCACTGGTATCAATACTTGATTTTAAACATGTTTATTGAAACATTCTATTATTTTATTATTTTCTTTGCATTTGTTTAATAATGTTTTACACTTTACACTGCAGTGACACTTCCGTGTCTTTATCTTGATTCTTGAAAATATGTTATTATTGCATGTCATATATGCAAAAACGACTGGAAAACAGTGATTTCAAACTTAAGGAAATTGCACATTTTTTTAAATAGGAAAAAGCTGGCTCAGCGCCTTCAGGAGGCTGAGGAGCAGATTGAGGCTGTGAATTCCAAGTGTGCCTCTCTGGAGAAAACCAAACAGAGGCTCCAGAGTGAGGTGGAGGACCTCATGATTGATGTGGAGAGGGCTAATGGGCTGGCTGCTAACCTGGACAAGAAGCAGAGGAACTTTGACAAGGTAATAATGTTTATGTTGTGTGGCCAAATCATACAAACAATGAAAATGATTTGTTTGTATTCGCTACATAACTAAGTGAAATATATTACTTGTGTTATTCAGGTGTTGGCAGAGTGGAAGCAAAAGTATGAGGAGGGTCAGGCAGAGCTTGAAGGAGCTCAGAAGGAGGCTCGTTCTCTTAGCACTGAGCTGTTCAAGATGAAGAACTCATATGAGGAAGCTCTGGATCAGCTGGAGACCATGAAGCGTGAAAACAAGAACCTGCAGCGTGAGTTCTTATCTGATTGTGTTAGCAACTAGACTGTATTTAGTGTAATCAACACTTGTGTTAGAGTATTAATAATTTACATTTTAAGGCTTAACGATATTAAACTCATGTGTCTCTCTGCAGAGGAGATCTCAGATCTGACTGAACAGATTGGTGAGACTGGCAAGAGCATCCATGAGCTGGAGAAGGCCAAGAAGCAGGTGGAGACAGAGAAGGCTGAGATCCAGACAGCTCTTGAGGAGGCTGAGGTACATTTTTTCATCCAGGGAGAAAAATATATTGTTATAATGTAAAAGGTCTGAAGGCAGGGATGAATATTTTATTCTTTGATATCAATAGGGAACTCTGGAACACGAAGAGTCTAAGATCCTGCGTGTCCAGCTGGAGCTCAACCAGATTAAGGGTGAGGTGGACAGGAAGCTCGCAGAGAAAGATGAGGAGATGGAGCAGATCAAGAGGAACAGCCAGAGGGTGACTGACTCCATGCAGAGCACTCTGGATTCTGAGGTCAGGAGCAGGAATGATGCCTTGAGAATCAAGAAGAAGATGGAGGGAGACCTGAATGAGATGGAGATTCAGCTGAGCCATGCCAATCGCCAGGCTTCTGAGTCCCAGAAGCAGCTGAGGAATGTGCAGGCACAACTGAAGGTATTGCTGACACAGTGTTGTTCTACAACCTACAGAATAGTGAGTGGACCTACATTTTGGGGTTGATATGAATATTTTCCTCATATCTTTCAACTAGGATGCTCAACTGCACCTTGATGATGCTGTCAGAGCCCAGGATGACCTCAAGGAACAGGCTGCTATGGTGGACCGCAGAAACGGTCTCATGGTGGCTGAAATTGAGGAACTTAGAGCTGCTCTGGAACAGACAGAGAGAGGTCGCAAGATCGCTGAGCAGGAGCTGGTGGATGCCAGTGAGCGTGTTGGACTTCTGCACTCTCAGGTGATATTCATTTCTTCAATGATTTAAAAAAAAACAAATGTGTTCTTAAATAATGTGAAAATGAGGCTTTTGATGACTTATGTGACTCTTTTTTAACCTTTCAGAACACAAGCCTTATGAACACCAAGAAGAAGCTTGAGACTGACCTGGTCCAGATCCAGAGTGAAGTTGATGACACTATTCAGGAAGCAAGGAATGCAGAGGAGAAGGCAAAGAAGGCCATCACTGATGTAGGTTTAAATTTCATTTAGTTACAGTGCTACTCCAGCTAAACTGTGTTTTTACCATGACATTTATAATTCAAATTTGATATTTTCTAGGCTGCAATGATGGCTGAGGAGCTGAAGAAGGAGCAGGATACTAGCGCTCACCTGGAGAGGATGAAGAAGAACCTGGAGGTCGCTGTTAAGGACCTGCAGCACCGCCTGGATGAGGCTGAGAACCTGGCCATGAAGGGTGGCAAGAAGCAGCTCCAGAAACTCGAGTCTAGGGTAAGACAATTAAGTCAATATTTCATCAGTTCAACAAAAATAAGAAACATACAAAACACATGTATTCCAAATATCATATACATCTTATGGTTTTCTGAAGGTGCGTGAGCTTGAGACAGAGGTTGAGGGTGAGCAGAGACGTGGAGCAGATGCTGTTAAGGGTGTCCGCAAATACGAGAGGAGGGTGAAGGAGCTCACCTATCAGGTATAGCTGAAATCACATTTAATATATATAGTATGAATCAATCTAAGATCACTTATTACTTCTTATTAAAATGTTTAAATGATCAAATGAATATTTTCTATTACAGACTGAGGAGGACAAGAAGAACGTTTCCAGGCTGCAGGATCTGGTTGACAAGCTGCAGCTCAAGGTGAAGGCCTACAAGAGGCAGGCTGAGGAAGCGGTAAGGGCAAAACATTTACTTCAAACAATGAGAACTTACTAAGCTATACCATTGCTATGCATTGTTTGGCTGTGTTACTATGTTTACTTTATATTGTATTCCAGGAGGAGCAGGCCAATGTTCATCTGTCCAAGTGCAGGAAGGTCCAGCATGAGCTGGAGGAGGCTGAGGAGCGTGCTGACATCGCTGAGTCCCAGGTCAACAAGCTGAGAGCCAAGAGCCGTGACTCTGGCAAGGTAAATGTACAATTCGGTCTCATAAACAAATAAAAATTCAAACTTCATCTGGCAGCAGAGATTTACTGTCAGTTTAAGGTGAACAGATGAAACCCTTTCTTCTTCTTCTTTTTCTAGGGAAAAGAGGCAGCTGAGTAAACCACTCTTGCTGTTCGGCTTTAACTAATCATATAATATGATTTGAAATATGCTGGAAAAATAAACTTTTTTAGTTGATGCTCTTAAATTGCTGTCTGTGGGCTGTTTTTCTATCTTGCTGAGAAACAACATCTACAGTTTGTCTGTCCATCCTGAAAGAGGATCTATCCTCTGCTCTTCTTGAGGTTTCCAAAGTCTAAGGATAGAGTGTGATATTCTGTATTGAATGTAAAGACCCTTGAGGCAGATTCGTGATATTGGGCTATATAAATGAAACTGACTTCTGACTGTCTTGGTTTCTCAATTAGTATGAGTAATTTTATCAATCATTTAGAGCAATATAGACAATATTTGTGTGACTTAATTAGCATAAATCCATTCTACAAAGTTCCTAGTCAATATTTAACTATGGCCCAGAGATGTCTCCAGAGACAATTTTTGCCTTGCTGACAACACAATTGAACTCACAGTAGCTACTGATTCTTTTACCATTCATTTAAAATAACGAGGTAACTTAATCATATATTGGACTACTGTGTAGACGTATTACCTTGTCAGTTGAATAGCTGAATAGGGTGCTACTCTGGATGAAGCAAAAACAATTCTTGAGTTGCTGGAATAGGTACGAAAGGCAGCAGCAGTAATTGATGGTGACATAACTTTATGCTCTGACTACACTCAACACACACAAGTAAATAAAAGTCAAACTACTAACTCAACGTAGCTAGTTAGCTTTGCTATATTTTATGATATAACACTCTTTGTTGGCACAACTAATCGCAAATGCTTAAGTATGCTTACACTTGACACACACACACACACAGATAACAATATATATGATGCACATATAACTCTATGCTATTTAACTGCCAGATCGTTTGGATGGCTAAAGTAGCAAACATTTCTAAAGTTAAGCTACCGACTCAACCTAGCTAGCTAGCTAACTAAAATGAAAATAGAGAAAAAATTGCATATGCTAATACTAAAATAATCTTAATTGTAATAATAGTTAAAAATGGGTATGAACTATGAACAACATATGCTGACAATAATTAAATAAATATATTAGCACGTTTGACTTTTCTAGTTCGTTTCGGGTTTGACCATGTAAAACTGCGGCCTTACCTGCCAGTGGTCTAGTATCTGCAAACTGCCGCGCATGCGCCCTCAACTGGTGGCGTATCACTGATACCAGGGCGACATAATTAACGTTTATCATATTGTGATAATGACGTTGGAAAAGTAAAAAAAAAACTGTTTCTTTTATTTGCCAGTTAATTTATTTTTGTATAGGCCTATATAAGATAAACACTCATACATTACTCAAATAGATAGGTACAGTATGAAACTGATACAGCTTGCTGTTTAATGGCAGTCATCAGTGGTCTGAAATGATCAAGTGGTGTTTTTCTCCCTCTACTGAAGAATGATTAGTCCCATAAAGGCATACGGTGCAGATCAACTATAATGCTTTGGTTTCTCAATTTTTTGTGGCTTCATTGTCTAATAAGTGATCAAAAACACATCAACAGAAAAGTTTTCTGATACAAGTAAGTTATGGATTGCGGAATTATTATAGAATTCATCTTCTAAAACCACTCTTGTATATTTGTAATCTTATCTTTCATTACGAAATGAATTAGTATCCACCCAATTAAAATTTAAAATTTAAACAATTTAATTTAAATGATGATGTGATGAGAATAAATTGCTTTCACAAAAATAAACCCACAGGAGGCAGCAAAGGCCTGTCCTAAAATCCATGCAGATTACAATGGAGTCTCTTAAAGCAAAAACACCCTTAAACCTTAAACTAACAAAAACCTAAACATTAGGTACCAATGTGTTGAACAGTAGGGCATTCCTGAAAAAGAGAGCATTGCTTCCAACCATGATTAAATAAAAGAATATATTAAAAGTATATTTAAAATAGGTGACATAAGCTTGAAAATTGTGGCATGTTATGTTTTACTTTTTCACAATAAGGCCACTTATCCTAGGTAAGGTTTTATGTTGTCAAGATATTACAAGGGTCAAGCCCTGACCACTCCATTTCAACACCCGATTTAAATGAACTATTTGGTTTTTGTAACATATAAGCCATTTGCTAATTCACAGTAGTTGCTGAATTTACTGAACATTCACAGTTGTAATATAAAGATTTAATAATGTGGAGTGGATGGTTTTTAAAACAGGCACAAAAAGTGGCACAGCTTAAAGATAAATAATACCGTAGCACAAACAAGACATTTATTCACAGTGCAACACTCAAGTGATCATCAGAAGTGAGACTTGCACAGGTCAGATTTTTACAGCGCTTTCAATATGAGATTTGAAGCTAAAAAGGAAGATAGAAGAGATGTGAGTGAACCAATAGATTGAGTAACCAAAGGTTTCAGTTTAGTAGCCACTCCACTGTCCTGATTGGAGCAGGAAGACCTTTTTACCACTGTGGAGTCAAGAGGGAGAGGATGCATGTTTGGCCTCCAGTTACACATGTGCAGAACCCTAACTAGCCTGATGCACAAACTACTTCTAGTAAAATACAAGCAGGTACGGACATCCAAGAAGTGCAGGAGACGGCGTTTAAGAGCTGTAACTCAGATCAGCAGGCCATGCCACTTCGCTATTGGCTGGCGGACTGAGCGCATCATCAAGTTCCAGTGCTTGTCTTCTGAACTCTTCTCCTTCCCCAGAGTCAACTGTCCCATCAGATGTTTGGTTGATTTCCTAGTGATGCGAGTCTCATAGACAGAAACCATAATTTTACACTGCTCAAGAGGAAACTCCGGCAGGGAGAACATGAGCACCTCATTGAAGACAGTCACCAGGCAACGGGCCACAACAGAGGTCTTTTGGTACCTCAGCCTGCACTGATTACACTGGACGCTGATCCTGGCATACAGGGCTGTACAAAACAAGGAAGGCAAATTAGTAACTGTATGTTAGACTGTATGTGTGTGACCGCTGGTGGCTTTATTTTTGTGATGTTTGTTATTTACCTGCATCTGAGTATATCTCAGTGAGGACTGTTCTGACCTTTAGCAGACCGACCTCTAGCCTCTGAGAAGTGGGAAGAAACTTCAGTGACAGCAGCACCTCTCCAACAAGATCCTGTCAAGAAAGTGAGAGGGTAAACAGTTCAGGCGTACTTCTTAGTCGCTGTAATCAAGTCTAAAAATTTTGATAGTCTATTCATTGCTGAAATTGTTCATTAGTCAAAAACTCTTAACTATTCTCTGCTTTCAGCTCAGGACTTGCTTCTTTTCTTTTCTTTTCTTTTAAATAGTAATTTTCTTTTAACATTTCTTCAACTGAGGGGAGGTAGTGGGATTTACAGCAGAAGGAAGGAAGGAAACAATGTCCATTATTATTATTAAGAATAATAATAATATGTATACATAATCTCTTACTGCACCTTCTGGGGTATCTGCAGATCCTCTTGTAGCTCCAGAGGGTAGGAGATGTTGAGCTGCCCTAGAGGAACCCTCACTTCTCCCAACACTGTGTGTCTAGAGAATTTATCAAAGTCCCTCACCTGAAACACACACAGACACGCAAAAACACACACACACACACACACACACACACACACACACACACACACACACACACACACTCTCAATAATGAATCTTAGGGCACTCTGTGTAAGGTTCTTCATGACTTCTGTTAAGAGGAACAGACTGTCTCCAAGTCTTACTGATAAAATAATATTTAAGAGCTACTGAGAGTGAGAGATGTGTACTGCAGGACCTCCATCCTAAGGTTGATGTGATGAAGTTCATCTTTATCCTGTTGCAGAATACAGCTGAACTGATCTCCAAATAAAGGGTTACAGCTGCCTTTCACAACACGAGTCCGCCACTCCTGCAGCACTGTCCACAGAACAGGTGACATCTCTTCACCCTAAATGGATCACAGCAGTAATCCATAACATGTTCATACAGTACACAGACACTGCCTCGAGGACAGTATGACATATTTTTGAACAATTAAGATGTAGGAAAAAGAAGAAATGCAAAATATTGGGCCCTAAGGTCTGTTCAAGCTGCTTTAAGCGAAATCTTATGTAAAAATGCAGTTATTTTAATGGCCTACAATCAAAATGAGTCTGAAAAGCATAAAAAGAAAAACTATATATGGCTAGTACTTGATTTGATAATGTCACCTGTTGAGTGACATATGTGATATCTAATAAAGACAACATTACCTCCTTATCCTTACAGCTTTCCACTTCCACTCCCACTCCCACTGATCCTGCCCACATGAGTCGTAGCTTAACAAATGGCTGGAGGCTGCAGGTCTCGCTGGGCTCCAGAAGCCCCTCTACCTGCAAAACGGTGACCACCAGACGGGACTGCAGCTGGTCATAGTAGACAGAGAAACGTAGCGATCCATCCACCTGGTACAAGAGCACGTGTTAGGGAATACACCAAGCACCTAATGCTAATGTTGATATCGCTTGAAAATGTGCATTTTCTTTCAGCGATCAATCGTGTCACTATCATAATATGAATAGATTTCAGCTAAAAAAGATAAGAAGCCAGAAAATTGAAGACTAAAATCAGTCTGTTTGTTGGAATATCTTTGAATATCTACAAATATCCAAGGTCCCTAAGAGATAATTCTAGTCTGATGGAAATTGTACAGTACAACTTGTGTAACGCTAAAAACGACATAAATCTCCCTTACAACATAGTGAGTAGGAGATAGGTCTCACAATTTGTAATTACCAATTAGCATGCAGATAAACTAATGTATTATACCTATTCCATCCTCATTGGGTAAAATAAACTTGTAAGGAAGGCTTAAGTGGTTTTTAAAGATAAGAAGTGCATGATTATACAGTAAGGTCTGTTACTTTTTTAATGTTGGCTTGCTGTCCAAAGTCTCCTTCTGCCTGGCTGGATCCTGAGGAGGGAAGCGAGGCCTGAGACAGGCAACGACTCAGCCTGTGGACCTCAGTGCTGACATCCTCCACCTGGAAAGTATTAACACAAACACACCAAATCTATCAGTGCTGGACTGATTTGCACCAAACTTGGTCGAGGGATGTGGCATGGGCCAGGGAAGAACCCGCGAATGTTTGGTACCGATTTGGTTAAATGGATGGATCCAGGAATTTTGCAAGACTTTCATCAGTTTCTCAGTTAAAGATGTGTGGATCTTGATGTAAAACCTCAGACATATTTATGGTGTTGAGATCTGTTAGATCTTCTTGGCCTTGGCGGAGGGATGCGCTCTACTGAGTGCCATTGTAGTTAACAACTACAGCACCTCCAGCTTTTATTTGACTTGTGAAAAGGCTCAACTCTCCTTTGTTTGAACAAGTGTGCTCATTAATCTTTATGTACATAGACTGTGTTGCGTATTTGGAGCATCTAAATTCTTCGCAGACTACAAGGTCCGAACAAAATAACATCAACACCTATCAATATAATGCAATATTTTACAATCAACATAAAATTAAATTGCATTAATACTGTATCAAGAAGATGCTCATGGTGAAAGCTGAACCTTGTGGTGTTGCTTTAAAATGATCCCTAAATGTACCTCTAACCCCCTTTTTTAACCGTACCATGACAGCAGTGCATTCATAGTCCCGTAAATCCAACATTTACCCTTTCCAATGTTTTAAGCTTAATAAGACAGACACATTAGTCAAATAGTAGGAAGGAAACAGTAGTACCTGACACATCTCACAGCTATACTTATAGTCCTGTTAAATGCAACATTGTCAGGATAGGAAAGTACACTAAAGATCTCCTTCAGTCTATAGGCAATAACATAGCAAATAATTGCTTACATAAAACATGTATAAACTGTCCTATAACAAACAAAATGTATAATCCTAACTGATTGTATATGCCAGCACCACATAACTCAATACCAAAGCAGCCATACATGTAAAGAGATTAGGGCCAACATATTGCATTTCAACTGCTGACATTTGAATTTCTCATGCTCATGTTGAGCTGCTGAATTATTAAATTACAAAGTGTAATTTATAAGTCACATCTGAATGCACTCATAACCTTTACTTTGACACACTGCCTGTATGTGTGTCAAAGTAAAGGTTATGAGTGCAGGGACTGTCCCCTGAGCATTAACTAAAAAGCAGAAGCTTCCTTCAAGTTTTCCAACAGTGGCATTGCTCCAGTTTTCACTTAACCAGACAGAACAACATGTATGGATTTGTTAAGAAAATCTGGTCAAGGCTAGTACTATATATTATGGGTGCTCCTTTGAACTCTAGCCACTTGATATATAAAAATGCCATAAGAAAATAATATTAAAATGTTTGTCTATCCACACCACTCAAACCTGGGCTCACTAGAACTTACCTTAGTACTTGGAGCTCCTGAGTACTTTCCTGTTGCTGTTAACTTTTCGTCTGAGTACAGCTGATCCCTGTTCACTGGAGTAAAAATCAGATAAGTTTACATTTGGTTATTACTTTATTGGTCAGACAACAAGCATCATCAACCCGATTGTACTATTTGGCAGTGTAAACTAATCCTTACTCACCTGTATCTTGCCGGGTGTATGTGGTATGTGTCTGGGTGCAGCATCTGAAGGCCTGCCAGGCCAAGATGCCCAGGGCCAGCAGGAGGAGAGTGACAGAGATGCCCAGGATGCAGTACTTGACCGTGTCTGAGAACGGCATCTTGAGTTCTCCAGCAGCAGAAAGCGGCCTCAGAGGAACTGGATAGTCCATCAGAGTGACCATGACTCTCTGCCTCCATGTGGTCTGCAATAAAGGAATGCATGTCAGGACCTTAGGGCTTCTGGGTGGCTTTATGGACCCTATAGCAGCCATAGAGGAGTTTCAACCATCAAACAGCAACAATATCAGCAATACACGATTTGTGATTTCTGCTTTTTGGTCACAGCAGAGCAGCATTAGCTTGCAGTTTAACTTTGGCATGAGGGCTGCACTTGACAACTAGAAGTCATAGGGCTCTTAGCTCTGATCCATGTTAAGACTGCCCTATCAGGACAAATGTAAAAAAAATAAATAGTGACAGTTAACCTGGCTGAGTAAGTCTGTAACACAAGAATATGCATGCTCATATCAACTGTCACGTGAAAGGCACAAAAGAGGAAAAGACTCTGGACTCACTGCTGTATGAAGTTTACACCTGTATGCACTGTATCCAGCTTCAGAAACTGACCCTAACTGGCCTGAGATTCCCAAACACATACATTTGAAATGATCAGTTGATTAGTTATGTTAGTCAATCAACAGCCGCATGAATCTACAAAAGGTACGATTTGATTCTGTTTCATATCACAAACAGAATAATGAGTTTTCTACTGCGGTTGTGACACAACCAATCATTTAAGGATTTCAACTTGGGCACTAGGAAGCTGACATGTTTTTCACAATAGTAGTAGTAATACAAGTACGTACAAACACATTCTGTTTGGTAAAAAAAAAACAGCAAGACACAAAACAGTCAAAGCAGAGCAAGATTACTGCCAAAATACTAATAGGGCTTTTTTTCACTGAAGACTTTTCAGACTTTATGCATCAAAATGAACACACTGTAAAGACAGGATCACTACTTGAGTTGTTCCTTGGGTATAGAAAATTGGTACAACTGTGGCTTGGTTATAAATGCATGATTATCAGTAACGGTTAAGTCAAATAGCACTTGTTCCACTAGCTCCAAACCGAAGATTAATGAATGGTAAAGAAAGACATCTTTTTCATTAGTGTGCAGACCCTCTTTCCACCTTTCACCCGAATTATGAACTAATATATAAATGACATTAAAGATAGATAAACATTTACCTGTAGCAAGAATAATTCAGCTCATCTTTCTCCTCAGGGGTGCATACATTTTCCTCTGCTATAAATCCATGCTGTGAGCTCTTAAAATTTCACACACACAAAAGAACTTGTCTGCAAGAGAAAATTCAAAATAGCCCCTTATCATCCAACTGTTCTCCTGTTTTGGACACTCTACACACACTCACTCACTCACTCACTCTCTCCTCTCTCTACACACACCCAGCATATGACTTTCTGCACACCATCCTGGACAAACTGGTTTGATTAGATTTGAATGACATTTAAGGGAGCTTCACATGACCCGATCTCCGGCTCTCTTCCTCTAAAATATTCCTCTGTAGACTTGCATACCAAGTGGTCAGGTCAGACAACTTCCACAGAAGTGGAAGAAAAGGGGATTAAAATTATTTTGTGTGTGTGTGTGTGTGTGTGCTGGTGATAAGCCATGCCTTTGCCACCAGGTAGTATGAGGAACTGTTGCTGTCTTGCACTGAATCCTGCCAACTGTTATATTTCTCTGCTACATACCACAGTTGACATTTCCATAGCACTTTTAAGTAATAAATTCATGCAATAAGTTTAGTTCATTAGCTGTTAAATGTACTTTGCATAGACGTTTGATACATTTATCATGTAACCGTAAGCAAAGCAGCTGTGGGTACAGGTGTTATAAAACTTACAATGATAGGACACACTCAATTCTCTTTCACCTGTAACAACTACAGTGACACTCAAGACAGCATCACGACTTTAAATGGCATTTGTCCTAAAAGCTTTCCATTGTCATATTTATCTTGCAGAGTCGTCAGCTATTGTTTTGCAGACCTGCCTGCTGACAGGGAGGCACAATGGGAGAGAGGAAATAAACCTAAGAATGTGCTTTCAACACTAACGGCACAATGTCAAGATGTCAAATCATCTTGCTGAAAGGCAGTTATCAAATTGCCCGAGGCAAACTTGTCACTTCAAGAACTAGGGGGAAAACATTTTGAAAAAAACTTCCTGGTTTCCCTGTTAGTCAAAGTTCACCCTAAAACCGAAGAGGAATCATGTCCATATAATAATCAAATCATTATTTGTATGACATGTTTTAAAACAAAAAAGTCAACAGTGTACTTCACAGGGTCAGAAATAAGAACACAGGGCAGCCTGTTAACTAACCAGGTAGAGTGCATACCACAAACAAGGCAGAGTGCTTCCTGCAGCAGCCCAGGTTTGAATCCAGCCCAGGCCGTTTTCTGCATGTCATCCCCTCTCTCCCCTGCATTTCCTATTGCTCTCTACTCTTTAACTAATATAGCCTCTTAAATACTAAAGACGCTGATAATGTAGCTAACTTGCAAACTAAGTTCTGTAAACAGATTTTAAACAATAATGTGGCAGCAAACAATTTTTATGCAAAGATATAGTGGAGTAATGCGTCCAGAGCAGATAACGAAGTCACATGCCCTCTGTATGTAGACTGAGTTTCTCTGCTCTTAGGTTTGATATCCGGTCTGGCAGCGCGTGCGCTGGTAGTACATGTATGTGTGCATGTAAGTGCACGTGAGTCCCTCCTGTTAAACTGTTGGCAGTATGCACCTTTACACACAGGGACCACCCAGAGGTGAGATGATACAGCACAACAGCCTTCACGTGAAAGTGACCACGTTTTGTCAAAAAAAGGCCAAATAAAGACATAAGACCAAAGCACAGTTGGACACAGGTGACTAGGCTCAATTCCAATGGCCTGTCAAAACATCAATAAAGTTTTTAAAGTTTTCAACCAGCTCCCTCAGTATCTGAAGCAGCTCCAGTCAGTGTCTTTTCTGCGACCGCGGTCTCAGTGGATAAGTCCAGGGCTGATAATTTCCTTCTCAGTCCTACCTGTATGGCTTTACCAAGATGGAGAACCCAACAAGGTGCTGAAGGACTCAATCTTGAGGAACTGCGAAAGGACTACACCTTGACTCGGCGCTGGCCTTTCTTCTCCTCCATGCGTAAGTAACTTGGTGGCTACATAATGTTACGTCTGTTTTCATTAGTGACCGGCTGCAAAAGGGCATGACAACTTGCTGTTTCCAACATTAATCCAATATTATAGGAATATGTTCGGCTAATGTTGCTATGGCTAACTGTCTGACTGAGAAGGGGAAGGGAGGGGGAGGAGGAGGGGTGATAGCCGTGTAGAGGCCGGAGGTGTGGCCGACGAAGCGTTTGCCTCGTTACCCAGCTGTCCTGCTAGCATGCGTTTCACCTCAATGCTAATGGTTGTGGCTGCGTTTTTTTTTTTTTTGTTGGCTCTCGTGTGCTTCTTGTTGTGTGCTTTGTGGCCGCTTTCACTGGGTTTTGAAACACCTTACTGACCGGGACAGTGAACGGTTGTGGCCAAATGGAGGCCGGAGATTTGGCCGACAAATCATTTGTTTTCCCCCCGAGATGCTGCCGGTCTGGTGCGTCTAGACCTAAACCATTGTAGTGCCAAGTCCAAGAGACCAAGCAAATCTATCCTGGATAAAAAGTCAATTTTGCTAGCAACTTTGCTTCTGGCATGCAACTACAATGCCACTGACAGGAAAATTGCTGGAAACAACATTTTAATGAGGAAAACATATTATACCTTTTTAAACATGGCAATTTTGTGGCCATAACACTTCAGCTTGGTAATGTAAATCAGGTCAAGGAAAAATAATTTTTATTTACATTTGAACACAGCTTAGATATAGCATACAATATACAGTGTACATTATGTAGTCTAAAAGGCAAGCTACACAGCACACCCCACCCATCTACTTGTGTCATCTCTTTACAACTTATTGAACATTATTGCTCTCCTATAATTAAGTTGCATTTAGGTGAAATATATGAGTTTGTCTGGCAGATAGAGCTAAATTAAGAAATAACACTGTGCACTCTGAGCCATTGATACCTTCATCTAGTCAAAGATGATATCACTGACTAAATAGCCATAAGTTAATAGTGCTAATAATCATCCCACTCATCACTGTGATGATCAGGATCACCAGGGCAACACCTCTCCTGTAAAGTTCAGAAAAGACCCATGATCCTTTTCAGTCAGTCCTCCAATCACAGACAATATGGAAGAAATGCTCTCCTCTGGACTCAATGGAGCCTAGAAAGAGACGGATAAACACAAAACAATATTTTATTCAGACACATGTCTGTGAAATTATAATACATTAATCTGTATACATCACCCAGGGCACTTGTGAAAAAGCTCTTTATTGTGTGCAATGTAACGGACAATTTTCACTTCGCATCATGGTGTAACAGCTGATACATTTTGGTCAAATTAGTTCTTGAGAAATTTTTCCTCACTAATGTAAATTAAAAAAATATTTATAAAAGGTCAATTTTCTCGGTTTTAGCTATGCTTCAATCACAGCTTGTGCTCTTTAGGGGCATCCCAGAAAGACCACAATAGAGTTAGTCACCTTACCTCAGACCCCCCCATGTCAGTGCGGACCCAGCCTGGGTGTATAGCCATACAGAGAATCCCATCAGGCTCCATGTCTACAGCCATACAGCGAGTCACCATGTTTAGGGCACTCTGAGAATCCAAGCAAAACAACTTACCATGCAGCATAATGCAAAACAGTTTAACCCAATATCACAGCAGGTGATCAGCAGGTGGTTTAGCTGATATTTTCTGTAATTTTTCCTAAAATCCATCATTGCAAAGTGATTATTCTCAGGAGAGCCTGTAACTTTTTAATTTTTTTATCTTCTTTTACCAAGTCACAAATGCAGTACACAACCATCTGTAACAGCAGGATGCAGGTTTGCTGCTTGCTGTTGAACTGGCCAGGACATGGCCTCCAGAAGCACTTGGCTTAGTGCTGACAGCCACAGTGACATCTCTGGCAGCTAACTTGGGAACAGCTTTACCGGGCTTCTCTTTTGCATCCTCTTTGGGGATATTAGCATGGCTTAGGTCGTCTTCCCAGGATCCAATGGTGACATTTTATTAATTGGCTCAATCGATCAAGCACACATTTTCATTCCATTGTGACAATACCTTGGACGTCCTGTAGGGGTACCATTTGAAGTTGTTTGCTCTCTCCCCCCAGTTGAGTTCCACAGAGCCCAGCAGGGAGGTCACGTTAATAACTGCTGCCCTCTGGATGCCCATGCTCCCTGAGCCACCTGCTTGTCCCCTGGACGCAGCTTGTTTTAGCAGAGGCAGGAAAGCCTGGCAGTGGTGGAAAAAATAATACATTATAGTTGAGACTGAAATCAAACTACAAGGTTTCCATGAGATGGAAGTCACAATCAGACTGTTGATTTTACATCAGAGCTTTAAAAGTCAGCTAAATTTGGTTACAAATACCATGGTGTGTCAATCATTGGAGAAATTGTTATATTTTTAATCAATAATTGAATAATAATATTGACATTATACACATATACCACATTGAAATAAGGACAACCCAGGAAATGTATACAGTTAGAACAGTAAGTTATTAGTTTAACCCTGCCAGGGTAAAACACATCACACTGTATGTGGCAAGATATGGTCAATGTTGCCCTCTAGTGGCAGAATTTTCACCTTAAGAGAGAATTGGCCTGAATTCTCCATACAGGTTTCTCTAAAAATGAATGCATTCACATTTCAGGTCACAATGCAGTTTAGCAATCATGCCTTAAGATTTCAATGATTGCTGAAGTGAGACAAACTTCACGATTATTATTATCTTCTAGCAGATGAAGCATCTTTATCAATACTATTAAATGTTCAGTGTTCAATGTTAATGTCAATGGCAAGGTTGTCATGTTCTTATGTACATCATACCATCAGGCTTTTAGGATACTACTGCATATACTACGTCAGAAAGGGTATTAATCTCTTTGTTAGTTATACTTTGTTTTGACATTCACAATAAGACAATAATCAATTGTAAAAACCTAAAAAAAACATCCCCCTTAAACAAGGGGACAAAATAAATGGACCTTCAAGAAGACCCACAGTGTTCAGTTCTCTAGGGAACTAGTCTTTTCCACAGCAGGAAAACTTGAAAACACATTTATGAATTAGGGCTACAATTAACAATTATTTTCTTAATAGATTAATCTGCCTATTATTTTCTTGTATTTCCTTGGTTCAAGGTGACATCTTTAAATTGCTTTAAATTTAAACAGTCCAATAGCCAGAAATAATTAGTGTATTATTAAATAGGAGAACTACAGGCAGCAAATCCTCTCATATGAGAAGCTGGAAACATCAACTCAACTAATCAATTTATGTGACTCATGTATTAAATTGTTATGTATAAGCTTTAAAGTTCCTGCTTATAGCAAGTGGTGTTGTGGAAGGTTCCTGTGTGTGTGTGTGTGTGTGTGTGATTCATTGTTCATTTACCTCCACTTGTACCCAGTTATTATAGAAGAGCTTTGAGCTGCAGTGTGGCCTTGTTGACTGTTCTTCAATTGAAGCAAATGGTGTGTCAGCAAGCATCTGCCCTGCTGACATGCTCTTGATCAGAGCCTGAATTTCTACCAGCTCAGGGGGCTGCTCTGTAGTCCATACCTTACTCTGAGGCCAACTGAAACCAGACTTTTAATTAATATTTATGAAATGCAGTCTGCTCTGGGCTAAAGAGTTTTTGTTACTTCTGTCCATCAAGGTCATCTTGTGTTTTTTAGTTTGCAGCATTCAGGAAATGAGCTACGCATGGGTCCTGCTCCTGGTGATTAAAGGAAACAGAAGCGTGATTTCTTCGCTTTCTTTTTCCTCACAATCTGGCAAAGTGAGTTTTGAAGACCTTCAAAACAAACCCGTTTTTGTCACTATGGAGTCGATCCACTATATCCAAGTCCACAGGAAGCACAAAATCGTAAACATTACCTTGGTGATCATTAGAGGAGCCACAGCATTGGTGTGGAAGTTTTCTATCATCTTCTCTGCAGTAACAGTATGAAAGTCAGCCACCACATTGATCCCTGCATTGTTTATTAGGCAGTTCAGACCCTCCTCTTGTACCAGTTGGCCCACCTCTTCTACACATTTCTCTATGCTCTCCTGGCTCACCACATCTGGTAAAGAGACAAATGAGCAGTGCAAATCAGCAAAAACAAACATATTATAAATAAAATGGAAGAAAATACAAAATGAAATTATTATAGGGAAAATAAATATCCAAGCAGGTGATGCTTTTTTTAATATATATATTTCCAATATGTACAGGATGTATACTATTTCTATATTTTGTTTTCATTTTATATTATTTTTCATATTTCTACACAAACAAAATATTTCTCGTAGTTTTATATTTTTGAAACATTATTTGTTTATACACAGCAACCATTGTTGCCCTATATCTTACCCAAAGTAACTATATGGATGTTGGGATGTTTGTCTGCCAGTTCCTGAAGTTTCTGTAGGACAAGAACACATCGCGTCATCATTTTTCATTCACAAATATCCAGTTAGGGAATAATGGCGACATCTGGGGGTGGCTGCTATCATTTAATATTATTCCATTAATCGACGCACATTCATTATCTATATCGACTCAGCATGGTGCTGACCTAGGTTGAAAGCACTACGGCATGGCTACAGGATAGTTATCTTTGAGGGGGGTTTACCTGTGCACTCGCGGGGGTTCTGGTCGTGGCTATAATCTTGGCCGGTGAGAAACCTCCCCTCGCCAGACTGTCGACGATCTGCAGCCCGAGCCCCCGGTTGGCTCCTGTTACCAGCAGAGAGCCGCAGTTTTTGAAATTCATGGCACCACTCATCGTTAACGTTGCCTGTGACTAACGATAGAGTGAGCGGCCTGGTGGATGAGACTCAAACCTCGTGACAGGGCTTAGCTAAATCCGCTCTTGTCGCGCGAGTACTCCGCTAGGTGGGAGGATTGCTCCACTTTACCAAACCCACACCAGAGCACTTACAAGGGGGAGATAAGTCATCAGAGTATAGCGTCGACGACAGAGGACGGAAACCGTTGGGAAACTGAAATGCAGCTGTCAAAATGTCAGTTTCTAACAATAAAGTTTTAGGAATTTAGCTTAAACCTCCACACAGAATAGCGGAAATGGTCAGACTTTATTAACGGGGAGAAACAATGGGATGTCCTCGACGTTTGTAGCCCATCATATGAGACCGAGGGTTACATTTCCCACAATCCAATGCGCACACCGCTGAATTTGCACCCATCTTCGATTTAGACTCTTTGGTTAGAGTCATTCACAGGTCCCATTCACAGCTGAGGAATTGCTAAGAATTAAAAAAAAAAAAAAAAAAAAAAAGGTTTATTAAATTTGGTTAAAGTCAAGCAAATTACAATTGAATTCAAGGTAAATTATGAAACAACAACTAGATTATGAAACAATATTCACATAAAAAACAAAACAGCAAAAGTACGAAAATAATCAAAAAAAGAATGCAGTTTTATAAAACAAAAAAGCAAATCGAAATTTGATTACATCTTAGCTGAATGAGGCATTTCAGGAAAAATGCAAGACATCAAATTACCACATAAAGCTATTAATTAAAATAGGATTTATGTGGGGTTACCTACACTGTAGAAACTTGTGCTTATGCCATTCACAATATTATACTATAAGAAACAGCCACTATGTCAGTGACACAGGGAGTACTTCACTAAGTTTCTTTTTACAGTATAGCCACCTTCACTCATTGTTATATAAATACAACATTAGTTTAGAAATGCTGATTGTTGTCTTTGACATATGACAGTGCTTGTTAAAGGAGTAAAATCAGTAGATGTTATTTTCTAATGGTTTGTATAATGTGTTTGCTTCCATTTTTATCTTTCAATTACTTGACAAAATGAAGGGGACGCTATCCAAGAAGCAAAAGTTGACAGAATTAAAAGATTTCAATTTTCCTTTTTCTTTCCTTTTTGATATTTATGATTAGATAGTCTGGCTTTCATGAATGCATGAATTTAGTGAAGAAGGGTGTGACCTACTGTTTTTTCATTGCGTTGGTTTTCAAATATTGAAGCTACAGTAAGATGGAGGTGCAGAAATAAGGGTGACAGCACAGCTGATGGAGCTTATGCAGTCACAGCACGCAGATGGTTTCCCTGGCAGCTTCCTGAGTCCAGATTCTCTTAAAGCTCCTGGTGCTTGGGAGCAGCAGATATCCCTGGTGTACTCCAGGTCAGTTAATTTGGAATTTGGCTTCTATGCCTCCATTTACAGACACATTACTTTGGCACAGCGCATGCAGTGCAAATGATGAGTTGGTAGTGGTACAATGTGTGGTGCAGAGCTGTGCTCCTGAAGCTGGAGGTTGTTAACTGGTTTGCCCAAGCATACACAGTAGTGAGGTATTGTCTCTACAGAGAATTCAACAATCAGTTAATGGCGTAGATTGCAGTTGGTCTGCCCAGTAATCAGTGTGGACTGCATAGAGGCAGTGAACATGCAGAACATGGTGTTTCCATTTTGCCATTTCAGAAACAGAAAAACCTTTGATCTGCGCGGGGAAATAGCTTTGTTACAATTACTCAACACTCAGTAAAGAGGAATTCAAAAAGGATAAAAGTTAAGCAAAAACTACTATGAAATAGTAATAATTATAAATACACAGTAAGTGAATTGTAAAATTTACAAATGAACAAAAAGTTAAAAGAAATGCGCTAATAGTAATTTCACAGCAAATTAACTATATCAGTAAATTTTATATTTTCACAGTGAATATGTAAAGGCTAACTTGAATGAAAAGTGTAATGTGTGTCAACAGTAAATCAACAGTAGCCTTTCAGCAGAGTACTGATGGAGATGTGCATAAAGTGGAGAAATTGTATAACTGCATGGCCACAGGAAGGAAGGACCTCCTGTGGCGTTCAGTGGAGCACTTAGTCATTCTGAGTTTCTGGCTGAATGTGCTCCCGTGGCTAACCAGAACTGTAGTAGAGGGTAGGAGATGTAGTCTATGATGGAGAAGAGTTTTGACAACATCCCCCTCTCCGAGAATTCATGCAGAGGGTCCAACTCTACCCCGAGGACTGAGCCAGCCGTCTGACTCATAAAACATCCACAGCATGGTGCCACAGGCATTGAAGAAGCGAAGCCTGCAGGCAAAAGAGCTGACTCTGGCCCTTCCTGTAGAGAGCTGCAGAGTTCTGGTGCAGTCCAGTTTGCTGTCCATGTCGGCACCTAGGTATTTATATTGTACCGTCTCCACCATTTTTCCCCTGGTGGAAAGAGGAGTAGCAGGAATCCTGGATCTCCTGAAGTCAACCACTGCTGCTACTTTAAACATTGGCAACTCAACTAAATAACATATTAAATGATATGCAGTCCATGACCATCAGAGTTTATTTCACACATATATTACATTAAATAGCCATAATAAAGCTAATATAGCCATAGAGCTATAGTGACTCTGACAGGTCAAATGGTGCTCAAAATAAAAATGAGTGAACTCCAAATATTGACAAATAAAAAAATTAAGGACCACCCTCAGATTCCTCAACTCAAGATATTAATTGAGCTGAGTTACAGTTACTGTTTCAGCTACATTGTACAGAGTGGAAGATGAGAGGGAAGATGGCAGAGTGACATTTTTAGAAAAAGGGTGTGAACTCTAGATGAGATGTGATACGGCATGATATTTATGTTCTCTTTTCCAGTTAGGTGTAAAGCTCTTACTGTTTTTTTTATGATGCACTCATAGTGTGCAGTCACTATTCTCTAAAATTCATTACATTATTGTACATCGTGATTAACAGGCATAGTGAACTTTTATGATTTAATGTGCAATTTAATTGACTATATAGTTTTCTGGTGGCAGTCTGACATTTCGTTTTGTGTGTCATCCTTTCTGCTTGAATGACAACTAAGGTCAAGCAGAATATGCAAATTGAAGATACATTATATTACACACTTTCTGTGGCTATATAATGTTCAACAAAAATGAAAGACAGTTTGAGTCACTCCAGGAGGTTTTTCTGCATGTATAAATGGCATTATTGATCATTTTATAGTACTTCCTTTCGGTGTATCCCTTAAGGATCCACTTACATATGTTCTTCCGGAATTATCCAATATTGGCTTAGTGGTAAAAAATAAACATTAACGGGCCATTGGGACTCTGTTAAGAGCCCTGTGAAAGAGTAATGCATGATAAAGATCATTGGAAAAAAAGGTATTAATTTCTGCAACTAATTCAATGTTTTGTATTTCCAATACAGTGATCTCACAGAAAACATGAGTGCCCTGGCTTATGTGGGCAGCCTAATAAGACACCACTGTCATTGTCTGTCAACATTAAGTTTATGTCTTGTTTTAATCAGTTTTACAACCCTGGCATGAAAAAGGCTCATAATTGAGAATGGCTGTAAATTCATATTTAAAACAGGAGACGTAGCAGTTTTTAAAGGAATGGTTTGCCATTTTGGGAAATACTCTCATTCAATTTCTTGCTGAGAGTTTGAAGAGAAGATCGACATTATTCTTATCTGTTTGTTAAAGTGGCTATAATCTATCTATACTCAGCGTTATGGAGCTTTGCAGTGCGTTTCATCTCATTGTTTACCAAACAGCACCAAACATCAGACAGACACAGTCAGCAATTAGCTGGTGAACAAGGTGTGCAAGCTAAAGAGACGTTCTCCTTCAGGAGTTTGTAGAGGCAAAAAACAGTTTAAAAAGAGTGAATATTGGACTTTAACCATGTGGCCAGGAATGTGACTCCATATGAATTATATTAATCTATATCTATATTAAACAAAAAAGATATGTGTCAGCTTGTGGGTTTTAGAAGTGCTGGTGGGCTGCTTTTTTTTAATTCACATGTTGTAACAGGGTCATGCTAATGTGACACGCCAGATGGTTTCTTACACAGAACCAAGGTGGAAGGTTTGGAAACTGTTTGGCCATATTTACTTACATACTCGGCCAATGATTGGATGAACCATCTGTCTATCATATATCTTAGTAGGAGAGCACTGAAGAGGAAACACAACAGTACAACAAACTGTAGCCTGAGCTTTGAAAGCTAGTTAGCATGTTGGTAGATGATTCTTGTTGTCTTTTCAGAGGAAAATGTACACATTGAAGGTGCTCTTATGAATACAGAAACAGTTTGAATTCCCACTTGCAAGAAATCCAGCTGCTCTTGCAAGGTTAGGGCCACGCTACCTGTTTCTTCCTGTATTCAGTGATTATGCTAAGTGAAGCTAACTTTCTCCTGACTGTAGCTTCATATTTATCATACAGATATGAAAATAGTATTGTCTTCCTTGTGTAATTCTCATTAAAAAAGTGTCAAAAATGTCAAACATATTTCTTTACATAGTTTTTGTCTGACACAACCATTAAAAAGAAAATTTGTGAGTTTCAGTGAATCATGTCAGCTTAACACAGAACTATATACTTATTTGTGATGAAGCAAGCAATGAGCTGGAAGAGACAATTCCCCTGGTGACACGTAGACATCGTTTGGCTAAGCTGCTTTTTATTATAATTTGAATCCCTCACACCAAACTATCTAGCATTTGGTGTGATTATTTTTTCCTGAGAAATCTGCTGTTTATAAGCAGTGTTGAATTGTTATAGATTGCTCAAATATTTTTTCAGTAGCAGTCAATCTTTCTACAGTGTTTGCTTTTGTGTTAAAGTGCTACAGCTAAGAACAGTTTCAGTACGTGTGTCTGTATTAACATGCATCTGTTTGTGATTGTGTGCATGTTCAGTGCTGTGACGTAGCTACTATATGTTTGTGTTCAGTGTGTGCATGTGCCCAGGTGTGTGGGATACACATGAATCTAGGTTGGAACATCCATTTTCAATAACTTATTTAATTCACACGAGCTATATTTAAAGAGATCATAAATAAAAAACCAGGGTTCCTTTCATCAATGAATAAATCATGGCAGTTATCCTCTTATATTCATATTCTCTTCTATCTTTCTCCCCTGTGCACAGTGTAGTTGGCTGCCGCAAGCCTTTATCACATTGGTTTATCACAGTGGGCTGGATGTATGACTATAGTGCACAACAGAAACATCAGAACAGGACAAAGAAATAGCGAAAATTTGTGAAAAACAAATGAAATTTCCCCAATCATATCAGCTGCTGAAGCAGAATCCCCGTCACTTCATGGTATGTCTTCGTCCCAGATGCAGTGAGAAACTCAGGAGGAAATTAACTTTTGAATTGGTAATTAACTCAACATTGGTTTGTCAAGTAGGTATTGTCCAAGGTGAATAATTAACCTTCCATCTCAATAATGCAAATTCTAAAATGAAAGTCATTCTCCTTTACCACAGTTAAAGGGGCTACATCCTATTTTATGCCAATGCTGCATAGTCAATATTGGCATTAACAGTTGTTTACTTACCAGTCTAGAAGAAATAATTTTGATGCTTAAGAGTTTAACATCAAACTGTCTCCAACAACATCAATGATAACTCTTATTTTGCTTCTAGTTCTATCACTGCTAACCAGCTGCCCCCTGACTTGTCACTTTCCGATAGCGAGTAACTGGAGCGTCTAGTCTGCCCTGACGAAGTAGTGCTGCTCAGAGGGTGTATTATAACCTCTTGTATTTTAAATGCAGTGATGGCTGTAGCTCTTGGCAAGCAATCACCTGCTCCTGGCAAAACCATGTTTTTGGAATTCCTTGTTCTTGAATGTGTTGTATTTTTTACATTTATCTGCATGATTTTCCATCTTGTTTTTGCAAGTTCAGTGTTTTGTGCCCAGTTTCAAGAAATACATGATCACATGAAGTAAGCTGAAGCATGCTTCTTGACAACCCCTGTTTTAATGGAGGACATTCACCAACACTAGCAACTGCAAATGAAGAAGAGTGCAGACTTGCCACTTTTTTACACTAATGGTCCTTCATATGTCTACAGTCATGCTGGTGGCTCAGTGAGGCTGTATTTAAAGACAGCGATGTGTTGAACTGAATGCCAATGTCAGCATTCACATTGACAACACTAACATGCGGATGTTTTTCAGCTATAGCCTACCATTTTCCCTTCATCCTGTAGGTGAACTTGAATTTAATGGCAGCCCATCCTATAGTTAACATTTCACTCAAAACTTGAAATATCGACCTGCTGACGGCAATGGACAAAAGGTCAGGGGATGACATGACATGTCCTTTGGGGGGAAATAACTGTCTGTACAAAATGTTATGGCAACCCATATAAAAGATTTGGAGATATTTCAGTCTGGACCAAAGTGGTGGACCCACTGAGTGAGTGACCACCATCCCTAGAGTCATGTTATGGCATGAGTGTGGCGAAAACACATAAAACACACATGTGAAAGGAAAAGGATGCAACATAATATCCAGTTCTCATCTTGATTTTTTTTTTTTGCCTATAGAATAAAACAGTAAACCATACCATACACTAGAAAACAATTGGCAGCATTAGACAGACAACATAAATATATCTTAGTTTACCATATTTATCAAATAGGTATAATTATTATTTGAGTGTAGTTTTAGTTTGTCATTTTCCTTTTTTGCTCACATTTATAGCTAAAGAACAAAGTTCATCCTTCATCTGTTTGAGAACAGTGTGATTTTAAATGTAAAAGCTGGTCCCAGATGGTAGCAGAAGGCAGTGCTTATCAAGACAGCATTCAGGGACAGTAGATGCTTCTTGCCTTCTGTGTGTGTGCTTTTAGTTTAAACTTCCTGCAGTGCCATGCGGGTTAAAACACACTGTTGACGGTCTTCTTGAGAAGACTGGAGTAGGTCAGAATTTTTGAGTGATCTGTAGAACCAAGAAAGTGTCTTAAGAAGTAAGTGTAGCTTTCCCTGCTGATACAGAACATGTGGAGATGGTTTCTTTTTTAAATAGTTGGAGAGACTTGTCAAGCAGGGCACTGAGGTATGTACAGTTGTCCAATCTTTTAACGACTTCCTCTTTGGCAAAATGTTTAATTAGATGCGCCTCCTCTCCAAAGTCTGTCAGTGCCTCCTTCTTTTAATGATGTGGAGTTGTAAGAAATTATTTCCACCGATGCACCCACTCCCTTAAGCATTTTTAAAAAGTTCTCTCCCATGTTTGAAAGTCTGACGACAACAGCTGAGTCATCTGTATACTTCCCAACCAAATAGTAATTAAAGATCTCACACTGGTTAAAAGAGTAAGATAGCAGAGCACGTATTTTCAACTGGGAGAAATGTGCTGCTGTTAGCTTTTGTCAGGGATGCGGGGACCCACCTGTAGGAGGGTGGAGACTTTATTACAGAGCAGCTGCAGGTGTGGGAGGACAGGCTCGTTCCACCAGCCCCACTAACCACTCTGCCTTCATCACCCATTCAGTCCTTCCCTGCCAGCCGCCGCTTCCCCTAATTCACCCAGAATCCTCATCCCCCTTCAACCTTTTCTTCCTGAGATCAAGTCATAAACTTCCTCCTGTGTATTTAAGCTCCGAGTCCTTGTGCTGACTTTACGACTCCTATCTACTTGTGCTACAGTTACACATCATCTTCACATTTAACATTTTCCTGTATTTTACCATGTGGCCACTGCGTTCAGCAAAGGTTACGCAGTTTCACTCTAAACAATATTATTAAATAGGACTTATTATCAGCTAAATACTTATTGCTACTTCAATGATACACACTTTCCTCGTGCAGCTGCATGACACATAAAGATTTAAATGCTTCTGATTAATTGATGTGGGTTTGCACCAGCTCCACAGTGAGATGGGAGCTTGTGTGCTTGCTGTATTATTCAGATTGCTTTAAAAGCATGCCAACTCAATTACAGGGGTTTTACTAGAAATACCATGTCCTGTCCTACTATCTTAGGAGTAACATCTCAGCTCAGGAGCAGGGAAACCCTCCCACTCTGGATTCGGCCTGAAAAGGTGAAGGCTTCTGGTATACTGCTGGAATTCAACCAAAATCTTTTGCTTGTCAGTTTAGATGATTGTTAAGGTAAAGTTTTGTAGTTATATTTTATTGCAGGCTTTATGTAATAGACTCTGCATTTATGTTTCTATTGACTTTCAAAGCTTCTGAGATACCACAACATCATCCTTTTGGGTTACGTCAAATTAGATCATCTCCCTTTCTGATTTACTTTGGTCATTTATGCGTCACAAAAATCAGGCCTCAGTTTATTCTAAAGGTTTTTCCGTATCTCATTTTTAAGGTATTAAACTGATCGTTCTTATTTGGACCTATTTAAACTTGAAAGTCTCATCTCATTGTACAACTTGTGGACCGTTTGCTCTGTTGATTAAATGTCCTGCCTAAGGAACAATTGAATGACAGGAGATAAACTGAAAGACGACAACAAATTAATTTTTAATTTATGTCAACTAGGACTTTAGGCTATGCTTTGTGTTGTGCAGTTGTTCAGGGTTTCTTCAGCAATTTAGAGAGTTGTTTTGTTATCCTGACTCATTTCATTCACACAGAGGGAAAAAACGCAGGCAACACCTTATTGAGCTGACTAAGCAATATGACTCTACTTGTTTCTTTAGTCATTTTCATTACGCCCTCGAGAGAAAGGCATCGTGCCGCAAATAAATATGACTCAGTGCTACAGAGAAACAGCCATTATTTCTATCACGTTGATTACAATACACACTAAGCAACAAATTGGCAGGGAAAGCATAAGCAGTTGTAGTTGCTGGTGTTGAGCTGCCCAACTCTGACAACCAACATTAGCTATGTCCAATTTTAGTGTCTCTATAAGCTTACTTTGCTATAGCTATTGTATACCATGTTGCTCTTGTGACTGCATCTATCATTAAACCTCTTTTATGCTTATGCTGGTCTACTGAAGGCAAGGGAGCAGTTTCAAGCTGGGAGACCTCAATAAAATAGTGAAGTTGGTGTGCTGAAGGTCAGCACACCAGAGGGTAATGAAGAAATGTTACAGGCTGTAAGGCAAAGGTCCAGGAGGTACTCGTTTTTGTCAAGGCATAACCCACCGCTGGCGGTTAAGTCATTAACAAAATCACATTCATGAAATTTCAAAACTGATTTTATCTTAAGACATTTTATTAATATTTTCAATTGACAGTATCAGCCAAAAACAAACATTGAAAATGAAAATCATATCATGGCAATGGTACAGAAGAGTTTTCATGGAACAAGGGGCTTCAGGACAAACAGAAGTGGAAAAATCAATACCAGTTCAATCACAGACTATAAATTAGATAAATTCAACTACAGCTCACTGCAGTTTTGTTTTGACTATATATTGTTTCTAATGCAAAGTTGATAGAGCGAGGGAATGGAGGGGTCACTGAAGCTGGGGTCAAGGTTCAGGGGTTATCAATAGGTCAAAAGGTCGTTTCTGTGGAATAATGGGGTTTGGGCTTTTGGTCAGGAGTTGCAAGTCAGGCACAGCATGGGCGGCAGGGACGGGGATGAGTTTAGAAATGTTAAGACATGGGGAAGAATTGAGAGGGTGAAAATCTACAGGTTTCAGATAGGTCAGGGTCAGGGTTGAGAGGTCAGGTTGCAGAAAATAAGGGTTTAAGGAAGAAGAGCTGTTGTATGCTGACAGTGCACTTATCATTCATTCTGATGTTGTAACTTTAGAGCAGGTTGGGGAAATGATGGGGGAGGTGGGAGTGTCCGGCACATGCACCTGGTATATGTTCCCAGGCAGCTGGAAGTGGGAGTGGTCTCAGGAGAGCAGGGCGGGGCAGGCAGAGAAAATGATGATATGCAACAAGAGAGGAGGAAGAGTCACACAATTGGCTCCCTGCAGAGGACAATTTCCAGCTCGCCACGGTAGAGCTTCCCTCCATCAGACAGGCTCATGATGCTTTGCTTGTAGCCCGTCAGGTTCTTCACGTCCACCTCCTGAACAAGAGACAGGGAGGTAACATGGAGTCAGTGAAGCTGAGGAGGTCAACTAGGAATCTGAATTGAAGTAGAAATACTAATATTTTATTTGAATCAAAATCAAAGATAAGCTAGATAACTCTGTTAATTAGAGAGAGCATAGAGTTAAAAACCTTTGAGAAAGTGAAGAACAGATGATTGTTTGATGTTTTCGGCTAGAAAAGCTAATAATGATGACTGCAGTTTAATACTGCTGGCAAATTCTTTTGTTTTGAGTTGTTTCGACTAGTCTTTTCATGGTTGTAAGGTTTGGACAAACACTTAAAAGTACCTTATTTTGGTGGTTTCTCACCAGGAAGTATTGTGTTTTCTCTTGATGCCTGGCAAACATGGTGGGTACATTTCCTTCCTCATAAAATGTTCTAAAACCTGTTTTCAACCATGTTAGCTGGCACTCTTCTTCACATCTTTCTTTTTTTAAGTGCAGTTTTTTAGTGCAATATCACCACTATCTGTCAATGTGTGGAATAAGATGAAAATAGCAGAAGGGGTTTGTATTCAATACAAATACAAAAACATGTGTAATCAAAACACTGTGGTGCTACTAGAAGCAAAACTCCACTGTGTACATTTGTTGTGTGACTTGACCCAAGTATTCATGCTGGAGAACAGCTGATCTGACATTCTGGGTGGTTACGCTTAAATCACAGAGCTGAGAACTACAACTCGGTGTGGTACATAATATAAAAATAGAGCCCTTGAGTATCTTAAAGAAATGCTAATGACCACCAGAATAGAGCTGGTGTTGCTGACTTGTGCTCTCTAAGGTTTAATACCAACATCAGAATTTATTCCTTATTATCTATTGTAGCTTATTATGATATCATTTTTATGCAATTCTTTGAAAATTTATTGATTTGATGTCGTACATCTCTATCTTTACAAGGACAACAATGAATATATGTTAAACTTATTGTGTTGTCATTATGACATTTTTGTAGTTATGTATGATTTAATGTCCTGCTCTTAAACTAAAAAGGAGCACAAGTGATGGAAGGAGAGAATTGGTGTCAGGTGCCAGAAGTCACAATCCATCGCTACGCTCACAAAAAGCTGGTGTGCGCAATATGCCACAGGACCACAGTATGTGCTGGTATGCAAAATCTTTACCAAAGCCCTGAACTCACCTTCTTGTTTGTCTGGTAAAGGTCTCGTAGCAGAGCATCCAACTCCTGCTCATCAATGTAGCCATTACCGTCCTGAAAGAAGTCAACAGAAAACATCATTATTTTCATCTCCAAACAGACAGTAATGACTGGAAGGAAAGACGAGATTACCTCAACAATATGTAGCTCCCTATTATGCCTGTGTTTTGTTTTTATCAAGAAGTCCTATACTGCTATTTTTCTAAACAGTGTGTTCCAATTATCTTTGGATTCTGAGCTTCCTGTTTGTTTTTTTTTGCACTGCTCTGCTGCTCATCTTCATTCAATATTTGATGGCAGCCATCAAGAATGCACCAGCCAAATGGCCATTCATGAATGATGATTTTAAAAAAGACTTCCCATTCACAGCTCTGTAAAGGGGGTTAGCTGTAAAGTCAATATGGTGCCACTTTGTTAATTGATGAGTTATGTCTCAGAGTAGTGTTTACAATTTGGTGCCAGAAAATAAGTCCAAACTGTTGGAAATTTTCCTTTTGGCAAGTGGCACAAAATCATGTTCTGTTCATCTAGGCTCGGTTTCAAGATGACTTCAGAGCTGAGTGGCTTGCCAGTCTTATTTTTTGACATTAGGAGATGCTCTTTGATGTTTACAAAGCTAGACTGAAGTGTCCCAGATCTTGGGAATAAAGTGTGAATTCTGTTTATTTTCCCTTTAAGGATGAAAGACCCGGGACTCTGCAGAGTTATGGGAAAGCAGAGCAACATCAGGTATCAGCCACTCCGTCTTAAGTTGCGTGCAGTCTTGCATTTCAGACATTTTCCTCAAGTCCTCAAACAGTTTGGGGCGGTGGCACTGTTAGCCATATTAGTGTTCAGCTGACCGGCCACACTTTGCCCTACCCAAGATCTCTCAGCACCAGTGACAGCAGCTGCCTGTGTTTCAGCTGCAGGGCTGAGCTCATAACAAAATGATGAAACTAATTACACACATAAATGGTAGTGGTCCATTCGCAGAGAGTGTCTACATGAATGGACTGCAGTGGCTCATCCATAATTAAATATTCAACCCTGTCCTGTGCAAGTGAGCAAGAGAGACTGCAAGCGTTCAGTCAAACCCGAGACTTGAACATGCACGCAAACCCTCACTGCAGTGAAGGACTGCTCCATTCTGACTTCTCTGACTTTTAATGCCAAAGTTGGTAAAGTGGCAAGAATTCAAAATAACACAAAAAATATTTTAGCAAATGTTTGTTATTGTCCTTGGAAATAGAAATCTGACTTTAGTGTATGACAGTACGACAGTGTACTAAGATTTTTTTGTCGATGTTTTGTAGAGCTTTTGCAGCCATGGTACTACTACTGTTTTCTGAATATATTATTGCTAGAACCAGTTAAAGAATATTCAATTTCCAATTCTTAAGATTTTAAAGAATTTTTATCTTCTATTACTGATCAGTAATAACATTAGCAGCTGCAAAAAAATTCTTCCTGTCCCTACTCGGGTACATAAAACGGACCTCTCAACTCCTCCCATACTCCAAATACTCTCCTTCCCCCAGACCAAATATTGATGTTGTGTCTCAGTTCAACAGATATTCTACAGTGTTCACTGTGTTACAGTGAAAAACAACATAGTGCTTTATCTACTGCACAGTTTTACTCTAATGGGAAACCATTGGGGCAAACAATGTAGTAATTAGAACCCCTGTTAACAAGTTCAGATTTTAAAACTTCACAAATACAGATGAAGCACGTCTTTCCACATAAAGCAATTACAGTATCCATGCTGGATTTTAGTATTGCATATTTAAAAGTTTTTCCACTGTGAACATAAAGATGGTCTATTCTGTATACAAAAGACAAAGTATTTCAATTAAAATGTTGTATGCCATTACCTTTAAAATATGGAATATAGGAAGCATTTAACAGATGAGAACGGAGCTAAAAACTGAGCTAACTAGAGCACTGATGCTTTGCCACATCAAGGTCAATTGTTTACTGCCTCAAAAATTGAATCCATCGTCTTATAGCTAACTAGATTATGACTGCTCCTTCAGGCTCACAAAAACTCACATTGTCATAAACAAGGAAAATGATTTACCAGATGTACATTGTGTGTCCCCCCCTCCGCCCCTTTACTGTGCTCTATTCCCCTCTGTCTTGTATCGCCCTCCCTGTAGTCCCTCCCCAACAATCTACTGCTAATGTGGAAAATGTGGCCATTAACTGAACCACACAGCTCAACCACCCTGAGCTGTTTACAAAGGACCTAGGTGTGCCAAGCCTAACTCATATCCCTCGGCAGATGGGGGGGGGGGGCAAGCAATTTGCATATTTATGATTTTGACCAAAGGGAAACTCCAAAACAAACAGCGCTGAGTCATCCAGACAACTTGAAATTAAGCTTTTTCAAGCTCTGTTGCATTTCTATTCTTATTTTACAGCATGAATGTCGCTACATTTTATTTATTAGATTTCAGATACGGTGAGTGTTAGACAGATCCCATTTCAAGCTAGCTTCTGTTCCACTACACTTGGCTACATTAAATTAGTATATACAGTTATTTCATTAGCATTTATAACAACAGCCCCGGTGGTGTTTTTAATGGTGCCTCTGTGGCTAACACTCATGGGACTTCTAGTTGTTGCTAACAAAACAACTTTTTGATAACTGTTTCTAAATAAATATGATGAGGTGTTCAAATGTAACTGTCCAGCATTGTAGTAGGTACAAATTTATGACGGATGAAAGAAACTCTATGCTGCAATACAATGAAGACAGGAAGCTAGTGAAACAGAAGTGGGGCCACGTGCATGAAAAGCAGTCAGCAACTGTTATTTATTACCACCTTGAATAAAATGTCACCTACCTTGTCATAGTATGTGAAGATGGCATTGAACTGCTCCGTGGTCAACTTGACGCCCTGTGAAAACAAGAGTGGAGTCTCACTATCAGGCTACAAACTGTCATAAGTCAAAGTCACAGGAAGACAAAAAGTTTATCATAAATATTCCAAAGTAGATGCTACTCCATATTCATTATTTCAGTGACAAACGAGCTGTCTTTTTAAATAATGCCTTCATTTGATAGTGATGGTAGAGCCAGACAGGAAACATGGGGAAAGAGAGCAGGGGAATGAAATGCAGCAAACTTTCTGCCTGGGAGTTGAACCACTGCTCAGGGCATTTACGCCCATGTGGTATGCACCTTAGCCATTCAGCTATTCAGGTCGCCCCTAAATGAGCTATTTTGTGTACCGTGTTTGTTCCATACCTGGAATTTGAGTAAGAAATTCTCCTGAACAGGGAGAAGCCTGAGGGAGAGAAGGACTTCATTAGCAGACACAATAGCTGTTAAATTATTCACATCCGCCAGCAGGCAATGTGTTTCAACATTTATTTAGTGAACAAGAAGCAAGTAAAATTGCACATTACCTCGCCATCTCTGACAGGCCCAACTTCCCATCTCCATTCAGATCAAACATCCTGAGCTACAAAGTGGAAGCAGAACAGAGATAGGAAGGGACAGAGGAGAGACACTGAAAGCAAAGTTTTTATAGGTATATGCTGTCAAGAAGATAGAAAATATGGTCCCATAAATTTCATTGACTTGCGAAATAAAATGTACAACCATAAAGTTCCTACTTTTTATTATTCATCCACATTCTATTTTCATAGTTGTAGATGTTTAACAGCGAAGTGACTGTCCATAAAACAGACATTTCAGCCTACTGTATGCATCTGAGCTTTTACAGAATAGTAATCTAAAAAGTTCTTTTTTTAGGTGAGAGTTACTTTAGAGAGAAAGAATACAAAAGACATGACTTCTTAAAAGCATTACATTCTTCCAAAGAAACATAATGTTAATGGATGTATATATATATATATATATATCCTCTTTTATTTATTACCAGTGACTTCTGAGTGATATTATACTACTTGCAATAACCAAAGCGAGAAAACACAGCTGTGTTATTTATCATAAGACTCATGGATTTATTTAAAAAACATTTATTTTCAAAATTTTAAAAGAGTAATCGGCACCTCTTAGCCAGACTCTGGAGAGGGCATTATGCTTGTTATTGTTGGCATAATAATACGTTATTCTATCTTTAATTTTGGCCATGCTACCCAATAGGTGTTGCACCCAGTCGAACGTTGCCCATCATCCTTGTTATTTGTTACTGTTATATTTGTTGTAAGTGATTCGGTTCATGTTTCATAGATCTCCAACACAGAGATCTCCTGCAGCTAATGCTAAACCAACAACAGCAGAAATATACATATAAAACTTTCTGTTCTCCTTTTAATTATTGTGTGAAGTTCATCTGAGAGTATGTTGAGGAAACTGCTTCAGCAAATCAGGTCAGGTCAGCTCTGGGGCTTCCAGGAAGAAGCAGATGTGAGCACATCTGGGCTGTAAACACAACCTGCAGGACATGAAGGGTTATGACCACTCAGCCGCACAGTGCTGCTGCCACCAACACGATAGGCCTCTGAGGTCCTCCAGGACAGATGGACACTAGACATACACCTTTCATAATGACAATACGGCTCACATTGTTTCTATGGGATTCTTTCCCCCAGATTATGCATTTTAAAACACTAGCAGTTTAGCTATTTATGGTTTACTTTGAGAGACGTGGATGCATAATCACTCCACTTTCCTCCTCACTTTATCTTATTAAAACCACTTTCTGAGCTGAGACCGGGACCTTGTTTACTACACAGCGCTTTGCAGAGGAGAACTAAACAAATTTTGGATAGTGTATTTTTTTGTGGAAATCAATAAAAAATAAAAATGAGTCTTATGTTCCTGAGTTTAGTCAAAGAGAATAGTAGTAACTTCTAATAACTATAAGCAGCTCAATTATACTGTGTGTAGGAAGTGTGGGCTTCTCCAGTGTGTCTGAGTGTGTATGAGTCCATGTGTGAGTCTTACTATGGTCTGTGTGTACTCCTGCAGCTTCTGGTCATCGTAGTGTCTGTTAGCCTTCTCCAGCAGGTCTGACAGAAAGCCCTGGGGACAGAGACGCGTAGATAAAAAAAAAAAAAGAAGAAAAGAGAAAGAACAGGCAGATGTGTGGCATGTGCAGGTCATTCAGTTTTCACCACTGAAGAGAAAAATCACAACTATGCAAGAGCTTTATTTAATGTTTGGGGAGTCAACGCAACCATGAGAGGTCAAAGGTTTAACAGACGTGTTCATGAGTTCTTTGATAATTATCTGAAATCATGCAAAATGGCAATCTTTTGCAAACCTAAAATACTGTAAAATCTGCCACAATCACAGGGTGAAGAATTACTCACATCCTTTAACTAAAGTTACCAGGTTTTTATTGGCACTAAGTAAAAGTAGTGACAGTAACATGTACTCAAGAATCCAAAGTACAAGTAATAGTAGTAGATAAGAGTGCAATTTAGTGTCTTCTGAATATTTGGAAAGCTTAAAATAATGAAAAATAGATGAAAAACAAAAGGAATGAGGAAAAGAGGAGCGTAAAAAAAAAGTTAATAAGGATGGAAGATCAAAAGAAGGATGGAGGGACTGAAAAATGATGATAGCAGTAGTATTTTATGTGTTTATTCTGTGATTTGTATGTGAAATCCTACTTAGTAAAAAGTAACTAAAGTCATTAGGTGCAGTAAAAGTGGTGCAGTAAATGTATACAGTCTCTTAAAGTGAAGGTGGTCAAGCAGCATTATCTCAAATGTACTCTTACATCACTTGTACAGTATTTGAATCCATCTACTATGATATTTTCCATGACTGCTCACAGTCATATGGTCGGACATATGTCTGCTGCCTCTGATCTCATCTGCATTTTCCCAAAGCTTTTACGAGGCACACCTGAGTAACTCCTCTGCACCTGGTCAACTGGAAGAAATGTGATCCCAGAACAGCCCAAGCAGCATAATGTGTACATGAGGCATAATCACTGACCCCATTAACGCTCATCTCCCCAGTGTGGAGCTTTTTCCTTTTATATAATTTGACACAATATTTCCAAGAGATGATGAAGTGATAAGATTTGTGTAATCTGTAAAGCTGTTTGCATCTGAATTCTCACCTGAAAAACACATTCATGGTCAATGGGGAATTTCCTGTGGGGCAGCCACTTAACTCCTCTGTCAAAGCTGTTGCCTGGCTTTACCCAGTGATATGCTCTTATGCATCAAACGAAAGTGAAGCAATACATTGTAAGTGGAAGTTTTAAGCTAATATGTCCCTATGCTGACCCACAGCATACTGGGGCATATTCACTATGTCAGTCTTTTGTCTTTACTTAGCAGTGTCTTCATTTTTACAGTTTTTTTGAGGCCATTAAAATAATAGTTTAACATTTCTGGAAAAATGTTTATTTGCTTTTTTGCCAAGGTTTTGATAAGAAGATGCTAAAAATCAGGCTAGGTTAGTTAGCAGGCTGTTAGCTTAGCTTATTTTAGTTTGGCTGTTTTTAGTTTAGCCAAACTTCATGCAAAGTGAAACTGATTTGCTTAGCTGACTTTAGCTTCATATCTAATTTGCAGACATGAGAGTGGCATCAATCTATTCATCAAATTTTTGTCAAGGAAGCAAATGAGTGTTTAAACACACGGATTCAGAATTAGTCTGATAATGAGGTAGTTACTGATCATAACACAAAACTAGTGGATTGTTTTCGCCTCTTTCTTCTTTTTATTGGTGCAAAACAACATAAGTAGGAGGTTACTTAACATAAATGCATAAAAGTGCATAAAAGTTAAGAAAAGAAGACTATTACAGTGGTTTATATGTAAATAAAATGTCAATGATTACAGGAGAAGACAGGGAACATTGTTTAAGTAGCTACTTAAGTGGGTACTTTGTTACTACTGTTATAATTATAGTTTAGGGAGGGTGCTCTGTAAGTGAGCGTGTGTGTTGATGTGAAAATGAATGTGCGTGGGGGGAAAAAAGAAAACAAAATAAGAATAAGTATGACTAAGTAAGCAGATTAATAAATAATGGGTATTTGTAATATTTGCAAATTAGGTACTACAGGTTATCCTAGCCTTAGGATGAATATGACATTTTACATAAAAGCCATTTCCATTAATAAAGTTTGATGTTAATGTGTTGATGAGAATGATATATATTTACGACATACCTTCAATTCATTTGCTTCAATATAGCCACTGCGATCTGTATCATATCGCCGCCATGCCTAAAAGAAATCAACAAAACAAAAGAAACAGTGGATTGAATTTCCTCTGCACAAAGACACGGTTCTCCAGAGTGATTTACATTTCTTCCCCCACACATAAATCCTCTCTGATCGAACCCCGGCTTGCTCTTTAACTGCGCTAAGAGTTTGATTTTTCTCTGGTGCAGAGCAGAAGTCGTTCCAGAGGGAACGACTACAGAACCCTTGGACCATCACTGTAATCACACAGTTTTCAATACAATCCCATTCGCCCACATACAGAGCGGAGGGCAACGACAGAGTGAGAGAGAAACGAGGGAGAGAAAGTCATTTTAATGAATGTTTTAATCTAGCAGCTGTCCCTGTCCAAAGAAGGGCTCCTTATCAAAGATGGATTGCCTTCCCCCTTTCTCCTTCTCCTCTCCTCCTACCCCTCTGCTCCTCCTCTCCTCCTCTGGGCTCTGCAGAGAGGAGCTACAGTGGTGTTATCCATTATATATGACTCTGAAAATAGAAGGTTCTGCTTCCTCATTCTAACCCTTTAAAAAACCTCTCTGCCCACCTCCTCCTCCCTGCACCCTTCAGCAAAGACGGATTAATCCTCCTCTCTTGTTTTATGTTCTCAAACTCTGGCTCTCAACTTCCCATCGACATTTCATTTACGCCCTCTCTGTTCCTGCTTTCTCTCATTTGCCCTTTTGTATCCTTCTCTCTTTCCACACCTTCTCTTTCATTCACCCTCCATCTCTCATTTCATTATTCCCTCTCAGTTTGACACAGGAGACAAGGACTCTTTCCTACATGTAATTGGTTTCTAATTGGCTCCATCCTTTCATTGTGGCACATCTAACATGAAATCTGCCATTTTCTTATCTTCTGAGGGTATTTTGTGGAATAAATGAATTTCCTTTTTCTGGTACCATCTTGCTCTGCAGAGGGCTTTTTGTTACTCTGACTTTCATTCATTATTCAAAATTCACAGCACTACGCCACACTTTGAAATTTTCATATATGGTTTCTTAAACAACATGGCTGTTATATACAGAGTGAAATGGACATGCTCATTTTCCTAGAGGTGCTGCTAGTTACTAGTACTGTGTGGTTAATTTTGTTATAGTTACGTGTTAGCTAAACTGATTTAGTCGCTTTGCTAGCCATTGCTGTCCTGTTGTTAGCGCATTTGAGACAGATGTTTTAAACAGATGTTAAAAGATGTACACCACATGAAAATACTGTTACATCGTTTCTGGTCCTGACTAGCCTCAGCAAAGCAGGTTCAAAAGTACAGTTAAGTGCTTGGGGCAAGTTAAAATTTCACGTGGTCACATTAGTGCAAGCGCTTGATAATCCCTGGGCACCGGCTCAGTTCGTCATCAGCGCATGTACGCGCAAAATGAGGAGAGAGAGGAAGAGGCTGGTGCAGAGGGAGAGCCAACGAGAAGTCCCAACGCAGACACAATGGATGATGGGAGTGCAGGCTACAGGCAGGGAGAGACCGACTGAGCCAGTGAAGAAGAAAGTACTACTTTCAACCAAAATGGCTAACACAGTACCTGCGGTTGCGGTGCGAAGATGCTATGCTGTGTGGTACTGTGATCACGGCACTGCTCGAAGTAAAAGAGGAACTCCTGTTCACATGTGCTGGTGCGACCAACTGAGAAAGTTGTGAAATTATTCTGGAGCCCTGAAGTTTCAGACATTTTTCTATAAAGTTACTGCAGATTCTGAGAGATTTAGTCACTCAGTGTATAGTACTGTGTGTCATATGAATGACTTTCTAACACAACTGGTGGTGACAAAGTTTTAAATTTTCTAATTCTACCAACGGTGATTTTAGGCCAAAACATGCTTCTTTACGTAAACAAATGTGTATGGGAGTCATTTGAAAACACTGATGTAGCTGTTTCTTTTATACTCTATACAGATTATACTGATTATATTACTTATGAAGATTATATCATTTGTTTTTCCATTTGAAATTTGATTCAATGATTTTCATGCTTAATGCTCATGTCTGCACTGTGTGTTGAGATTTGTGTGTCAGCTCCTCTGCCAATCTCATAACAGCCATAACTGCAGCAGACATTCACATGCATCTTTAGAGAACGATTTACAGCCTAAGTAATTAACACTAATCAGTTGCTGAGCATAAAACACTGAGGCTAACGTTGCACATAAAATCAGCTTGAGTCTTCTCAAGCTTTGCAGCAGACACAAATGTCAGGAGTGTTTACTGTCTAACAGTAACCAAAACATTCAATGAAATCAGTCCCATTACAAACCACTTACTCCTCCTTTTAACTTCCCTGAGGGGATTTATCTCTCAACTGCCTTTTTTTTTCTCTTCACTCCCTTGTCACATATCAGCCGTTATTTGTGCTCAGGCAGTTCTCCAGTCAATGTTCATGATAGACCAGGTGTGCTCGCTCGATTTGTAATCAGGCAGCTGTGTGCAATGGAGGCAGAGACTCTGTGGTTTTCATCCCAGACTACTCCAGGTTATTGTTCGAACTATCAAGAGGTAACTAATCCGTGAAATTAGCTAGTAGGTAGAAATGAAAAGAAACATGCATGCTGTCAGCCCTCCATGGTTGACTGACTCTGGTCTATAATGTACGGTTAGTTAAACTAAGACTGTCCTGGCTAATGGCACTTCATAGTGAACAAGAAGCTTTTGTACAAAAAGTCCAAAGGTACTGCAGAGACAGAGTTCGTTAAGAGGGGGCAGGAGCTTTGCATTAAAAAAATATACCGGTCCATCCACACACACTCAGAAACACACTCTTACCGCCATAAACTCGGCGCTGGAGCTGACAAACTGTCTGAAGCACAACAAGAAGTTCTCTTCAGTTGGGAGAATCTGGGCCAGCTGGAGAGAGAAATGACAGGAAAATGGGAGTGGTGAGAACACAAGATGGTGGAGTTGAGATGCTGGGAGAGAAGAAATGGAGACGGGGGAGCTTTTTGTCTGCAAAGCTTGAAATGGGCAACTCAGACATAAATAATAGAGAGACATAACCTCAGAGGCAAGGCTATGCCTAAATTGGAATTATTTTTTTTAGAAATCATGTTTTTTTGGATGCTCAGACAAAGCCTTTACATTGGATTTTCACCACAATAGTCGAACCTAAAACTCATTTGCAGGTTTTCTAGGCTGGATTATTGCTATCGCAGAAGCCCTCCGCCTCGCATCTCTTTCACATCTCACTCCAAAAATGGTAAAATCGAGGGAAAGTAATATCCCAAACTGATGCTCCACAGAGACTATCATAAAGACCGCATTTATGCAGTCGATCGGAGTATTGACCAGGCCTGTGAAGCCTGACTTGAAATGTTTTCTTTTGGCTCTGTGAATTATCTCACATTTTTCATTGATAACTTTTGTTGCCCTCCATAGAGAGCAGAGACCCGTTCTTCAGTTTTGTCTTTGGGTCTGAGCCACATTTCAGTGAAATTAACAAAGTGAATGCACATCAAAAAAATCCTCTTCAAGGCAAAGTATAAGTAGAACAACTCCAGTGAATGACTTAATTGAGTATATATGTATGTGTGTATGTATGTGTATGTGTATGTATATATGGCGCACTTGTTGTCTGAGTGGTTGAATAAAAAATATAGCAGATTTCAGGTAAACACTCAGAGAAACCAAAACCTGCAAGGCTGGGCGATGGGTCCAGGTGGGCGGGGCTTGGGGCATAGCTGAGAGCGGTGACTGCTTTGTTGTGACATCACAAAGTTACAGAAGTCCTGACGGCTTGTTTTAATGCTCAGTTTCTGAATACAGGCTGTGTGTATTTCTCTGTGGACTGAGCGCGTTGATACTTTCACAGTATTAATATAGAACCTAGACCTGCTCTATAATCAAAGAAGACACAGAAATCTCACTTTATACAATATGGGACCTTTACATTTCGAAAGAGTCTAGTTGTTTCCCCAATTCTGGTCTTTATGCTAAGCTAACCTTGCTGGCTGCTGACTGTGGCAAAATATATGAGAGTGGTATCTTGTGGTATCTTATCCAAAGTCTTACCTCTGACATCTCAATTCGTCCATCTTTGTTCTTGTCGAACTTCTGCATGAACTCCTTCATCTTTTCTCTGAATGTGGGGTTTGAAGGATCCTAGAACAGATTGGTACTCAATATGAGTGAAACCTGAGAGGTCAGTATATCTATCTGTGTTTAATGTATAGTCCCTGGACTTACCACCCCTGCTCCTCTTCGGGCCATCTCCAGCTCCCTGAAGAAGTTCTCCAGCTCCTTCCCCTCGATGTAGCCATTACCTGGAAGACGGACAGACTGTAACGCCATACAATAGGTACCACAAAGGGCTTTTGTCAGTATTGCTGACACGCAAAAACCCCATCAGCGCGGATGTGGTCACGGTGTCACAGTGTCAAACAGATCGCAGCATGGTTCAGTTTTGCTGGTATTGATTCAAACATGAGCCTTTTACCAGTAACTCCCTTCCTTCCCCTTCTGGCTCAATAGAGAAGACTATTGACTGACACAATGCGAACTGATCACTCCTCAAAGACACTGTGTTCACAGGGTTTTACGCAAGGAGAAGCTATATATGGAAAATTGCTTTTCTAGGATTGTGAAGGTGATGATCCACGGGCAGCTTCTTTTATTCCACTGAGATCAATACTGGATTCAGCGGGGAGTTTGGCCGATCAATATGGACAACAATGTAATGTGATGAATGACAGTGTAATGCCAAGAATAAAAGGTTGACTTTCAGACAATTTGTTTTTTAAGATGATCTTAACTGTGATAGTGATATTTTGTCGAGAAGACCTGATGCTCGCAACTTGTTTTACTGTGTAAGGGTCACATTTGTTAAATGGCGTTTATGCTAAGAGGATGTCCATCATATTTTCTTTGGATTCTGTAATGACAGATTTAGCCTGGGGACGACATAGTTGATTTTCTTCTCATCTTATTTTGTCATTGTTCCTGGTGTTCTGGTACCCTGACAGTACCTATTCAGAGGACAAATGAGTGTGCCTGCTTCACCCAGGTACTCTGTGAACCAGCGCCAATATTCTATCAACAAGCATGCTGAATGGCTGGACAGATGGCTCCAAACGATGTGACTAGCTGCTTCAATAAAACCCTGGAAGGCAGAGCCTGCCTCATTAAACACTAACAAAGATTATTATGCCATCCACTTCCTCTCCTCTCCCTCTAACTCGCTGTCGCTCTCTGCCATCTTCTATCGAACTCATCCTCTCCCCAGCCAACCAACATCTTAGCGTCTTTGTTCTATCCATGGAAATCTGTGTGCGTGCGTGCGTGTGTGTGTGTGTGTGTGGGCATGCATGCGTTCCTTAGTGATCTTATCAAAACTCATGAATACATGACGCTGTTTCAATAAGTGGGACAGTGAAATGCCTCGCTGCTATCGAGCCTTCCTCCTGTGGGTTTTATTGACATTTAACACTCTGGAGAGAAATGACCTGCTTGATAATTAAACAGAATAAAATGTGATTAACTACAAGGCGAACGGCACAAAATGACAATAAAAATAGATTTATGAATAGATTACGTCAGAGCGCTGTCATACATTCAATAAATGTAGCAATAGATCCATACAGCTCATTATACTTGTGCATGAGGGAGCATCTGTTTGCGGTTGTGCTGCTCATTCAGTAGAAGCATAAGTACTTTCTGTTCCAAACAGCCTTTAGACCACAGCTATATGCTGAAGGTACCCTATGTTTTTTTTTTTTTTTTTTAATGAAATACTGTATCTCCACTCCCTTCCAGATCATTCAGTTTAAATGTTAAATACTTAGCTTTATACCTCGTAATGAGAGCGCTCCCACCAACTTGCCTTCATATACTTTGGTCCTACTGCACAGCCACTTAAAGCAGCAACAACCCACGATCACACAAAAACACTTTCAGCCCAAACACACACTTTTTTGGGGATACTGTGTCAGGAGACGCTGGTAAAGACTTTTTACTCTTTTGGTTCTGATTCAAGTGCATATTTAAAGCCTATATAAAAGTGCATTTGCCTTCCAAACTAGAGTGCAGCCCTGTCTATTCAAATATTTTGTGTTGAGATCAAGGTTGGGTGAATTCAAGAGGTGGATTTTGGTTAATATTCCAAATTTCCATATCCAGGTTAATAAAAAAATAATGCTATAATTCTATAACTGCTATAATTAGCAAAAGGAACTGCAGTTGTTTCCTTTTGCAGCTTCTAAGTGATTGAATTAAAAAGACCTGACAGAGGCAGCAGAGAAAGATGAGAGGGACACGGAGTGGAGGAGCAGCGAGAGACACAATCCAGAAGAGATTTGATCCTGGGCCAACAGGGGAATATGTGGTTGCATCATCTCTGGGTGCATCGCCTCTTGTGTATTTTTATCTGCTACTCAGGGATGTTTACTCAATCTGAGCAAACAAATTAACTCCCCTTTCTTTCTGCTGAGCCAGAAGACACTCCCAGAAATGAGAGCAGAAATCAAACACTCCAGCCAAATCTGTTGATACACGCTGGTTGTATTTGATTTGCAAAGTGGGCTCACTGCAGAGCACAGTATGTAAAATACCTCGGCATCAGGACTCAAAAACCTGGATGGCATAGGACAGCTATCAATAAACACTGTAACCAAGCCGAAAAGAGTACAAACAAAAACAGATATGACAACTTTGTCTGCACATAGGCTCATATGGAGAAGCTCAGCTGCTGAGCCCCCCCACCCAACTCCTCACTCCACCTTGATTTCCCTGTGGAGTATGTTTCAGCATGTATGCATCAAAACAGATCGTGGTAACAATGAATTCCCAGGAGTGTGTGTGTGTGTGTATGTGTGTATGTGTGTGTGTGTGTGTAAAAGGAGTAATTGAGACACTCGCCTTGTCTGCAGGTGTATTCTGGACACCTCAAGAAAGTTGGTTGAACGAGCAAAACTGAGGATTTGCTGTTTAATAATGACCAGTTGCAGCCAGGAATTACCGGTCACATAGTCTAGCCCACTTTCTGGTTTATGATTTATGAAAATTTAAATTAGCTGACAGTATCTGGTCACTAATAGCCAGGAAGTTGGTGTCAGTTCGATGTTATCTCCTAATTATCTGGCACAGCAAAGGGCACTGGGCTTGTCCTCCAGGGCAGGATGAAGCCTCCGATGCTGTAATGTGAGCCAATTTTACCCAGTTTGGCAATTCATTAAAGGGCAATGAGATAAATAAAAAGTTTTAGATGAAATTTTTCACATTGAACATTGTGGACTTTGTGGAGTCCGTCCAGTGTTTTTCCAAAGGGTTTGATCAGTTTTCTCACGAGAATGTCCTCAGTCCACAGAAGTGTCCATAATTCTCAATGAGCCTTTCATTACAGCAGCACGCCTGATGAATTTGTGGAAAGTAAAGGGAACTTGTTTGTACTGTCACACAGACACATGCACGTTGCACATGGACATTTGAAGAGTGGGAAAGAAAGACTGAACTGACGGATCTAGATGGAGACAAACAGGATCAATGCAACAAGATGAGATTGAGACTGGAAAGAGAGAGAGAGAGAGAGAGAGAGAGAGAGAGAGTGTGTGTCACATCACATAAATCCATTTTTGCTATAGTGAGCGATCTCTGCTGCTGAGACACTTGACTTATTGATGAAACTTAAATAAGCCAGTTTTTGATTGGAAACTGATATCAATACAAGGAGCCATTTAGTTATGGTAACATCCAAATGATCAATGATTATAGGTTGTTTGAAACACTAATTAGATAATGAATTTATTGGTAATTAACACTAAATTGAAAGTGTAAAACAAATGTCTTCACTGGGCTATAGAAACAATGAAAATGTCAGGGTGGACTTCGGGCACAGTGGGAGGACTTGACTTCTCCTGGAGCGCTCATCAGAGGAACAAAGCTGCAGGCATCAATCCGTCAACTATATAATCACCATTTCATATGCATTTTATACGGTTTACCGAGCATTTAGAGCTTATGTATTTAAATACTATAAGGTCCATATATATTTCGGAATACTATGTCTTTTAATACAATAACTTAATATCTATAGAACTTAAAAAAAAAACAAAAAAAACATATCAAAAATTCACTTAGAAAAAAAGGTCGAACTTTTTGTTGATGACAAAATATCATGTTATGAAATCAGCTCTTAAACGGCAGGTAGCTATTTAACTCGAAAATGTACCTTTTTTTGTTAGTTTATTTATCAGAAAACATGAAGACGAAGAATGTCATCACCAATTACAGACAAAATAGTCCCTATAATTGACTTAATTATATACCTGTGAGGCCATTCAGATCTTTTAGGACAAAAAAGTGAGTTTACAGAATCCTAGCAATTTATTTCACTGATTCAGTTTCCTAAATTGTCATTTTATTGCCCCCCAAACGATGAAACTTTGCTGTTATATTATTTTTATATGACAGTTAAATGGCTGTATTAATGTTTGGTCTAAAGTTTAAGTCCCTTTTTCATTATCATTAACCTTCCTTCGATCGGCTGCCTTTTACACCAGTGATCAGTCATATTTCATGAATTTTGAATCTGGATCAACTTTTAGAAAGAAAAAAAAAAGTCCTACCGTCCGCGTCGAAATGTTTCCAAATGTCCAGGAACTGGGACGCGGTGACCTCGGCCAGGTGCAGGTGAGGAGGCTGCTGTGCTTTGTTTGCCATGATGCTCTCGACGGATGCTGCTGCAGGTCAGACGCCAGAAAAATCCGCTACTAACTTTTCTCAGCCTCTTGTTCAAACACACCCCAAACACACTGTAGCCCCAGCGCGCCGCCTGTCGCTTTTTAACCCCGGCGCAGGAGCTGCAGCGCCGCTTAACCGCCGCTGGAGGCGCACTGTGACCGACCGCGTCCATCTGAGTCAGCGTCTCTCTCTCGCTCTCTCTCTCTCTCTCTCTCTCTGTTTCTGTGCGTGTGTGTGTGTGTGTGTGTATGTGTGTGTGTCCAGTGCTTCCAAGCTGGATGTATAGTTTAGTGATGGGACGTCTTGGGCACTGCAGTGAACAGACAGGTGTGTGTGTGTGTGTGCGTGCGCGAAAGATGGAGATGCAGATTGTTTTGTGTGGTTGATCCAGTGCACGCGCATGCATGTGAATCCCCATATTTCAGTCTGCACGTGAACTGCATGCCCCTGTGTGTGTGAGCTGTGTGTTCTTTCCTCCCACATCTGTGTGTAGCAATCTAAGCGTGCAGCTCCCCGAGCCTGTCTACCAGTGTGTGAGGCTTCTCAGACTTAATTAGAACTCACACACTAATCACATTCCCCACTGCCGCTAGCCAGCTGTGATTAGCCCACATAATAAATGTAAATTCTGAAAAAAAAAAGGGAGGGGGGCCGTTTTCATTAATGGTCAGTCTACTGTGCAGATGGGAGGCAAAGCCACAGATCCCATTAGGAGAATGAGAATGTGCTCATATGTATTTCTTCTACTCGTTTACTGCAAGAGGTGATAATATTCAGGATGAAGTAACAGGACTGTAATGAGCAGGAGTGCAAGTATCCCTGGAAGCATTTTCCTTCTGTTGCAGCTTTTCAAATGGTATGAATGTTAAAAATATGTTTCTATTCACCCGTGCTGTGTTTCTGAAATCCTGTGAAGGGCACTGGGTGTGTTTTAGGAGTTCCATAGGTTGATTTCATGCCAGCCTTTAATGGACATTTTGACTTGTGATAGCATGACAGGACAGGAATTACTCAATGGTTATTAATTAATCTTATAAATGACTTCTTTGCCTTTCCTGCTATGAGTCAGAATGTTTGCTGTGAAGAAACAAGAGAAAGAAATAAATCAAGGATGCTCCATTCAGTCATCTGTGACTGTATAGCAGTGAAATCTTAAACCGTCTTAAACCTGCATTAAATGTTTTTGGCCCCTTGTGGGCAGTGCAATATTGACATGTTGTCACATCATAAATTTTGTATGCGTTACCAGTTCCCTGTGTACTCATCCAGCAGACAGAGCAACATTAGTGTTTATTTAAAGTCAAGGTGAATGTAAGTCCAATATTCACTCTTTTTTTTCTCTCTTTTTTCTGTCTCTACCGACTCCTGATGGAAATATCTGACTCTTTAGCCTAATTTAGCATGAAGACTGGAAAGAGAGAGGAACAGCTAGCTTAGCTCTCTCCAAAATTCAAAAAGATATACACATATACATGTGTCAACAGCTCTCAAGCTCACTAATTAATACATTGAATCTTGTTTCTTTAATCCAAACTCAAACAGAGATATAAAATTGAACACCTCTGGTTTGAGAGGTGTTAGTTGGTGTTTCTATTTCTTCCTTTTATCCAGTGCTTTAGTGCAGCGTCTTCAGCTGCAGGTCAGGTTGCCATATGGTCAATTAGACCTGGTTTTGGTATTTGTCTTTGTATGAGAAGCCAGACTAGGTTGTTTCTGCAGCTTCCAGTCTTTATGCTAGAAACCAGGCTAATAACTCCCGAGCTCTGGGTGTTGTCCTCTAAAGGAAGTGCTGACTGAACTTCTAAAGGAGTGAGCTCATTGAGTTAAAAGTTAACGAAACCAGATGTTCTTAAGTGACTTTTAGTGACTGTTTCAGTAATAGGATCGCTCATTTGTGTTTTGTAATCATATCAAAAGTAAATGACAAGCCAGACATGCTTGTGCAGTCAATGCTGCATCTTAACATTTTGTACGTTCTGTGCTATAACTCAAGTTTACAGCAGTTGAAGCTGTGGCGAATAATTAAGACGATCCAGATGAAACAAGTTGGCACCATCATTCCTATAGCTGAACTTGAACCTGTCACGTCTCCTCAGAGGTGGAGCAGTAATTTTCCAGATCCACCTTGCTGCATACTAGTACAGTGCTGACACACTGCTGGCAGCCGGCTCCTATTGGAGGCAGCGTGTGAAAGTCAGCAGAGACGTTGCCTCACCAACGCTTTTCCTTACGCTTGTAAAAGTCACATTCACTAACAGGAGCACTGCTGTCTCATAGACAGTGTGAACTCAGGTACATGACAGTGCATAAGAACAGCTTGTGTGTGTGTGTGTGTGTGTGAGAGACAGAGAGAAAGACTGAGTGTGTGACAGAATGTGACAGTGTTTAAGAGTGTAAACTCAGCAGAGCTGTCCCGCTCTATTTCCTCAGCTTCTCTTTTCACCCTATAATAATCAATAGCGGGCCCTGGGCTCACTTGGCACAGCGACAATAGATAGATCAACATTACATTACAGATGAAGCCTGTCGCCAGCCTGCGGGCAATGCCGAGTCAAACGCACTTCGTTCTCCTCTCTTGTTCTCTTCAGTCACTCCTATCGTCTGTCTTCATCTGTGCGTCCTGTCTTCCATTTCCCTCCATTCAAAGCAGAGAGCCTGCCATTTGCATCCTACATGCACATCTTTGTAGGTGTCTCACTTTTTGCCGTGAAGCTGGGGCATGAGAGGCGTTTGTGGGAATGTGTGTAAATACAATCCAGCCCAGTATAGGTGTTGTGTTTGTGTTGTCAGGCTGCCTGGTTCATTTGTATTAATATTTCAGTTCCACAGTGGGCTGCACCTCTTCATGCTGTATGCAGATCAATTATGTAACAGAAAGGAGCAGGGCACAGAACAGCCATTTCCATTTCATCTCAATCTCACAGCGTCTTCATCTGTTTGAGGTGTGTCGAAAGTGAAGGATTGTGAGAGTGAAGCTGAATAGAGAGAGAGTGAGTGAGGGGTGTGTCTTTAGAGGTGGTGGTGGTGGTGGTGGGGATCTCTCCTTTATATCCCTCAATGGCACTGAAAATTGTATTTTTCTCCTTGAAAACAAACTTTTACATTCTTATTGATTGATTCTAGGCTATAGCCCTTTCATTACACACACACACACACACACACACACACACACACACACACACACACACACACAAATGTGTGCACTCATCCGTGACAGAAAATAACAGCATCTAGATGTCATCTGCAAGTTTTTTTTTATGTGGCAGCAGCAACATTTTGCATGAAAAGGAATTGCTTTAATTCAACAGAGACATAGTCGATTTATGTTGCAGGTAAATTACTGTATATTCAAACGCGAGACCCGGAAACAGTAAATATGATTAAACAGAGCACACAATAGAGGTTATTCAGTGTAACAGATACAGACATGAGGAAGACAACAGAAGACTAACAAGTAAAACAAAATGCTAAATTTGCTGTTATGGCCATACAGGGAAAAAAAGGAAGCATCGTAGTAAAAATTAATTCAGGCTTTTTTCTGAGAGTAGTGCTTCAGAACTAAAATAAAGAAATCATGAATCTTAGAATTAATTCACTGTGTATAAATAAGTTTGTTTATTGTGTATGGAGCAGCTCCAGATTTTACATTTCGATGATGGAAGGCTTTGTTCAGAGTGGAATTCCCCTTCAAGACTTGCATTAGCATCTTGATGTTTAGCCTGATACAAATGGTCTAAGAGGTGGACTGCTGATCTAGGACTTTTCCGGCCATTCGAGCTCTAATGAATGAGACGGTCAAGGGAACCTGGCAGGAGGTCCCAGATCAGCGCAAAGAAAATTGAAAACTGCAGGCCCGGGTATTATAACCCTCCCTGATATTACAGTGTTACGGTCTCTAGTTGTGCAAATAAAATGGATACAAATGCAATCCGCCACAGAAAAACCTTTCAGATTATATTATATTTTCATCGGGATTCATTAGGTTTCTATATACAAATCAACTGATCTATGAGATCACTAAAGTTATGATCTCTCCACTATTGGACAGGCTTCTCAGACACTGATTCAGCTGAAACTTGATTTCTTTCTTCAGAGATCCTTCTTTTTGTCGGAGAACCGACGAGGATTTAGATTGACATGCCACTGGCATTTTCTCACTTTTTTTTCCATCGATAAATACATTAAATAGTTAAAATAAGCAATTTGTCTGCTTCAAAAATAAACAGCTCTGATTTGTTCATAGAAGAATGTAAATAAACCTACTTTGATTTGTAGCTAAAATAAGTATTTGTGCATCAGTAATAACAAGCAATCACAAAATAAAGGACAGTAGATGCCAGTTGGTCCCAGTGATCCTGTTTGATCACAAGCATTATTCTATACTCTCTCATTAGCAGCTATTATTATGTGGATTCACTTGTAAGAAATGAATAACCCCTGCTTGGTTAATGGGCTGTTTTCTTAAGCCCTGCACTAACACGGAGACCAGTCCATAAGTGCACAGCGCCCCCGAATACATCAAGCTGATAGATGGTAGTTGCTATATATTGCTCTTGCTAAAGGCATATAAGACATATAGCATGTGTACATGTAACAAATATAAGTATATAAGTAATGGAAGGTTAATACATTTTCAGTAACAACGTGTAAACCGTTATAACAGACAATCAATAAAAGAAGAGGTGTGAAAAACAAATCATTTTGCTGAGTCTCCATCAACGACAACAGGATGATACCCAGTGATCGTAAAGATTACGACACAATCATCTCAGTATATCTAGAGGCTGCATGTGTCCAGTAGTAGCCATTAACAGTCAGTTGCATAAACTGACTATAAAGTTGTCTCGTATTCATCGCACTGTTTAGATGCACTCAGATATTCAGGTTCAGCTATCAGAGGAGTCCCAGTCTTTTTGTGCGCTGCCACGCCAACTCTAGCAGGCAGAACAGGGCAAGCCTCAACAACCCTACAGCTCTAATGCAGCATAGAGACAGTAGCCACCACAGTGTTCCTAGTACAATTAGTGATCCATGATCTGGGATATATGAGATCATGGTCATTTTAAATAACAGACTGGTATACTTTAATTATTAGACATATTCTCAGCCACTGCAATACTCAATTTAGATTCAAACAAACACAACAAAAGTCAATATGTCACTCGAGGAGTTCAGAGACACCCATTATAATTGTCATTCTGAAACAAAGTCTCCCCGCATTTCCTTACCCTGGTTTCCACATCCAATGATTCATGTGTGCCATTTATTATTAAAGAGCAAATAGCAGCTCCTGAAAATCTTGGTTTTTTTTTTCTGGCCTGCATTGGCTTAATTTCTCACCTTGCTGCAGTCATGCTGACGAGGGTGTGTCAGTGCATCAGTCATTGTTGGGTGTGGCAACAGGTGCAACAGGCCTGTGAAAGCTTTTCTGCCTGATGTTAAGTTACTCTTGAGGTGTTAAAAATGGCGTACCTTCGAATCACTAATCATTAGCCCACTACTTGCCCCAAAGGGCCTGGACAGTGCTAAATCAAAGAATGTCAAAATCCAAATAAAAAAAGCAATCCTTGCCGTATTTTAAAACTTTTAACTCAATGGCTAACTGGCTCCTTGTTGCTTTCACTTTATAAATACCACAACACCATCATGTTGTTGTTGGCTAGGCCAGCAGCTCCGACTGTAAGGTCTCCATGTATGTGACTCATGGGGACTAGATCCAGTCTAACATTTCCTCATTTGTGAAAGTCTTGATATGATAACAATCAATAGCAAACCAGCCTTTTCAACATTGATCAAATGCTTGGGATGTGTCCAACTATTATGCATGTCTCTACAGTAAGTGACATATTGACATTCATTTTTAAAAAAGAGTCTGCTCTCAACTTCAGAAACATCTCCCTCCCTCCCCTGGTTAACCACATTACCCAGTATTGACTAAGAACCTATTCACCCAACTTGTACAACCCACCATCACCATTTGCACATACATGTTACCTTTTGGTCAAAGCTATGATTATCACGTCACCAATCACTTTGGAGGTTGGAAATCTTTTTTTTTTTTTTTTTTTTTTTTTGTGCCGACAGATTTCAGTTGAAAGTACTAGATCTTGGTGATGAGGTGGCTGACGAGCCTCTGGAGGTCCTCGGTTCGGCGCTGGGTGGTCTTCAGCACCTCTTCGTGGTTTGCTTTCTCATTGCTGTCGTAATCTGTCACAACTTTGTTGGTGATGAGGGACAGACCCAAGACACGCAAGCCACAGTGACGAGCCACCACCACCTCTGGGACTGTGCTCATGCCTAGACAAGAGGAAGAAGAATTACACAGATATAAAACTCCTTTATTATTGCAGTTCCATTCAACAGTGAACTGTGTAAAAATCTGTGAAATGCCCCATTCATATTTTGAATTTATGAACTGATTATCATTTGGCTGTTCTATAATGATTATTCTTTCAAAAACAACATATTTCTATACACTGACCACAGCATTACTGCTATCACACACACAATATTGAGACTAGAAGCTGACAGCTGCATCATTTCATATTTCTCTGCAGGGTTCTAGAGAAAGAGAAAAGTGAACCTAAATTGAGTGTAAGTAGAAGCTGTGTAACAAGACTGGCCTTACACAAAAAACAACCCCACAGGTCGTTAGTGCAATCAGCTTATTGAGACCAATTTTATTGTTAAGCGACATCTAGCGAGATGCCATCAACACTGGACTTTAACATGGGAGACTGCTTGTTTCTGTTTGACATGAATGTTCTATAACCTTAACCTCATGTTTATTATTGTAACCATGACAACAAAGGTCTTTTAACTTTAACAAAGTACTTATTTTAACCTGAGTCGTGATCTTTCCTTAAACCTCACCGGTTTGTTTTTGTGCCTAACCAAACTTTTACTGTAGCACTGTCACAACATATGCTGGTTAGTTATTTAATTTTCAGTAGTGATGTTTAACAGTTTGTCTGCACATCTAGTGTAGTAGTAAGATGTTTTTAACAGTCTATGCATGCAATGGGAGGAAGTTGAGTTGGTTTGGAATTGAAATGAGAAAGTTATTGATAAAGATCTACAGCTCTGTGTTTTTAGGATATAGCCTATTCTATTTTCGGCAAATCCACATCATGGAAAGTCATGCTTTGGCTTCTAGCAGTTCCTATTCAGGGGATGGATACCACTGCAAAATTCACATGCTGTCTGTATTTGTTCAGGGCACATAATTTTTGAACAGTTTATCTTCTATTGTAGATGTACTGTTAAGAGGCTTTCCCACACCACGTCAATATTTCTTTATGTGAGCACAAGGGAGCTGCACTAACCCACAGCATCAGCCCCCAGTATCTGCAGGACTCTGCACTCTGCAATGGTCTCATATGTCGGTCCAGCCAGCATACAATAAACCCCCTCCTGCAGGAAGCCGTCGCAGTCCTGCTCCACTGCTGTCTGCTTGGCCAGGGCCATCAACTGATGGTCATACGCATCTGACATGCAAGGGAAGCGCACTCCAAACCTGCAGGCGTATTAAATGAATGAATTGGATATAGCAATAGCAATGTCCATGTTTCACATGATGTTTGTGTTGTACCTGTCATCATTGTGCCCACAAAGTGGGTTCTGCCCTGCAAAACCAGGCATGTTGATGTGATCCTTAATGAGCATGATGTCTCCCACACTGTAGCTGCCATTGAGTCCCCCCGCTGCGTTTGTAACAATCAGAGTTTCCACACCCAGCAGGAAGAAGACTCGCACTGGGTACGTCACCTGGAGAGATAAACATACTATACTGCAGAGGCAGACACTGGTGTTCCTTTTGTTGTCTTGATGTATGTTAGATTACTACAAACAGAATTTACAAGATGGGGGCAGATAGGAACCATAGAGGAGGAAACACATCACATGAGAGGGCAATATTTTAAAAGGGACAGCTTCTGCATGCGCTGATGTCAATAGACACTAGGATTTTTATTACTGTAGGTTCTGGCGTGTCTGAAACAGTTGTGGTTCTGTACCAACCTTTATAGTGCAGCTGATGGCCTGTAAATAACTGTTGCTACTGTTCACTGCGGTCACATTTGGAAATTGCTTTTTCTATTTCACATTTCTTTGCAGCTTGAATTGAAAGTGCTCGGCTTGTTAGTGCAGAAAATGTTTTCAAAGCACCCTGGTTTCTTGATAAGGTCATTTTGGAACATGAGGTTGTTTGATATAAGTGTGGATATGATTTTGTTGGACCTGGACTTGTGGCTGTGTTGCATATGTAACAGAGGAACTGTCAGTGGTTAAATTGTAGTAGTGAGCTGTAAATGGTGGGTTGACTTTATTACATTATTTGCCAAAAGGCAAATAATATAATACATTTTCAGTCATAAAATATTATTTACACTGCTCTGCTCAGTGTAGGATTTTATTCAGTTTGCTAATATAGGCTTAAGGACGCAGAACAAAGTCTACTTCAACTTCCTTCCTTATAATAATATGGTCATAATGCATCTGCCCTTCTGTTACTCTATGTATGAAACTGGATTTTATGATTCTGTGAAGTCATTTGGATCATTTTATGTGAAAATGGCTCATCACTGCTGATGATAAAATATAACCAGAATGCAGTATCTCCATGGGCCAAAGGCCAGTCCCGCATTGTCACACTGGGTGGTTTTCTTACTTTCATCATAACCCTGCAGCTGATCATTCAACAAACATAGTAAATTGTTAGCCAAAGTTGTACATGGTCTGCCAAGCTCTGGCCAAAAGGCAACGGAGGACACCATGTTCACACAACTGGAGATGATAAAATTACAAAATCGTGACAGGATGAGATACAGTTCTCTGAAAGGGTTTGTCAAACGATATGAACAGAAGGCCCGTTCGAGCTGTTGGAATTTGAACAACAATTATCTATTTTACAGATAAAAGTACTAGTCACCAAAACTGAACAGTTATCACTACAGCCAGTGTCAGATTGGAACATAAAAGAAAGAGATTTGGCACAAAATCAATCATGTGTCTTGCCCTTGTGACAATAACAAGGTAAGTTTTTATTCACATCCATGATTTAAAGATTACCAAGAGAAACGGTGAAGATTTTTCTCAAAGTGATTGACAAAGTCAGAGTTCAAACTGTCAGCTGTAGCTCAGTTATCCTGTATAGAATGTCATTTGCATCAGCAAGGTTTCGAAATGCAGAAGCAAGTTGGCTTGTGACAGAAACTGAGACAAGTGACATGGTGACCCCTCAAACTTCATTTGATCAAATGTATTTCTAGCATAACTGATGGTAAAGTAGATGAGACCAATAGACTATGTAATGCTGAAATCGAACACATTTACAATCAATCCAACACATTTAGCAACATTACTACAACGACCTCTGTATGGATTGCCATGAAATGTTAAATGTTCAAATGATCTATTATCTCACCATAAATCAAAGTTTAGAGAAAAAGCCCAAAAACCAAAAACAGACTTTGTTTTTTCTTCTTTCTGCTCCCATTAATCATCTCACATCTATCTGCTGTTCCTGTACATTAAACTGTATATGAAGTAGTTCAAACTAGCTCCAGCTACAGCTACAACATGCTGCTCACACACTGATGCTTCAGTATTAATCATCTAATGATGTCATATATAATAATATATAAGTCAGAGGGACCAAACTAGTGCTTTTAATTTAATACTAAATTTTGCTGCTAATATTTATGTGCTTTTTACATATGTTGGATTTTTCATGCAGGACTTTTACTTGTAATGGAATATTTTTACATTGTCGTATTCATACTTTTTACTTAAGTAAAGGATCTGAATACTTCTTCCACCACTGGCATTTTCATTGTGAGCATGTTAGCATGCTGATGTCAGCATTTAGTTCAAAGCACCATTGTGCCTAAGTACAGCCCCACACAGTCAGTTGCATGGCTGTAAACTCTTGTTTTTATCTTTTAATACATCACAAAAAAACAGTTAATTCTTAAAGTTGTTTACAACTCACCTTTAGCAATTACACTCTGCTGCCCTGACTAATTAAAAATGTCACTAGCGAGTACACCCCTGGTCAATATGACTAAAATGTGAAGTAATTTAACAAATCCTGTCCATTTAACACAATTTACTTGTTTTTAGCCAAAGTTCTAGAAGAATGAAGCCAATTTATTTGAAATGTTTGACTAACTAACTACAACAAAACTCAGTATACCTTTCATTAGCATTAGAGAGATTCCATTCTTTTATTTTTCTAATATTTCATATGACAGATTCTATCCTGCTGTGTATGGATGATAATCTGAGCGAAGTTGTTAGATTGGATTCAACTCAGTGGACACACTTGGTCAGGACACAGTTTCACTTTTGTATTCTTTAAAAACCTTTGTGTGATTTTTGGAGTGATGGGGGGAGGGGGGGTCATCTTTTCATTCAGTATTTGGTTATAGAAACTTACATTGATATTGCCATCTATAAATGTCATCTCCTCTACTCCTACTCCTTCCTCAGTCACTGAAACTTCCCACGGATAATCTTTGCGCCAAGTCAGACGCAGTTACCCATCTGTTTTTCAATGTAAGGTTGCTTAAATGTTCAGCAGCGTATGTTCAGAAGCCTATTAATGATTATTAAGTCTCACAATCTGGTTTCTTACTTGTTCAGGCAATCCCTCACCATGTGGAGCCGTGTTGCATTCGACACAACCCAGGTCAAAACTAAGGAAGCTTTGGTGTTCACAGGTTATTTTATGACCTTGTTCATGCAATTAGCCTCAATTGGAAATCACTGGTGTACTCACTTTTGTTGCATTGTCTTGAAAATAATGCAATCATACATTTGTCACATTTTAACATTTTGGTGATATCGCAGAGAGGTGTGCTCACTTTTGTTGTACACTGTAAACTTTACATACTGTTGCTTACCATGTGTATGTTGTAGCCCTCGTAGAAGTGAAATCTCCCCTGCATACAGACACACTCGCGACCCTGCAGCTTCCCAAACACCAGCTGACCGGCATGACCTGGCACTGTACAGCACACATACAGTATGACCCCATGTGTATGTGTCCAAACCACGTATCATTTGTTTTTGATGCAGTGCAATTGACAGAGATAACTTACCAGTGCTGGTGGGGAAACGTGGGATGTCCTTATAGGGAAAGACAGTCTTGTTGTCCAGCAGATCAGCCAGACCGCCCAGGCCTGAACCACAGATGATGGCCACTTTAGGACGCTGCTTTGTGTTTTCCAGCAGCCAGTCTGCTGTCTCCTTGTAGTCATCATAACTGTATATGAAAATAATGGAAAACTAATGATCAATATCACATATTACTTAACTTTATCTCTGATAAATAAGTTGCACATCTCACGATAATTACAATCATAACCATCATCATTATCAACAAGGAATAAACACCAAAAATACTAATCAACATCTGTCTCATGTTTAGAATTGAAGTCTCACTGTCTGAGGAGGGAATTCTGGAATATGAACAAAATGACAGCTAATGTGAACGAAACATATGTGACTGTCTCTTTTAGCAATAATATATTTAAGGTAGATGGTGTGACTGAAATGTGTGTGGGATTACATAATTAATATATTTGTTGATCAGCAGAGGAAAGTATTGAATACAGCACATGTGCAAAAATAACTGCAATAAAAAAACACAATATACACAACAATATAAACAATATTTCAATTACATTGAGAAAAGTAGGGAGTGACTTTGCTGAACAGAACATGAAACAGCAAACATACAGTTGTTTACATGTGTATAGACACTAATTCTGCAGTAGAACAGGTTCAACTGGCAACCTTTTTAACTACTAAGCACTAAGTAAGAAAATGCAGGAAGTAAAGTCAGTTTGGTTCAGCTAAGGCTTTTTGCAAAGATAAAGAGATGAGTCTGCAAGAGGTTTATTAACATAACTGGTTTCCATTGAATGTTCACACGTCATGAAGACGTTCTGATAATGAATCAAGTTACAGAAACTAACACCAAGATTCTGCTCATTGGAATATTATCCCTTATTCTGCAACAGCCATGCTAAATAGTAAAAGATCAGCTGCAGGGGGAAACACTCCTGGAAAGGAAGAAAATATAAATAATACATTGTGCAACACACTCATGGGGTTTTACTTTGCCATTTTAAGTGTACCAGCCAAATTATTTTTCAGGAATGTTGATTTGATTGGGAATACCTCGAGGTGTGACATTATACAAAGTCTGAAACTGGGTTTTAATTCTGGTTATAAATCTGGCTATAACCTTGCTAATGTTTCCTCTATGCCCTTAATCTTTGTTATTAAAACACAATGACACTTCAGGCTCCAGCCTTCACCAGACCAATCTGCAGCAGGAGAGAGCCTGATGATTTGGGGCTCATTTTAGAGCTACCATCTAAAATGATGGCTACATCAGACTGGCCTGGGGTGCTCAATCTTCCCACCTTTCCCCTTTATTTCCTTATTCAATTCAAGTTAAAAAGAAGCTAGGAAATCTTTTATTACACTTTGTATCTGGGGCAGACTGTATGTGTGCATGGTGCTCCACCCATCCATCTGAGTGGTTTCCAATTACTGTGTGATCATAATACAAAAACAAAGCAGAAGAGTATTTCTGTTTTCTCTAAACTCTGTGGAAGAATTATACTAATACCCTACAAGTAATTCTTTCAGTCTACAGCACAGACAGTTGTGACACATGGGTTGTATGCCTGTCGTTATCAGTCTGTCAGTTGCAGAAGTTGCCCTTCACATAATTCTTCAGGTGGTAATGGCAGCGTTACACTCAAACACACAGCCACACCCACACTCGGGCAGGCAGATGGGTGACTGCTATATTTGCACTTGAGACATAAACAGGTTCTTTGGATTGGTGCCAGCAGAAAATTGGGAATGTATAACAGCAATTCAGGTCACTGAACCTGATAAATGAACATTTTTTTTTGTAATCAGTGATTCATAAACCCCAGAAACTTTGAGACATCAGCAGTGATATGCCACATGTAGCCTCACCATAAAACAACATGATCTCTTACCAGACTTCTCATGTGTCTGTAATTCTCTTGTAATGCTTTTTTTCCCCATGAGAGTCAGTGAATTGTTCTTATAAATAAAGAGGCTGGTCAGGCTAAAGAAACTGAATTATTCTCTACATGTATGTATGAATTAATGATTAGCTAACCAAACTGACAACTAACTACTAAGAAAAGCGTTTAAACAATGTTTTCAAATTTATAAGATTGACTTTGCAATACTATCTTGTTATTTCTGGTCCAATTACATTTCTCCTGATGTTTAAAGCAACACAAAACGAATACCTGTCATATTGATTTGTTGTTTTATGGATGTTGATGGATCAAATGTGTTTGTTTTTTTTATTTGTTCTTTTAATTAAAAACAAATACAAACCCTGTATCACATCATATGTAGTGTCTGTGCATGTGTCACATGCCTTTGACAACGCAGTATGTATTATGTAACAGCAAAGTAACAGATTTTACCCAGAGCAGGAAGAGAGCTCGTGGGCTCTCTCCACTCTCGTGGAGCTGTCCGCGGTGCTGCCGGAACTTTGTATTTATATTCAGGCGCCAGAGCAGGGAGCGGAGCGGAGCGGGACCCCCCCACCCCCACCCCCGGCTGCCTGCCACAAAATACTTGGCAGACACATTACAGCCATTAAAAAAAAGCGTGTCTGACGAGTCTGGACTGTTTCTAGGTTTCGATGCTTTGAGTGGAGCAGAAACAAGAAGAGGAGGAAGCCAATGTAAAGGAAAGGAATTTGACTTGCATATGTAAGGAATAAGCAGAACTTTATAGACAGATACAATATAAGTGTATAGCACCTGTAACGTACACGATTACGTCAGAGTGAGAGGTGTCATCCTAGGAGGAAAACCCCCACAGGCTGCTGTAATCCTCAGAATAATACGTTCATGTTACTGTTGCCTTTTTTCTTTGAACGATTCTCACACAGCGCAAGGTGCTTTTGAGAATTTCACTAATTACAGAGGCGTTATTATTTGAACACCACTGGATCCCCCATAATGTAATTAGGCTACATGGTAGCCTTGACGACCATGAGGCTCATTTCACACCATTTCACCATCATCCAGCCTTATCGGTCTTACCTGCACTGACTGGGGGAGGAGGACGCCGCTTCCATATCTGTTGATGAATGTGAACAGTCTACCGATAAGATGCTATTTGTGTCGTTTCTGACAGGCGCTTTCCTTGCTGATGGAGGTTCTGCTGCTGCGGACGGAGTGGCGGAGGTCATGGTGCGCGCTGACGTCACGGCGTATATGACAATGAGGCGGGGCCTCAGCAGATTGCCGGTCCCTTTGAAGAAGACTAAATCCAATTTTCTACCAGGCTGGGCAGCTCACTGATCCGTTCACTGGGAGAGACAGGGCTGGGAACAGAGGGAGAAACTGAGAGGGAAACAGAGGGGAAGAGAAATGGAAGAGGCAAATGATAAAATCAGCAATAATAGATAAATATATTAAAGACCAAAATGACCTAATGCTACACTTAAACACTTCTAAATGATATATGCCTGAAGCATGATGTAGCCTACAACTACTTCCTCTCTTTCTCTCTCTCTCTCTCTCTCTCTCTCTCTCTCTCTCTCTCTCTCTCTCTCACGCACAGGCTACAACAATTCAAAGTGCTGACTCATGGGTTAGAAGGGAAGAATGACAGCAATGAGCAAAAGAACAAACAACTAGTCCGAAAAGCTATAACTATAGGCTATAAGACAACTATTGTGTGTAATGATACAAGATCCAATAAACCCAATAACCAGAGCTGCAACTCGGTAAAACTTTTTCACCTTAACTAACAGATTTTATGATCTAAATCTTTGTAAAGTGAATTAGTGTAGCCTAGCTAAGGCTGGCAAGTCCGCAATGTCTTGTTTTGGAATTTGTGTTTCAACATGTTTTACATTCATAGTATTTTTGAAATAGCACTTTGACCTGTTGCAGTGATACCCAAGTAATTTAAATTTAGCAGTGGAACAGAAGTTATTAAAATGAGTAATCAGAAGTTTCAGTCACTGACAATAAAAGAAAAAGAAAAAGACATTCTGAGTATGGGGCCTCTGGGGAAAATACTTATCAATGTTGATCAGGGTCAAAGTGTCTCTACTTGGGGGGGGGGTGTACCACATCAGTCCAGATATGTATGTCATAAACTGACAGTAAAAGGGGTTAAATAAATGGATTTGTGAAGCTGTAGATTAAACCACAAATTCCTACTCTGTCATCATGCTCACTGGGCTTTCAAATCCCTTTTTGTAGTCCCACTTGCCCTTATAATGACCCTCTTATACACACACCCACACACACACACACACTAGAGAGAGGGGCAAGTGGGACATGTGCATTTGATACATACAAGATGGAATGATATAACTTTTTTGGGGGATAATTTCTATTGTGGGCAAATAGAAACATATTCTTCACCTGTTTCCATGGATTGTCCAGGGATGTTAAATATCTGCAGATTGTAAGATTGCGTATGGTTAATTTTTAGCTCACGAAATGTTGGATTTTCTCAAAATCTGCAATGAATCATGTCTCACTTTTAGTGAAACATAGAGACCCGGACAAGCAGCTTCAATATTAAGGTCAGATTGAATGTGCGAACAAAACTATATTTTAACAAGTATTAAAATGTTTCTAAAAATGAACGATGTTAAAATCATAATAAAGTATTTTCTTATTTAAACCTTGCAGCTATAGAAAGTCTACTTAACTACACGTTTATTATTTTTACACTGACAATTGTTGCTGCTAATATGTATCTTTAAGACAAAGCGCAGGGCTTTCTCTCGTAAGTTTCACCAGTTTTTAAATCTTAGTTTTAGTTTGTCTCCTAATCAGAATAGTTGGTTTGGTCTCAGAAAACAGTATTACCTTCGTTCTCTCTTAAAAAACACTTCAAACATAGACGTGTTGTATGCTTCATGATGAGAGACGACCTCACTACAGGTACCATTATGCCAGTGCAAACGTAGCAGCTGCTAGCCAATCAGAAAACAGTTTACTGGGTGGTTGGTTGTATGCGTTGCCACGGCAACAAACCACAACGAAGTTGACTTGAGCGAGTCAAAATCTACGGTTTATTTAAGGAGTGGTAAGACTTGTTTAATTTCTTTTTGACAGTGCAAAAAGAGAGGTTTAACCACTGAGTTTCTTATAACGTTAAGCGACGGAAGGGAAGTGTTTAGCCGGGTAGAAGACTTAATAGAGCTCAATTATACAGCGAGTCGACAGGTAAACTGAAGACCTAAGCAATGCGAAGTATTTTCTTTAGTAAACTAATAATGTGCATGTGTAGTTGTAATAATAATAATTATAATTTGGCCGGTTTGAGATAAAAGAAGCTTAAAAGAAATTCTCCAAAAGTGGCCAAAAGGCTCGAGGACTTACACTATAGCCTTACACTATTATTAGCGTAACAGAACTTAAATTAACAACTGTTAGCCTACACATCAGCATCACATGAAGTCTTAAATTAAGTCTCTAGGCTGAAAGTATACCGAAGTAGTTGAATTTCAAAGTTGAGAAAGTTTTAGAAGATTTGAACATTGATCTAAAATCTTCTCCTCTCTTCGCTTCTCTTGCAGGTACTTCTGTGACACATTAAACATGACAGACATTCAGATGCACACGAGAACAAAGCGGCTTAAGAGCAAAGTGTCCTTGCCTTACAATCATAAACTTGTCCCGAAGGATGACAAGCCAAGAAGGGTGAGGATATCATGTTGTTTTTACTTTTTCTCTGTGATCTCACATTTGCCAGTTCTTGTAGATTCTGTTGTGAAACCTTATGACAACATGGCATCTTTTAACTACACACAGAATATGGAGTATCCAGATAAAATTTATGAGATGTTGAAACTAGGTTTTTCTCTAGAATTTACAGGGGGCCAATTTCCTGCAACCGTCCTTTTTGGACATTGTCCCGTTTTTTTGAAGAAGCTGCTTCAAATACAGATTGTCCTAATAATTACCTTGGTTTCTTATAAGGAACAAAAATCGATATCTGACTGCAGTGTTTTTTGGCAGTGACCTCAGCTCAGCAATTTAAGTCATCTGATTTCTCCTTGGCTGCTTGTGTCTGTAGGTCTACTTAGAGTAGGCAAAACTAGGTACTACTTTTTCTTTAGGTAGATTTTTCTTAGGCCAAATGACATTGACATATTCAACTGTTTATCTGTTCTTACAGTTGATAATATTAATTTTAATTTCATTCATGCAACAAAAAGTGCAATGACATAAATTAATAATTAAATTGTATAATGATTATATATTATTATTGTTATTAATTAATATCTAAAATATATATTTTATCATGTAAGCACCAAAGGATTTTATGAGGAGTTCCTACCAAAAGAGAAGCCACATTATTTCACAACTTGCTTTTTAAATAAATAGTGTTTACTCATGCAAGTTTGTTGTCTCTGAATAATAGAATGGGGTGTATTATGAATACACACCTAACTGGCAGCTGTTAAATATTGCATATACAATAACCCCTGCTTCTACATTATTGATTTAGATTTTAAGCTAAAATTCTCTTCTGACCTAACCTTGAAATTGGGTAAGTGCAGTTCGATGTTTCTCTTCTTCTGGTGCACTGATAAAGAGGTGCAAGAGGATTGTGTGGAGAGGCTACTAACCACAAAATACTGCAGATTGTCCTCACTGAGGGGGACAATATTAACATTCTTTGAGGGCATGAAATCCGCTGATGCTAATGTTCCTGTATGTGTTTGATGTAGGAGTCTGTGCATATATGTTATAGCTGACAGCTTAAAGTTGACAGCTCTTGTGCTCATTATTTTTTTCCCACTCTCTTTATCAGTGGTAACAATATTGTTTCATGTGGTCTCGCTTACATCACCGCTGGTGCTTAGAAGACAGGAAACAGGCTATCAGTGCAGTTAGCATAACGGACTGTGCTGCTGTGTGTTTGCAGGTGACTCCATCTGTTTACACCCAGGAGATGTTACAGTCTACAGAGGAGCGCCTGGCTAACACCATTGAGGTGCACCCACCTCGGATCCTGGAGCTGCTTGACATGAGCAAAACTACGCATCACAAAGTAAATGCCAGCCAATGTTGTGATACCCCAGTAGCTTAAAAACTTGCTGTAGTTTCACTATCCACCAAATTAAACTAAATTCTTGAGGGAAAGCACCCAGAAAAACGGCTGAAGATGACACAGTGAAAGAGAAAGTTTACAGTAGGCAGTGATAACTAGGATGATGAAACCATGAACATGTCAGGTGTATGAAGTTAAAGCACATACTAGAAGCTAGTCTAATTATCAGTGACAAGTGTGACAGTAACAACAGCCAACAGCAACAGATAAAAAGTTGGGCAGGAGTTTGCTATTACAATAGTTGTCTATAGACAAGCTTCAGCTGATCCCTCACAGCTGATCATCCTTACTAGGATAAAGCCCAGGGGAGTCCACTAATAACATTTGAGTCTCAAAAAACACACTGAAATCAACATTTGATTTTGACAAGCTGTCTTCTCACTGCAAAAGACTTGCAGACCATAAGAACATATAAAGCATAGAAAACTACTTCTGCAGATTTTTTCCTAATGCTACCTATGTTACATTTAGATCATTTGTTTACACACTGTACCCCCAGTTAGCACACTTTATTTAACAACTGGCCAAGACGGCCGAAACGAACGTAAATAGAAAGAACTGAATGTGGCAGACTTATTGGAGACCACAAAAAGACAACAACACATTCAAACTTCTCATTATTTTAATCATTATTCCCCTGCCGGGAATGTACTGTCTGCTAAGGTCATTTACACTGTACTGAAGCTTCTTCCCCTTAGTCAGCATGCACTAATTGATGGGCAGAGGGCAACCAATGTGACTGAATGCTCTGTACCTTTAGAGTCAGAATTTAACGGAGGGCTTGGAGCAAAAATGCCATTAGAAGCTTGTGAAATACCTAAGAAATGAATAAATGCACCCTCATCATAATTATGAGGACACATTTTTGCATCTCACCCTGTTCACATTTTCTGTTGACTTGTCAAATATGTAAATGTGACCGTGACCAACGTCCACTGTGGGCCACTGTAGGTAATAAATAGGAGCAATGACCAGCAGGCTCTTTTTAGGTCACCCTTAAAGCCTCACCCTGAAAGCCTCACCCTGAAAGCCTCATCCTGAAAGCGAACTGCACACCTCAACTTACACCATCATTTTATCATTGCAAGTCATGGAAAGAAAAAGTAGAGGATAAATGAAAATCATTCAGGTTAACTTTAAGAGGGTATATTTACATGTATAACTTGAATGAATTTAATGTATGTGATAGTTATGTGGGTATGATGGACTGTGCAGGGCTTTGCTTTAAAGAGCTCTCCTCCAATTTTAAACTTGAAGATTATTGTACTTAGCCCGAGGAGTACTAATCATTCTGTGTAAACAGCTGTATAATGTCCCCTGTGTCCCTGGTGTGAGCTTTCCAAAGTCTGAGAAAATAACCCTGATCCTGTCATTGGAGTTATCTTAAATTGGAGCTTGAGAGTTCAGGTTTACACAAAACGACTGCGTGACACATTTGAGGTGTGGATTTTTAAAAATGTGTTATGATAATTGTAGGATCCACTGTGTTTGGGGCTTGACCCTTAATAGGTAGTAAAAGTCAGGACCATTCTTTTTTTTAATGTCTCTTGTGAGTTGCTTAATTTAAAGTTAAATGAAATGCTAAATGCTGGAGTATGCCTTTTAAGAATATAATATCATATGGATCCAAAAAAGGCAGTACATTTATATTAATATGCAATTTTAGCATATAGTAAATGTTTTTGAGTTTTTATATATATGTGTGTGTGTGTGTGTGTGTGTGTGTGTGTTTGTGTGTGTTGTTAGTTGTCCTTGGTGGATATGGACCAGCCACTTTTCCAGCCCTACCCCTCTGAGCTGGTCTTCCAGAACTTCACTACTGCACAGACCTACAAGTTACCACTACTCCTCCTGAACAATGACAAGGTGTGTGATTGAGTGATGAATAAGTAAACATTTCCACCAATAACATGTTTCAATCATGAACAGCTGTGAAATGGAACGGCAACAGTCGGACTGTTGGATAGCTTTGACCTTAGCAGCAGAAAAGAAGAGCGTCTACTACATGTGTATTTGTGGGTGTGTGTGTGTAATGGGGTGTGGGTTGTTTTGTGCAGAATTATTTGAAAAGGTCATGGGGGGTTGGAGGAGATTTATTGCTTCAATTTGTACAAGACACCATCAAGTAATAATGAATAAATCATCACTTGTGATCACTTGCTGTGTGGAGCTTGCAATTTTATAAAGTTTGTGTGATGTTTTTTTGTCAAGGTTTCACGACAAGTGAAGCTGGAGCTGCAGGACTCAGAGTATTTCCATGTGGTCGGTCCAAAGGATGCAGGTAGCAAGATTGCATCAGGAATGTCTGCTACTTTCACTGTCTTCTTCACCCCGCAAGAAGACAAGGTACTGAAGACAGAGAGGTTTGATTGCTTCATAGAATAATCATACACAGAAGGCCAGATTCACAGAGCACAATGACATATCATGGTAACATGCACATAGGTGGATAGAATTTAGATTAGATGAAGCTGTAATCAGACCTGCAGGGAAGCAGAGAATAGGATGTTGGTAAGAATGTGACATTAGAAAGATAATGCTCTAAGTAAGTACTAAGTACTCTAAATAAGACAGTAATATAGAATACATAGATTTAATGAATAATATGAAAACACAGACCATTACAGATTATAAATTAAATGTATGCAGTTATTCTGCATTCCTATTTTGTCCCTAAATCTCTTTCAAAAGCAAGGTCAGAGTCAGAAGGTTAAGGGTCAAAGGTCAGGCATTGAGTTACACTCGCATAACCTTTTATCGTCTCTTTTACTGATACTGTGGGTGAAAGTGAAAACTGAGACGCAAAGGTCAACATGAAATGTAGTAAATGTTTAAGGTAACATAATCCCTTACATTTGTCATAGCTGTTTTATTGTGGCCACCACACTTAATGTTTTAGGTTATTCTTTCAGCGTGGTTCTAGGGATGGCCAAGTCAGGCTGTCGGTTGGTTGGTCAGTCCACCACGTTGGCACAAACTGAAATATCTAACAAACATTTGTGGTCCTCATATAGTTGGATAAATCCTACTGACTTTGGCAATACCCCTCTACATCTAGTGTTTTTATTGAATTCTCTTGACAGCTTTTGGATAGATTATTGCTATATTTTGTAATTTCAGTGATTTGAATTGTAATCATTTCTATCCTCTGCCTCTTCATCCAGCACCATCATCAGGTCAAAATATTAATTTGTCCATTACTTTGGTTCATGTCCAAATACCAGCAAAAAATTTGATATTTATGTCAGCGTCAGTCCTAATCACCATGTTAACATGCTAGTATGTGTCTAAGTACAGCCTCATAGAGCTGCTAGCCTGACTGTAGACTCTTATAACAGGTTTGTGGCTGCTTTGCCAAGTGGTGTGCATACACATGTTAAATCAGAAAATACTATAAACAAAGGTTTGCTAGGTAATGACTTAAAAATGAAAAATGATTTACACATTTCTCTATTCAGGACTACCACCACAGACTGGTTTGTGTGACAGAGAGGGAGCGGTTTGAGGTCCCAGTCCTTGCCATTGGGCCACGTGCCATTCTTGACTTTCGGGATGAGCTCCATTTACCCCTCTGTCCGGTGAAAGCCTCCACACAGAGGACTCAGCTAGTCCGCAACATAGGAAACAGCAAGGCCAAGTTCAAGCTGCACACACAGAGGTTAGAGTCTGTATAGAATGTGTTTATGTCTGCTGTGTTTGACTGATTTCATGTATGATATTTTACATTATAGCAGATAGTTATTAAATAAATAAATAAACAGTTAATTTACACATTAACTCACTAACCCAGAATCACAACTTGACAGCAAATATTTTTCGTAGCAAGTGTTAAACAACTATATAGCTATACTTGGTGTAAGGTAAATATTTTATTAGCAAGTAATTAGTATTGATTACAATTAAAGTTTTATTGAACTTTTGGGTGTCTTCTGCCAGTTTCTAAAAGGACATTGTGCCTTGGCAATTATATACAGTGCATTTGGAAAGTGTTCAGACCCCTTCAATTTTATATATATATATATATATATATATATATACACACCAAGCCTGTTTTATTCCACCCTGTGACAGTCTATTCTATTCTATTTTATTTCAGGCCTTTCACAGTGACACCCTCCTCTGGGACCCTTGATAAAGGCGAGAGCATGCAGGTGACAGTGGATTTCCACCCCATGACCATAGGAGACCACCGCCAGGACCTGCTGCTGCACTACCATACTGGTGAGAGAAATTCAGGCCTTAAAACAAAACTACAAAACTGTTCCACAAATAACTTAAGAATAAGTTAAGCTTCTGACATTAGTGTCAATTGTACAATAGCATAACTTATTGATTTCCCAAAGTAAAAGTAGGTGTTCCAAGTAATAAAATATTCATATTTAGTTGACCTGATCTGCATATCCAGAATTTTTTATGCCCCCGCAACAGTGACAGCTGTGGCTGGAGGCATTATGTTTAAGGTTGTCCATCTGTCCATACGTCCCATTCGTGTGAATGTGATATCTAAGTAACTCCTTAAGGAAATCTCCTCAAATGTGGTACAAATGACTCAGCAACAGAAGGGGAGATTGTGACCATAGTTCCTGCAACCTGACAGCTTAGCAGGTGCATACAACCACAAGGTGGCAATTCTAGTTCATAACAAGAATGACCTTGTTACTGTGTGTTTCTTATTAGATGTGTTATTTTTCCATCTAAGTATGTTTCTGGAAACTAAATTTTATTGTGCTTTGAATGCCTCCATAGAAAAGAGGCAGTGAGCTTTCAGACAATCTGTCTCTCATCTGTCAAAATGTGCTTCTCAGTCTGTCTGTCTCTATTTGTGCAACACTGTGTCACAGAAATAGATTTCATTTGGCTTCATCAAAATCTGACAGTCTGACACATAATTGAACCATAAAGGACAAATATCAGTATTCTATCAACATAACAGTTTTCTTTTGTAATACACATAAATATGTGAGACTTCTCTTCAGTGAGACTTTCAACAAAGTACATTGTCTCAATCCGTCATTATATCTGATATGGCCAGGCACACACGTACACACAGGCACACACTACAAGCACACACACGCAGATGGAAGCAGAGATATTCAAACTACCAAGTTTTTCATTCATCAGCTGTGTCAAATGGTATGGAACTAAAAGGATGAATGTGTTTGCTATATTCACAGAGGTGAACACCTTAATAAGATTCCCTCTCTGCAGCAATGGTGACCCTGAAGCAGAAAAAGACTGCCAAACAGGCCCCACCATCAGAACACACACACACACACACACACACACACACACACACACACACACACACACACACACACACACACACACACACACACATTCCAGTTCAGGGTTTGATGACAGGTGCTCACTTGTTACAGATGAGAAGCCAGTTTGTTTAGTTTATACTTACTTATACTTATCTATACAATATTATCGCTTGTGTGTGTGCTTTACCGTCTCTGTCACATATGCAGCCCTTATCAGTGTTTTCCATCCACATACCTATCTGTAGCAGCTCAACACAGTTCGATTCCCCAAGCTGATCCAATTAACTGCTCATTGTCTCTTTTCTAATTGTCTTCTTTTTGCTGCTTGATTTAAACCCAGTATGCTGTGTATATGGCTGTATGTGCAGGAATGAATGTGGCTGGTTTTGTATTAAGAACAAGCCTTTAACCTTAGATGTAGCAGATGAGTAGATACTAACAAGGTACTTTAGAGCTTGTGTGGATATGTGTGTGTGTTTATGTCTGCTTGGGGCCATGGAGTCAAAGGTGAAATACGTAATGGTCCCTAACCCTAACCCTATAACATCCTAAGGGAGCTGGGCTGTAAGCATGGAGGGCGTTGTGATCATAAAGATTTTGCAGTAAATGTTGCCATTCCATGAGAATAAATCACTGTTATTTCTGTGGTTAAAAAGTTTGATGAATAACAACAAAATTGCATTGTGTTTATTAGTTTAAACTGTGACAATTTTGTTGTTCTGTTAATTTGGTTACAATGAATCAGCTCTGAGTCATTTATCCTCATTAAGGATTTTATATTACCATTGCTTGATAAACGCTTTAATACCATACTGTAGTTTTGCACCCAGTTGTCATTGGTTTTGTGGATAGCCTTGGTTGCCTTCACAATTAGCCAGACTCCTTAACATCAAAGGCAAAAAGATGAAGCTTTTGACTTTTCCTATACACACACAAGGGGATCAATTAGAGGTAAAAAAAAAAAAAGAAAAAAAAGAGAGTTGGTTGAAAAAATCTGTGCATGGCTTTTATCCTGTTCAGCAGAAATTGTGTGTGCTGATCAAACTGGGGCTTAAACTGTTAGCTCATCCCGTTTTGAGCATCCTACATGTATTTAGGGAAGGTATTTTTTTTTATTCACTTGATGGATGGCAAACATTTAATGTTAACTTAAAAATAGAAAGTTTCAATGCAGTTTTGTCAGAACATCATCTTACAATAACTTGACTAACTAGACCCAATTCTATACTGTACTCTTTTTTATGATGGGAACTTTTTCCTTTCATATGTACTCCCAGCTAAACCCTGAGAGCTAAAAATAGCAACAGCAAATAGGATTGGATAAGTTGAGCAAGGGAGTGCTTCAATCAGAATCTGATCAGCCTCAATCCTGACCCAAGCTTCCCACATCACAGTCTCCTCTAAAGCTAATTTCAGATACCTACTCATTTCACAGACACACCTCCCTAAAAGTCATAGAGAAATAGCATGATGTTTAACAAATACAGTAGAACAGTTGTGTACCATGCAGAAAAAAAGACTTGAGTTCATTCATGTTAGTTATGCGTCTCCTGGGTAGATCACAATGCACTCCCCCCATTTTTACTGTGTGTGAGTGTGAGGGAAAATCCAGTAGTTTGCTGACACGACACTCATTCTGTTATCAGAAGTAGTCCTGAAACTCCACCACGACAAAGTCACCTTGTGCAGAAACAGCCTGTTTATGATTGGATAATGGTGGATAAGAGCAGAACTGTTCTGACTTCAGATTTATATTCATACATTTTAGTTTATCATTTAATTATTGTGATGCTATTTCCGAGAGCTGAGAGAGATCTGATAAAAGATTTATGTGAAGCTCTTTAATGACGATTGTTTTGAGTGAAAAATATATCTCTATATATGGCTGTGAATGAGTGATTTTGTTTTTATGTTTGTGTGTATTGAAAAGTATGAGTGACCTTAAAGGTGCAGGGATGCTGTGTTGTTGAAACTGCAAAAAACATAAGGGTGTAAGCACTCGCAGTGTGTTATAAATGTATAACACTTTTAATAGGCTAATGCACAGCAGCAGTACATGAATAGTATCTATGTGTATTCATAAAAAACAAGGTAATGACAATTGTTCATTAAGCCCCTAGGATACTTTGTATGTAAACAGCATATCAATAGGCATCTCTTTGGAGAAGTGTCCCCTCAGTAGTGGCCTTACTGCATCAATACACATTAAACATAATCTGCAAACCTCATGGCCAGTAGACATAAAATGTTTGGCTAAAGGAGACGTATTTATTATTCTCATAGATCTTTTTTTTTTTTTTGAGAATTCTCAATTCCCCTTTTGTCTTGCCCATATATTAAAACCCACAAGGATATTTCAATAGGATGTGTGGATGGAAACTTGAGTAATGGTAAATGGTTATTCCTATCTCTCTCATAACTCATAACTCATAACTCAGACCTGTTTATGCTCTCATCCAAAACATAAACTGATACTCTACTTATCTTACTGTGAATGTGATAGTGGGCAATCTAGAGTTAAGCTACTCCTTAAATGCTTTCAGTACCAGTAAATACAAAAATTACGTGCCGTGTTTCTACATAAATAGGCAAGTCTGCTGAAGGAGTGGCAACAGTAGCAGTGTTCAGCAGCATTAACCTTTTATAGTGGGAGGGATAGCCCAGGTCCAGAACACCACTTACAGCCCATCAAGAGACTATCATTTTTAATTTAGCACCTTTCCCTGATTCCCTCACTCTCATGTATGTTTCAGGTCAGCATGTCGCAAAAGGCTTTACTCTGCTGAGGGGCCATTGGAGACTTCAGCATAAGCTGGTGGATGTAGCCTGTCTGTCTGTCTGTGCGTCAGTTTGCATGTACAGTACACCATAGTACTTAAAGCGGGTACACATTGTGTCTTTATTTTCCTTTGTCAGTTAAAAGTCAGTGTAGCTTTGAAAAATAATAGTTTTCTCAGCTCACTTGTTTTCCTTCATTGGTGTGTTAGACATCCTTGTTTTGTCTTAAAAGTGAGTAAAGGCTCTTTGATGCTCCAGTAACCTCCCCTCCCTGCTTCCCTCCATCATACACCCCCCTTCTCCTCTGTCACTGCAGCTGATTTAAATGAAGAGACAGACAGCTCTTAGGGAGCGCTGAGGCATCTGCTTTGACAGGGCTATAGCACCAAGGGGACTTCAGTACAGCAGCCTTTTAGAAAAGCAACACACACACACACACACACACACACACACACACACACACACACACACACACACACACACACACACACACACACACACACACACAACACACACACACACACACACAAAGCAAGTAGCTCATAAACAAACACACAATCTCAAATGTAGGTACATGCATGTGCTTCCACACACTCATACACACACACACACACACACACACACACACACACACACACTGAAGTGCTGCTTTTGGTGCTGCAATCAAAGGCAGCTGAAGCGGTTGAGAAGTTCTAGCTGTGCACATACCGAATTTGTGGGAAGAGAAAGCAAGACGGGTTGGTGGACAGCTATGATGAAAGCTTAGCAATAAGCTGCAGCCCTCCCTGCCTGTCAGCTGCTGTCATAGCATCCGGATGCTGGGAGATAATTGCTTTTCTCTCTGTATTCCCCAATTCTCTCTCTCTCCCTCATTTCCTTCTATCACTCATCTTCTGTCCTCTATGTTCTCTTTACTCTCTTCTTCATCATATGATGATATTTCACGTCTTCATAGTCTTTCTTTCTTCCAGAGTGAAAGCAAAGAACTGGCCTTCCTCTGGGACTGTGCCAGGCTGTTTTGTTATCCCCCTCCCTCAGTGGAAATCTCAGTGATAATTGGCTCATTGGAAGCAAAAGTGACTACTCCTTGAATTCTAATGTGGTCTTACTGTAGGACACACATGGTCATTGTAGATCTTGTAGTCGATTAATCTAAAAGCTAAATAAGTCACATTGGGACAGTTGCACTGTGACTGCTGCTTTCATGTTACTGAGAAATGAGGTATCTCATGTCCCAATGAAACACTCCTGATCATTTGCGTTAAAGTTCAGGAAGAAATGGATTTAAAGTTTTCCTATTCAATCTGCACTGAATAGGACTTGAAACCTAATGGGATGGTTCATCTAATGAAAATTTAATACATTTGCTTATTATTGTGGGAGATAAATCTTTTGTATTTGGTTGATTCATCATTGACTCTTACTCCTCTCTTTCTTATGAAGAGTAGTATGTTCATTGATATACTGGTCATGACACCTGTCTTCTCATTGCCCAATACCAGCGAAGGTTGATTTAACAATCCTCTTTCAGACTTTTAAATGCACTGGCTCCCTCCTATATCTTCAGTCTTATTATTCCATATACTCCATCACACCCTTTACAGTACATTCTCTTGATACAAGTTACTTAGCTCCTAGGTTTAATAAAAAGTCTTTTGGGGGTAGAGCCTTTACTCACGAGCTTCCCTTCTTTTGGCTAAACTCTCTATGCAAATTCAGGAAGTAGGCTCTGTTGAGATTTTCAAGTCCAGGATTAAAACCTGCTTATTTCCCTATGTGATCCCTCTTAATTTCACTGGCAGGGTAATGATCTGACTGATTCTACGTTAGTAACATTCTGAATTTATCTCATTTTTGTTACTATTGCTGTTCATTATGAACCTTTTTTCATTTCCTTACCTCAGTCGTGTTGTTGTATTAACACTCTTACCTGTATATTTGGGATTCTGCCTGTTTGTGTGTATTCGGTCTCATAGTTGTCTGTCGGATGTTATATGTTATAGGTTATCCTACAAGGTGTGTGGAGTCTCAGGTGTGCACTCAAATAAACTTGAACCTATATAAACAGGGTAATAGCCTGACACAAACAAGGTCTAGAGGTAGCAAATGGACTGGTTGGATTTCTGTTCTTGTTTCTGTCATCATCCTTGCTGCATGTTGAGTGTCATTTTTGTCACCATGGTAACCAATCAGCAAGGATGGAAATATTGGGCTATGCTCTCTGAGTGTGTGTGTAGGGGGACTGTTTGTGACTGGTTGTTTGTGACACTAAATAAAATAGCAGGCGTTAGGGCTGTTAGGTCATTTTCATACCAGTTTTACATACCCTTGCCCACACCACCTATAGGAAAGGACATGTTGATGATGCCTCCTACAGGCAAAGACAGAAATACAGTTGCTTCTTTGCAGGCAGGCAATCAGTGTTCAGTCTTTCGGCAGGTTCTCCCATCTCTGCAGAGGACTTCTTATACTCTGTTAGAGTGACCGTTGGATCCTTAGTCACCTCCCTGACCAAGGCCGTTTTTATACCCTTGCCCTCATCTCTGCCATGCCTCAATCAGAGAATTGTATACATTTAAAAATAAATCTACTCTACAGCACAATAAAGTGTGTAAGAAGTGAGGGATCCACTGTCAATGTATTTGTTTGAAAAATCGGCTCCATAGAAAATAATATTAAAAAAATAAAATAAAAACAATGACAGAATCGTGTCACACATTCAAGCAAAAACACACAAAATACCTTATTCTTGACGAAAAAGCCAAACAGACATTCATAACCACAAACAAACTAATAAATAAATAAGCTGATGTTTTACATTGTATCATATTCTGGCTAAAGTCAAATAATTTGTAACGACAAAACATCAATATATCACAGTTAACTCCAGTGCTTTGCATCAATGACACTGTGTCCTTGTTTATTTCAACATTTTTAGATTCACATCAGTGGAAGTGCACTAATATTATTTCAGTCCACAAAATTTTTGCACTGTCAAACCTGAGTCAAGTTTCTTTTGCTTGGCCAAGAGCAGGATTTCACGTATCATCCTGCAGAGCAACCATCAATCCTCCAAAACCTTTGCCATGTGTTGAATCTGCATTTCAGAGCAATTGTACCTCAATCACAGTTAGTTGGGCACTCTGTGTTGCAATAAATTTGTAAGAAGTAATTAATGGCAAGTCTCCACTTTTTTTTGGCTAAGGACAAACGCTGAAAAGCACAATCACAATAAAATCACAATGAAATTCCCATTGGACTGCTTTCAGATGATAAAATCTCCCATGCCACTTTGATCCCAGTTTTCATTTCTAGTAATAATATTGACCAAGGTATCTGTGTTTTGATTGGTGCTAGGGAAATGTATGAAAGGAATTATGAACCACAGAAACACAGAGAGGAGAACCCGGTGAGTTCAGAGCCCAGACAACAGTATTCAGAATTCAGATTCTCTAACATTATATACAGATGGGCTCCCTGTGTGTGCTGGGTTGGACCTGTAAATAATGATAAATATAAAATGATATATAATGTATAGTATATAGATAATGTCATGATAAGCAATGTTTTTCCACAGGCTAAAGCTCAAGTCTCTCTTATTTGAATGTAAACAAACACTCACTAAATTTACATAAGACCTTGGTGGCTTTATACAAAACTTAATTTTGCATCTTATTTTGTTGCTTGTTATTGTTGCTCTTTCTCTCACTGTTGGAAAAGTGCACACTGTGATGGTGGCAACATGTTACTACCACAGAGACTCATTAGATGTCCTACTAACCATCAAGGTTTTTGTCTCTTGAGGCTTGTGGTTTTGAAACTTTACTCCTGAGACCCATATTTGGGATGGGTTGTGATGGGAAATCACATTTACTTTAAATCTATTACATTATGATTTCATGCTTTCACTTTTATGATGTATTTCACATCGCTGCATATGCTGGCAGCATAATAAAATACATTTTGGATTGGTTTTGATTTTCCAGGATAATTTTAAAACCACCTTAATGTCTTTGCAAGGATCCATTTGATCCAGATTCAGTTTTTCTAAGCTACACTCTGCAGTGTGTCCTTGACTCCATGCTGACTTTCTCCTCTATTCCCAGCCCATATTAGGCCTCAGACTCCCAGAGGAGCAGCAGTGGCTGCTCAGTGGATAGGATTTTGTTGTGCTGGGCAGCACCTCCACCCCCACCCCAATACAACTGCACTTTTAGGGCATTGCTTTAATTAAGAATTAGCTCCAAGCTAGCTTGCTTTTTAAATAAACAGTAAAAAAAAAAAACTAGTAGTCCCACTGGCAAAGTGTAGTTTGGCAAACATGGGACAAAGAGACAAAAATCAAATAGTCTGATGACTGACTTCTTAGACTGAGACATTTAGACATGAGTTGTGACAGTGTGTATATTTTATGGACAGCATGGGTAAATGAGTCCCCCTTTGGAAAGGGTCAGCTAACTTAAACATGTACAGTACATGTTTCATAAAATAGGCAAAAAAGCCCTGACCCCCTCCCTACACTCTACTACACCCTTTCATGACAATAAAGAACATGAACATAACTGTGTCTAGCATTGGTTTGGAGAGGCAGAGAGCTTGTATTTTTATTGCTCGTTGCTTGTTATTATACTAAATGTATAACTATGTACCTTATTTGCTTCAATTCAAATTTTTATTTTTGATAAAACTTTTTATTAATGTTTTTTTATTCTGGTATTAAAACTGAAATGGACTAACTAACCCCCACTTAACTGTATAGTAGCTGTGGTTACTGTTTATGGTTATGATTTTAACTATGTAAACGTTTACCATGTTTCTATGGTGTTGTTTATGGTGTTGTTTTTGGTGGGATGTACAGTATGTGGCATCAATTTAACATGTGTTAGCTTTAAGATGGAAATTGTTTATTTATTGTAAATGATTCTCTGGACAGTAATGTTTTGAAAGGCTTAGTGAAACCACTTATGTTTGTTTTGACTCGACAAACAAAAGGACCCTTTCATGCTTTTACTTTTCAAGCTTTGCTTGCAGCTTTTAATGTTCAAGCTGTGTTAACAGCACATCTCATAACAATGACATGTTCATGCCATGCACCTTCAGAGACCATGTTTTTGCAGACGTTTGCAGTATTGCTAACCTGGTTACAGGCTTCTGAAATGCCACCCTCATCTCAGATGGTTTCAGAAATTCAGCGTTATAAATAAATGTTTGAATGAATGAAGTAGAAATTTAAATGGGACTAAAATCTTTATTGTTTTAATCACAGCTCATGTGTCCCATTCGAGAGAACAATAAATAGCTCATAATCAAAAATCAAAAATCTACCAGTATTGACTGTGTATGGATTTGTGTGTTTATACCTCTGCATGCGTCTGCTGTTTTTGCTCAGGTGAAGATGTGTACATCAGCTTGTATGGGGCTTGTGAGGAACTGAACATTCATCTTGAGCCTGACTCCGTCTTGTTGAAGAAGACTTACATATCTCTGGCCAACGTAAACACAGTGTCTCTCACCAACAGTAGTGACATCCCTCTTCAGTACTGTTGGTCAACGTGGCCCAGCCAGGAAGAGGAGGAGCTGAGCTTATTGAGGTATGTTTATATGCATGCACATGAAAGAACACAGACAATACATCACTGTGATTTTGAATATTTTTTTCAGAAGTTGTGTATGTGTGTCAGCTACCCTCACCCCCCCTCCTCTGTGTGCATGTAGCATGTACAGTTACCTGCTGTGTATTTCTTTTTACCAAAGCGTGTGTTGCCAGATTTACCTTTCACCTCCCTTCCCTCCCTCCAGGGAGAGCTCAGTACTCCAGAGGGAGGAGGAGGAGAAAGAGCGGTTGCTTTTTCAGTGTGAGTCCGACCCCACAGCGATCCATCGCTTCCCACTGCTGGCCAGAGCCCTGCAAGAAAGTAGAAGCCAGGCTACAAAGGACCACCTCCTGGCCCTCTCACACAGCTGCGTAACTGTGGAGCCAGCGGTGTGTTTATGTGTGTCTGTTCTTGTCTCTCAATATCCGCTCCCTCTTATAACCTGCTCACTGCAAAGACAGAAATGGGTTCTGAGTGAAAAGATGAGATATGAGATTAGATCTGTCACAAATAGTTAACATTCATCTCTGTTGTTCACATGTAATTCCAGCCTGACTCCTCAGTAACAGAAGGGTCATGATCTGGGCCCTTTCTGCCCAGGGACCTTCAGGTAGCCTGACCTGTTCTGACACCGCCACCCCTCTTTTCTGCCAGTGTCTCCTCTGCTCAGCTCAGCCAGGTTCCCTACACAGAGGGAGAGGGAAGACAAATTAAAAACAGAGAGAGGGCAGAAGGGAGTGAAAAGGCGGGGGAGAGAGTAAACAGTCTGTAGGCCAGTCAACAAACTAAGCTTTGAGAGGACATTTGAGAGAAATGGTCAGCAGTCTCCACACGTACTGTGCACTCACCAGCCCATGCACACACACAGAGACATACACAGGTATAAGTAGGTCTTATAGGCAGTTAATAGGTGATTAGTGTTGAGCCGGACTAAACTGCAGGACTCAACCCCCCACGTTGTTTTCTACATAAAAAAGTCCCCTCTTGTCCATTCACACTATCAAGAACCCACCAGTTTTTCCCTGTGAGAAAATTTGCATTTACAATATAGAACCATGTTTACTTTACATCCTTTCTGTAAAATAATTGTTTTTCCTTTTTCACTTTATGTGGCTCAGGAAGGTGAAATATGGCCCAACACTACTGCACAGTTTACCATTGTCTTCAAGCCTGAGGAGGCCAAGCTGTACCAACAAACCATATATTGTGATGTCACAGGTTAGTCTCTGGCTAGAAAATACAACACGCATACAAACGCAGAGTATTGCATTTATCTTTGCAATACAGAAACAGTTTTCAATGTTTAGTTTTTAGCCATGCTAGCTGCAACATGAAATCTTGTACTAAAATTCACGTCCCACAGAGTCTCGCATGTTAGCATTGTCACTGTAAACATGTGCCTCTTGTGTGTCTTGTTATGGGATTGGCAAGGATCAGATCATTAACTAATTGTCCACGAGCTGCACAAGCAACATAAACAACCATGTGAGAACTGAAAATGAAATATAGAATGAAATATATATTCGATTTCTGCTATTTATACATACAACAATATTTATGTTTCACTCACATTGGATATCTGTTTCAGTATGTCTTTGAGGTGAAATACAGGCTCCACTGTCACACTTACTCTTCAAAATTCCCTCTGCACCACCATCAAAAACTTAGCATGCATACACAGAAGTGGACCAGGAAACCCCCAAAATGCATTTGGAGACAACTGATTTGCGTCTTTAAAACAACTTTCACAACTTTTCCACACTAAATTTGTGTTGTGTCTCTTCTAGCAGAGTTTATAGTCTTATACACAAAGACAATGTGTGTAGGGAAGCAAAGTTTAATCACAGTAGCTCTTTTAGGATCCATTCTTCTACCAGATGTGGGGCACGTGCCATTTCTAGGATATCTGATAGCCCTGAGATAGTGCCCAACTGTCTGTGAGTTTGGGGATAAGAGATCAAATTATGACAAGATGATGTGTATTAAGGTTTAAATTTGCAGCAGCTTTATAGCAACACAGCCAACCAAAACTCTCAGAAGCAGAGGAAAACTTTCTTTTGTTTGTTCTTCAACACCATGGAATTGATTGTTTTAACAACTTCAAACAAACTGTACCCCCCTGCTGTAAATCAATAGCTTTGGATTTCTCATAAAAGATTCTCCTTCCCTCAGTGGGTTGTGCCTCAGTGCAGACAAAGGTTAAAAAAACACGTCTGGGTAGCAAACCGTGTCTGTCTATTTACTTATTATCAGAGGACAACTGCTCCTCTCCTCTATGTCTCTTTTATGTTCTCTTCTCCTCCAGTGTGTGATAGCCACAATCAAACCCCTAACCACTGGAGGACTCATTGCTACTTGATCTCATTTTCATATTAGACAATTCAGTCATGAGGCCCCAGTATATTCATCTCACCCTACTGGTAGTAAAAGGTTGTTGGAAAATTTGCATGTGGCATTCACGTGTGTCTTCTGAGCCGGAGGCCAGATTTACATTAATTTCCATGTTTTCTGAGGCAGGTGATGACCTGACCAGGAGAAAGTTCAGGAGACTAGTGTACCCTGATTCCTCACTTTGCAAAAAGCTTTAAAAGCTTAATAAGCAAAACCGAAGGATAGACCTCGAATGGCTAAGTTTACAAATACAGAAATAGAAAGAGGCTACAGCAAATAAAATGTTTTAGAGAGAGTAAGAAGTAAAGAAGTTTAGATAGTTTGTGTTTGGACTAACTTTTGATTCAGTGTATGTTTCAACTAGAAACATAAAAGCAACCTTTCCACTTACATAAAATCAGTGCTAGATATGTCCATTACTGCTTGAGAGACAATTTATCTCTCTAAACATTAAATTGTCACTTTTTACATATTTTTGTTGTTATACTTCCCATCTCCTTGTTTTTTCTCTCTGACTCCATGTCTATCTTTCTATGACTTTGTAATGAATATTTCCTACATCTGTCTTTGTCTGCCCTCAGGCCGTGATTCTCGACTACCTCTCACAATCAAGGGCGAAGGCATGGGACCTGAACTCCAGCTCAACTATAACCTGATGGATATGAAGAATGTATTCATCGGTGACAAAAACTGTTATGAGGTAAGAAAGTTAAGCCAAAGTGAACAGTTGTGTCCCTTCAGTTCATGATGCCACAAAACTTAATTGCAGTACATATTACATATTACTTCATAATTGATCGTGGGGCTTATACAAGAAAAAACTTTATTTGAGTGTTGAATGAGTGGATACTTCTTTTTGTCCAGTTACTGGTGTCCAACAAAGGGCTGATTGATTCCCCCTTCAAGCTGTCAAGCCCCGACACCACTTTCGGCCGCTGTTTCTCCTTCAGTCCTGAGGAAGGTGTCGTCCCCTCTGGGGCCTGCCAGATTGTGGAAGTCACCTTCCACAGTCGCAACTTGGGAACTTTCTCTGAGGACTTGCTGCTAGCTGTCACAGGACAGCCTAAACCACTTACCTTGACCTTCAGGTGAAGTTAGCAAGTGTTGTAACTCAGATTTTCATGGAACATTCAGATTTATCAATTCTAAAAACTCTGTAACTATAAAAGCCTGCTATTCATAAAAATAGTCACCTTCCACTACACTAACGTGCTTATTTAAGAATCCTTCAACTTGATGTTATTGTCCAATCCAAGGTTTCTCATGGCTCATCTCTTTGTTTTGTCTTCCAGGGGTTGTGTTGTTGGTCCTACATTTCACTTCAATGTTTTAGAGCTCAATTTTGGAGATGTAGCCTTTGGTGGGTTGCAACATTTTTCCTGGGCTTATTCATTACTAAGTTGCCTGCATTATATGTATTATACTCTAGCTTCCACTTTTTATGTTCTACTTTGTTCCACTTTTATAACCTTATCACTCTTATTTTTTTCTCTCGTTTCTGATCTTCACTGTGTTTCATTCTTTCTTCATCTCTCTATGCAGGTTTCCCACAAACATTGATTTGTACCCTCTTCAACACCTCCCTGGTGCCTATGACCTTTGCCCTACGTGTCCTGGGAGATGGGTTGGGATCTGCTAGTGTTACCAGTGCCAAACAGGTATCTGAGGTTTCCAGGAACAATTGGCAAGGCAGTGCTGCTAGGGACCTTCATGCCCGGCCTGTGGAGTTCACTGTCAGCCCTGCTGGGGGCACTGTGCGTGCCATGTCAGATGTCACCGTTAAGGTAAATACATTTTTTTAAATTCATTTGCTGTCTTAGCAGCATACTGCAAGTGTTTGTAAAGATGTATACAAACTAGAGATGTACCACTATACCGGTTTTACTATATACTGTGGTGAAACTTAAGGATGGTAACAGTACCGCAGGCAAAAGAGGGCACTGTGAACGCAGCACAGCTGAACGGGTGCACATAATCTAAGAGACACAAACAGTGCGTTTAAAGTTATTTCCAATCTGCCTTAAACTGCTTTTATTTACATTGTTTTCAGTGTATATGATATTAGTTCATTCATCCAACAAAGCTTTACTGTTTATTATGAAGGTCTTGTCTTGGGGAACACAGTATCAATTAAAGCTGTACTAGGCGGCCAAAATTATGGGGTTTAGTTAAAAAAGGTAAAAGCACTACATCTCTTTATTAAGACATCGTACAAATTCTGAGGATAGTCGGTTTCGCCATAGTTGACTAAATAATGTGTAGCTCTTGAGAGATGAAATGTAAATTGTGAAGCTCTACGTACTTGTCTTGTTACTGTCAAGAGAGGATTCATTTGTTCTATAATGCATTAATCAACACTGGCATCGGCATAAAGCAACCAATTAAAAACTCCTAACCAAAACTGTGTTTAATGGTGTTGATGTCAATAATGCTCACTGTATCTCCCACTGTGTGTGTGTATTATGTGTGTGTGTATTATATGTACAGGTGACCCTGTGCTCCAACACAGTCAGGAGATACAGGCTTGCACTGGTAGTGGATGTTGAAGGTGTTGGTGAGGAGGTGATGACTCTGCCTATCAATGCCAGGTCAGACACAAGTACAAATGTTAACATCTCGTCTCGCAAGTTGAAGCAAAAATACTTATTTAGTCATACTACTTATACTTATTTTTGACTGTGCACATTAAGGCCATAAACACTGATTACTGGGTCAGTTTTCCTGTGTTTTTTCTCTTGTTCCATAAAACTGTTTGATCATTTCCCTTTTGAAAAGATACTTCATAAAAAATGAATGAATAAAAATGAATCACCATCCCTCTGTTCTAGTAAGACCGCATACAGATGGATATGAGAATGAGATTTGACGTACAATGTGTTACACTTGTGTCACAAGATGCCATAGAACAGCAGAGGTTCATCTTGGCTTTTACAGACTCGCCTGTCACCCTGTCTTTTAAGTAAAGTAAGTTTTTTTCTGGCAGTAACCTCTGCTGTGCTTCTGGCTGTTGCTGATGCTTTGACAAGCTGTGAATGTGGTCCATTGAACCTCCATACAGGTGTCGACAAATCAGTGGAGTATGTGTTAAATATTCAGGGGCTCATTTGCATAACAATATATTTGAATGTCACCTGCACCATCTCTCAGAATAGGACAATGGCAACCTGACTTCCTCACGGCAATCAACGTCATTGAAAATTTATGAAACAGTTCTAATTAATAGACCATGTTTTGGCATGATGCAGTGCAATTACTGTTGTGATTCATAAATAAGCCTTAGTTCTTTTCTTCTTGTTTCTTGCTATTGCTGTCTCTTCTTTCTCTCTGTTGATAGGTGTGTTGTTCCTGAGATTGTGGTGGAGACTCCAGTGTTGGACTTTCAAAGGTGTTTTCTCAATTACCCCTATGAACAGCAAGTGCAGCTTAACAACCCCAGCACTCTGCCTGTCTGCTATGGCGTGCTTGACCAGGTTAAGTAGATCACCAAAGCAACTGAAATTATGTTTGTATGTATACTGCGTGTGTGCCGGGGAAGAGATACTATAGTGAGATCAAGAGAGCAAAGGCAGATCCATCAAGGCTGATGCATTCATATTTAATACCATGGCTCATTTCCAGCTCAGTACTGCAAAATTTACTGTATGTGATGGAAATGAGTGACATTACTATAATATAATACGTTAAAGGATTGGTCCAACATTTGGGGAAATTAAACTACAGCAGCAGTTTAGTTTAGTTTAGCATAAAGACTGGAAACAGGGAAAAAAGCTAGCCTCTAAAGAAAAGCAGTGAACACATTTTATCTTGTTTAATCTATACAAAAACCATAGTGTAAAAATAACATGTTGTAATTGTGCTAGGGTTTTATGCAGGACTGTTTCCTGGTGGGGCACAGTGAGTTCCTAAAGGCTCAGCTGGTTGCCAGACAACCTCACAGTGACATCAGGTTTTAAGAGGTCACTTTTTACACTTAGGTTGTTTTTTACAGATTAAACAAACCAGATAAAAAGTTTGTATTACTCAGTAAATCTAGCCTTACTCTCAACAAGAAAGCAAATAAGCTTAAGATATAATTTAGTGCTATCACTGTATTATTTATTACTCAACATTATTTAGACTTTCAAATCCTTTTTGAGACAAAGTCAAACTGAAAAACAATCAGGTGTAAATACTGTAGCCACAAGGGACTTCAACCTACTGCAAAATACAGTAAGAGACAAGAGTGGACAGTTGTTTTTAATCTGTATGTACATTAGGTGCTGGGTCTGTATATCTGCATTAAAAGTGTGATCTCTATTGGTGTGACTTTATCAGGACTATGAGGAGACTCCGTCACTGCTGTTTGGCAGTTCCATACCCAGAGGAGTGATTCTTCCTCACACTTCAGAGAAGCTTCCCGTGTTCCTGCTGGCTAAGGCTGTTGGAAGGCTGCATCACAGTCTACGCATTGCTGTGTTCGGCAGTGTCCATCCACCCCTGGTCAGTGTGTGTGTGTGTGTGTGTGTGTGTGTGCCTGCGTGTGTGTGCCTGCGTGTGTGTTTCTGAGTGTTGATATCTGTGCTCTTGCAGATTGAATAATGTGTGCATGTCTGAATACTGGCAGTGTTATTAAATTTTGTTCTCTAACCCCCCTCTCTTCTGTTCTGATCTGTTCAAGGAGGTGGTCCTGTCCTGTATTGGGCAGGGTCCAGTAATTCATGTTCAGAGCCCACAGCTGGACTTTGGCAGAATCCCTGTTCTGAAGGACATTACTAGAACCCTGCACCTGTCAAACCTGTCACCTATTCCAGCCCACTTTACTGCTCGCATGGTATAAGCACAGACTCACCTCTCAACACACATACTGTACTAGAAGTATTAGGCAGGTACACACATACTCAAAAGCATGTCTTACTAAAATTAAAATGAACTAAATGTCCTCAGATCTATTAGCAGGATGTTACAGAGTCTGGGAGCAAAGGGTAATGAACTAAAAGCAACATTAGTTTTAATAATGGATTTATATACCTGTCCAGCCAGCTACCCATTCACCAGCTAGATTTCTTGTATAAACCTTCTGTCTGTCATCCCCTGCTCCTGTTACTAATTCATTTTCAGTATAATTGGATATGTAATTAATGAGGTAATAGGTTCATTGCTTTGGTAGCTCTTGAAATAATTAGTTGCCCATTCAATTTCAGTCCTACCCATGGAGAATAAGAGATTTTCCTCAGAGTGCATCTCTTTGCGCTTCCATTATAAACCAGTCACATAGTGACATTTTGTCAATTCAGAATAACATAAATAAAACAGATAAACTGGGAAACTGATTGAATATTTCTCAGCTCTCTGATTGTCTTGCTGTTTCTCATGTTTGGGACATTATATGCACAAACTGTCATTTAATGTTAAGAGACAATGTCTGCAGTTTAACTGACAGTTCAGCTGTTTCCCTCTCTTACACTTCATCTGACAAATGCTTTCAGTGCTCACCTGACCACTGAAATATCAGATTTTTTCAACAATTAACATTTTAAGATACTTTGACTTTACAGTTATTACACCTGTAATTATGAACATAAGCCAGCACACGTACGTGTTACTTTTTCTATATAGTTGTTAGATTTTTATTTATCATGCTTACTCAGTGCAAATGAAACTCTAAACTCTGCAGCAACCTGAGAGCTACAATTCATCATATTCAGTGTTTCACTTGCCTCCTGAAAGCCCTTCTCTCGCTGTGCATCGCCTTATCAGCGTTGCCTGATATCCACAGGGAACAAACTTGTGACTTGAACCGTGCCTCAATACTTACTAAGCTGGTATACACACCACCGTACGGGCACAGAAATTCACACACACAGGCAACCCTGGTGTAACTGCAGTGGTGTGACCCTGTCCTCTCCTCTGAGGCAGTGTTGAGGGAAGGAGTTTCTCCCCTGCACTCTCAAGCATCAATCGATGCAGATTCCCCTGGAATCACATTACATCTCACTCAATAGGTTGGCAGAGAGCCACACAAATAGACCTGGTGACAGAAGATCGCAGGGATATTGTAGAAGATGTCCCCAATTGCTTGTTATCTAACTGACCATCTGTGAAAAATTAACTACTACTCCATAACTAACCCAAACTAGGTTTTTATAAGTTGTCTTATAGAGTATGAAAAATATCAATATAATCTAAAAAATATTGGCCAAGCACTGCAGTCTGGACATGAAGAAACAATGTTCATGTTTGCATAGCAAACCACTTTACCTGAAGCCATAACAGATGTTTTTGTTTTCTTCTCTGTTGTCAGATATAAACAGAGATACAGCGCTAGAAATCGAAACTGTGTAACAGTCCATATACACATGATGTAGACGCCATTTTCTGCACTCACTGTTAAAAAGGGATTAGCCGGAAAATTGAGATGTTATTTTTGTCTCTTTTTGGCTGGCAACCAGAAACATGAGCCACGTAATATTCACGTTCAATATATTGACTTTCTTGCTGTATAATATTTGACAGGAGAACTGGCTGCAGTACTAACTGCAGCACCAATGCAGGATTTATGCAGTGCGATGTACTGTTGATAGTTGTAGTGATAGCATACAGCACAGATTTGGATTCTAAACCCTTCTGACTTGTGCTGCATTCAAAGGCAATCAATTCTAATAAAGCTGTGGGATGCAGCAGGTTTGATGCGATTATTGAGATTCCAGTCGTCTTGCTCCTCTCATGGGAGTCGACCCCCTGCTCTTTCTCCTCCTCCAACTCTACCCACCCCTTTGCCATGATCACTCTAGTATCGACCCAACACAAGTTCGCTTTCACTGGCTTCTTCACCCGATCATACAAATGCTGAGAAAGTGATCTGTGACTCCCAGAGTCACTCGCTAGTCAAGTGTTGTCTGCTTGTGTGAGGCTCTTTTCTCCAAATACTCTTTTACACAGGATATTTTGTAAGAAAGTGGCTTTGAACTGAGACGTCAAACAAAGTCTTTATATTTCATTTGTCCAATATTAGTTTTAGTGCAGTCTTAACTTCAGTATGGGATCGCAAATGTCAATCGCAGTATTTGAGTGAAGACATTTTTCCCCATTGACCAACAATCTATTGTGTTGTCCTATAGGCATTGAAAGCCTCAGTGCATCTGTGGGAAGCTCATTCTCAAAATCCCAATTAAAAGTTTATGTTCCAGCCATTCATCAACAGAGATGCTGTATAGAACATTGATTGTAATCTTGACCGCTGCTTGGTCAGATATATATACAGTACAGTGAGCACATTGAAGGGCTATCTGCTTTGTTGAAGAACTGAAGATGAGCATTAGATTTACATCTGTTTTTTCATTACATTGGACTTTATTCAGATAAATGCAACTGAACAATCCACAGAGCTGGGAAATATTGGATTTTTCTTGCAGCAGCATTTTCTATGCTTGCATCAAACACAAACATTGTACATGTGAAACAAATACCATTTTTAAACTATTTATGTTACGGCTTTTGTATATCTTAAAACATTTAAATGTAGGTTACACAGTCTTCTTCTTTACTACAGTACATCTATACGTAATACTCTACCCATTATCCTACTCATAGTAGGGAGATACTTCATCTTACTTATGTCAGGCAAGGAGCCACTGCTCTACTTTTACCTCTACGATCTAATGCCGCACTGAGATGTTAATGTGATCATCCAGCTATATGATATACACATCTGTCTTTCAAGTTCCATCCATAGCATAGATCTCAGTGGTTTGTGGAGAACGGTTAGAGGAAAGTGCCCCCACAAGGGAGATATTTTCACGCATCACATTTCAGTCATGAAAGCAGTTGCTGTAGGTGTTACTATCCTTGTTTCCACTCTACAGATCCAAAGACAGACATCCCATAGTAGCAAAGACTTTATGTTTTTGTTTCCGCAGAGCCATAGAAGGTCCTTTTGGCGTGTTGAGCCCAGTGAAGGGGAAGTGCCACCAGAAAGCCAGTTGGAGCTTCGGGTAGTAGCACACCTAAAGGACGTGATCCACTTTCAGGAGAGGCTGGAAGTGTCCATCCAAGACAGTCAAAGACACACAGTCCCTCTGTCTGCCACAGGCACTGGCACCACAATTGTCAGTGACAGGCCTTTTGCCCCAAGCCTTGACTTAGGAACATACTTCAGGTAGAATGAGAGAGGTTAAACTCTTGAATTAATATTAATGATATGGTGATTTAGAACTAATAATGTAGTGCTGACAGTATGTCTCACATTCTTGCTGTTTTCTGTATGCCCTATAAGTCATGGGTCATGCCAGTATCACTTCAAGCTGACCAACCATGGCCAACGGACACACCGTTTGTACTGGCGTATTGATGGCTTCCCGCCCTACTCCAAAACCCGCAACGAGGACAGCTTGTCTGGCAGAGGCTTCCTGCCCTCCATCTCCACTCCCAGGAAGAAAGATGTTCCGAGCCGTGGATCTTTACTCTCCTCTAGCAGAGAAAAGCCGGTGTTCAGCCTCAGCCCTTCTCGAGTGGAGCTTTTCCCAGGCTGCTCTGTTGACATGGTGCTGACGGGATCTTCAGACTCCTCCAAGGTGAGACAGTTTGCTTGCAGGCCCAAAAGTGAATAAACCTGTGAATAAGCTCTGAGTTTCATAAACATAGCCAGTATGTGTCCATTAGATTAGATGTATGTTGCAGTACATGTACAGCATGTTTTTGTCTTTCCAGGTCGTTCGGGAGCGTCTGGTGTGCTATGGCATTGTGGGTCGCCAGGGCAGTTCAGAGCTCATCATGTCTGTTGATGTTACCTGTCGTTTTATTGCTCCAATGCTCAGCATTTCTTCCAAGCAGCTGAACTTCTGCATGGAGAAGGTTGGTCAAAGGATCATGGACAGTGCTCTCTCCGGGATATTTGTGGTGCTGTAATATTCCTGTTCCTAAGACATGCCTTTATATTGTTGGATTAAACACAGAGGTAATGCATGTGTATGTCTTACAGGTCCCAGGAAAGAATCTAATCCCCGTATATGAGAAACTGGTCTTGAAGAATGTGTCATCTCTGTCTCTGTCCATGACGCTCTCTCTTCTAGAGCCGTTCTCTCTGTGTGAGGCCCCAGGAGCTCATAGCTCAACTACCACAAAGGTACACATACTGTACTTGTCCCTTTTAGTTAACTTTTCATTGTTGTTTCTGTTTTTTTCATTTCAAGTTCCAAGAGGAAGAAACCTACAGATCTTGTTGTCGCACAGATTTTGCTCAGATTGGAGTTGCTGTCTAGTATTGGTCCTCATATTAAAAGACCTGCAAATCAATTTTAGAGGGAAATCAGTTTTCAGTGTTTGATCTCGTCCACCATTTGTTTACATTTGGATCACAGATTGTAACTAAAAAACAGTTACCCCCAAAACACACAAAAAGAGCTTTCATAGTTTAAATGATTGATACCTGTTGTAGCTTGGCCTGCCATAGAAACTAGTAACTAGTAGTAGTAATAGTGGTAGTAAAGTGTGGAGTAAAAAGTAAATTTTCATCTGAAATTCAGGTAAACACAGTATAAAATTGCACAAAATGTTAATAGTCAAGTAAAGTAACAATTCTTATAATTGTATTTATGTATTTGAGTAAATATACCTGGATATTCTCCTTTTGCAAATGAAAGGAAAGTAAGTAAAGTACTAAAGTTAGGCAAACACATTCCTCAACTTGAAGTGTGCACTGAAACAACTTAAAATTTACAGTGAGCTTGTCAATGTATCTCTATGATTTTATATAATTTTTTATCAAGTGCATCTCCGTCCCTTTCCTATGCCTACAGTATGCCACCGTTCTACTTAATTTCCTTTCCTAGCTTGTCATATCTTAAGCATTGATCTTAAATCAAAAGTACAATTTTACAGATTTGCATTACACTATGCTGTTTACTGCATACTTGTGATTTGATTTGCATTGAGTGACAATCACTGCACTCAAGCCCTGTGGTAAGTGCTACTGAGTGTATCGATATGTAAGGTAAGTGGACGTCATTTTGAACATGACCAGTCGATTTAAATGCTGATGACTGATCAATCTTTTCTTATTTCTAAAAGGGTCAGACACAAAATGTTGTTACGAGATTCATCGTTGTTTCATTTCATCATATATTCATTCATTGAACAGAAGGTGTTGATGACTTGTACTTAACTGCATTATCATCTATAAATTTACTCTGAGATAACCTTGACTGAACTTCAGGTCATATATTCCCATATTGTTTTTATTTCACCATAACTCTAACTTCCATCATGTGAGTTGATTAAAGTGCAGGATTGGAATCCACATTTAAATGGTTTTCAAGCCCTCGGCAGGTCTCTGAATGAAGCTAAAAGGTAGCAGGATATTTGGATAAGCCTGGTTCCCATGGCAGGATTACAATAAACGTCTCATTAAACTGTGAGAGGGTTTTTAAAAGGGTTGTGAACTTATGCTTTGGGAGTCATCAGATAAAAACATGATATAATGATTTTTAATCAAGTGTGCAAGTACAAATTCTCAAAGAGTGAAAAAAGTTGAAGAACCAGTCTTATATTCTGTTGATTAGTTTATTAGTAAATATTGCAGAGACAGCATGTCTCCTTTGATATATGTAAGTTTCATATTTTTACTACTGTAATGTCTTTTCCAGTCCATGGTTTTAGGTGACGGGAAGCAGGCTGAGTTGTGGGTATGCTTTAATCCAGTTTGCTGTCAAGATCGAGTGTCACGAGTTGTGGATGAGGTAACAGTGATGTGCTTTTTTTGTACATCTTTTATGTAATCCTTGATTTTTTTCATCTTGTGTCCTTCTGAGCTCACCATATTTTAATGCATATGACAGTGATTCACCACCTGGGTTTCAGAACCTCCATTAGGTTCACAAGACATTTAAAGGGCTTTTATCTTTCAGTAACAGGATATTTTCACTTTTGCAGGCCTCTGCTGTTCACTGGCCATAACTTTTCATTAGTGGTGATGAGGAGCATTATTTTATTTACATATTTATACATACTAATACTTATACATAATACATTTCCCTGCATGGTGTTTTTTTCTCCAGTTCCTTGAGGTGCACTACCAGGGACACCCACAGCAAGACACGGTGGAGCTGCATGCTGAGGTCCACTTCCCCAACCTGCATTTCTCCTCCACCACAGTTGACTTTGGCTGTGTGCTCAACTGCACAGAGACTCACAGAGTAATCACAATCACCAACTGCTCCCCACTGCCTGTGTCCTACCGCTGGGCTTTCCTGGAAGACCAGAAACTCCATACCATCAGGTATATTTACACTGAAAGTGTCCACACACTGCGGTATCAGTTAACATTTATACCTATATACAGTATGTTTACAGTAAACCCCACATCTGATCTCACTATCAAGAATACTAAGTAGTGTACAGCTGCATACCAAATAATTACACACAGAGATGCAATGTGAATCTTCCCCATGGGTGTGCCTAGTGGAGCTTGGGTAGTACCCTTTACTGTACTTTCACATGAAAGGGATGAACTGGACAGGCTATAGGGAGACTAAGGAAGCGAAGGTAATGCTTTTCTAAACAGCATCACTGTAAGAGGAGGTCACTTGAATTAAGTGCCATGTCAAGACAACAGATTGAGCTGAATGTGAAAGTAATTTCAGAGGATATTAAACACACAACAAACCCATTAGTAGTGTGTATATATGTGATGACCTAGCCAGTAGAAGTAACATTTGTTCATATTTATTTAATGTTTGTATATATATTTCATCAATCAGTCAGAAAAGCTGAGAAATGTGGGTAACTAAACAGCGTTAAAGACACAGGAAAAGTAATTTCCTCTTACAGGAAATATAAAAAAAACTAATAGCAATGTAAATGGAGAGTATATTTTGATTCCTGGAAATGACTGGCCAGATAGATGATGTGATAATACATTATACAACTTCTAGCAAATCCACGTACTTTGTTGACAGAAAATTGTCCGCTATTTAAATTATAGAAACTTGGGACTTAATCACAAATCACAAAGCTTTTCCCTTAAGTGATGACTCTTTGCTTTTTCATAAACTTTTATCCACAGAACATACAGCCCCATACTCAGTAGGAGCTGCTGGAATAATATGATTCCTGTGTTATGGCTTTTTTTGTTATACTGAAGGATAAAAAATGTATAAAAAGTAGAATTCTTAAGAGACAAGATTCAGGGACAAGAACAGAATTGATCTCAGCCATACTGTATATTAAAACTGTCCTTTAAGATAAGCTAGTACCGTAGCTATACATTTAACCTTGTGAATTGGAAGCCAAATCCATTATAAATTCTCTGGAGAAGACAAATCTACTGATTGTGTACTTTACAAACGTTGCGGTGTGCCTTTCTCAAGCCTTTGCTTCGGCTCCCCTCCTTTGCTGTGGACTGTGAATACCATAGTGCTCTGTCTGTCCATGGCCTTGAACCAACTCACTGCTATAGCAGGTCTACAAGATTTATCACCTTCTAGTGTCTTTTTCCCTTCCCCCTCTTTCATCTATTGGTATTCTTCCTTTTTGCTCCCCTCCTTGTCCTCATCTTAGGTTTTTACATTGCCTATTTATCTTTTTTTTTTCATTTTTTTCCTTCGCCTCCTCCTGCTCCCTACCTAATCCTTATCATCCTTCTCTTCTATTCCCCTTCTTCACCATTTCCCTCTTAGATTGTGACCTCTCCTAACAATCTGTCTCATAGGCCATCTTGCTAATTAAATGGAGACCTCACTCTGCATGCACGCTCTCCTTCTCAAGTCCTCTTTCTTGCTCACAAAACCCGCACTATCTAGCCAACTAATTACATCCCTATCAGTAATTACACCGCAGCCCATGGAGAGGGGAATTTCAATAGAGCTAACTCTTTTTAGTCCATTTATCCCAATGATGGATAGAGGCAGTACAATACATTTAAATACTGTAACTTCTCTGTTTTTAAGACTCTATCAGCAAGAAGTAAACTAGACAGCAAATGCTCATTCCACCTTTTTTATTTGCATTGTTGTTACTGGTATGCATGATGGACTAGATTACTTGACAACTGAATGACTGACTGATCAGTCACAAGTAAGAATACCAGGTGCTTTCGAGGACGTTGAGATTAAGCCAAGTTGTACAGAGGGACGACAGCTAAGATAAAGATTCTTTTTTAACTTTCCAGGGACATGTGTTCAGTCTGTTAAACCTAGAGTTTTACTCCTTTAAACGGCTCAAGGGTCAGAAACAGCCTTTCTGTTTTTGCATTATCATGTAAGATGGCAACTGTGTGCAGAAGGAATCATATACTGTAGACCTGTATGCTTTTAGAAACCGCATACCTGTTTTTTATTTTTGATTTGGCTGATCAGGACATTTTTGTTGAAAGCTTCTATGTTAGGCACAATAATGGGAACATTACTGAGGATAATTCCTTTTGCTGAGTTGCTCTGAGAAGCGAATGAAGCACAATTTCCACATCTCATATGAGACGGACCAAAAATTATAGTTCTTATTCCTGTTTGTTATTTCCATAAATAACCAGCCTGCCAACAGTTGTACTGTTCATGGACTTTGAGGTATCCATAGGTCACAGAGGTTCATTATATAATTAGATTAGTTTCAGCTGAAAATTAAGTAGCAGTAAATGCAAATACTAAATAAAGTACAAGTAAAATTGTATTGAAACGCATTATGTCCCACCATGGGAAATAAGAAAATGACACAACCTTTGAAAAAGCTCATTTGCATGGGAAGCTGGTTATCCTTGTTGGTGTATTTTTATTTGCTCGCCAAGCAAGATCTTTGTACTTTCCGCTGTTTGAAAAAAATGCATGTATATTTACAGTTTATGTGAAATACTGTATATGAGAAGTAAACCAGAAAGAGTCTACCTCCCTCTCTCTCTTTCTCTCTCTTTCTCTCTCTCTCTCTCTTTCTCACACAAACAAACACACAGACACACACACAGACATACACACACATACACACTGACTCACAAACTGGAACCCCAGTAGCCACTTGTCTGTACAACCAAAGTTTTACAGCATCAAACTCTCTCCTTTTTCTGACAGACTGCTGGAAGTGAGATGTTTGTGGTTCAGCGGGCTTTGATGTGTAGAGTTTTAGTGAGGCTGAACATAGGAAAACACAGTCACATCCATGGTGTGTATGAAAGAAAAAATAAACATGGAAGAGAGAGAGAGAGAGAGAGACGGATATAAGAATGTCAGAGTGGGCTATTTGTGTTTTGAGCTGAGCTCTTACAGAGACATCATCTGCTGTCTCACCATCTGTTCCTCTGTCCGCACCAGTGGGTTTTAAACTCTTTCTTAGAAGACCCACATTTGAAAAAGCTTCTTTTTTCCACATGAGGCCAAATGGTTTTTATGGGCTCTTACGAACTCTCATCCACCAAAAATGCGCCCTGTTTCTGAAGTCATTGACCTGCAGTATTTGTACACCCTGACATCTTACATTGCTAGACTTGCTAATTTGTGCCAGACATCAGGCCAGAGTGCCCTTTAAAACAGCATACATCATGGATTGACCATACAACAGTGCCCCCTGCTGGTTGCATCACTGTCGTCCACTCATGAGCTGACACAAGTACTGCAGCTTTCTTGGGCACTTAACCATAACTACTAACCCTAACCCTAACTCTAACCTAACCTTGCCCTAACTTTACCATTACATAACATAATTTACGTTCAAGGGACTTTTTGTCCCAATAAGGAAGACATGTCCCCAGAATGTAACTGTGTAAACAGATTTAGGTCCCCACAACATGTGTAATACTGAGTGATAGGAGACTACACACACACACACACACACACACACACACACACACACACACACACACACACACACACACACACACACTATGGCAATAACATAGCCAATGTTCAGTGATTTAATAGAACTTGTCCAGTCCAGCTTTGAGATGGCTTCACTCACTAAATCTCTTTCATTCTCTTCCATGTTTATTCAGCACTTCACTGCAATCTATCCTGACCTGTTTCCTGCTGCTTGCCTATTAAAATTCCTCTTAATTATAGAACACTCTGTTTAATTAACTTGATGGATGCACCCAGTCTGATCCCACAGGGAAGGAGAGAGTAGAACAGAGAGAAAATAAGAGTCAGAGTTCTTGAGGGTATGGGTGATACAGATTTTCTTCTTCACCTGGGTATTACAATATATATACAATAGATTGTAATATCGTTTAGTCTTTTTTGAATCATCTATGTAGATATCTCACAGCCATTTTGCGGCTTTCATTTGATAATATTCATGAAGCTAGAACATGGTTTCATTCATATTTCTTGCCTCTTCTTATTGGTAGAGGGTTTTTCCTGTGTTCCATCTACAGTATTGTATGTCTATTTATACACTTTTGCTTTCATTGTGAGGAAAATAAATATTTAATATCAGTGATGTTTTATTATCCTTTTCCGTCATAGAGAGACAGAAATGCAAGAGGAAGAAGAGGAGCAGAAAAATCTGAAAAATGGGACTGAAGAAGGGAGGGGCTCCTTTACAACACCTTCTCCAGCCTCTCCAGTTCCTCTTAGCTCCAGGCCTGGTGTAGATGAACAGAACAGCACACAGTGTCCTGTGCGTGTGGAGGAGGTAGGCAAATGCTCATGTGTAAACAAATAAGGGTTTCCCTGAGATTTCACTTTGTCAGGGGATGGGGAGAGCACCTAACAGCAGCTAATAGGCAAGTTATTCCCTCTCTGTGTGCTGCAGTGCTATTACTATAGAGGTAGACACACATGCACATGCCACACCCAAGCACATTTTTCCATTATAAACCTCATTGTGGAGATTCCCCCTCAGAGTATCTTCCTGATTTTTCATACATTGATGTAACAGAGTTTTGAGACTCATTTGAAGGTTCCCTGATTCATAACTTATAATGTTTCTGATGTTTCCCTGACTAAAGTGGTCAGAGAATACTTTGATTACATCTTTGCACTTGTAACTCAGTTAGGGCTGCAACTAATTACTTTATTCATTGATTAATCAACCGAATGAAATCTGCTTCTTGTCTATATATTGGAAGAAATATCATCGTCTGACCAACAATCCAGAAAAAGAAATCATTTAGTATATATTGATTAAGTCAGTGACTAAGTGACAAATCAGTAGGACACACCACCAGTGCAGACTCTAGATGAGAAATGTTCTGAAATACTAGAGCTTAAAGGAACAGCTGAACATTTTACGCTTTCTTGCCAAGATTTAAATGAGAAAATAACTAACCGCTGTCATATCTGTCAATTAAATATGAAGCTGGACTCGGATATAGTTAGCTTAACTTAGTGCAAAGACTGGAAGCAGCGGGAAACTGCTGGCATAGCTCTGTCATGGAGGAAAAAGCCTGCTTACCAGAGCCTCTACATTTTCCTAATTATCTAACTATATCGTATTTATATCTTTTTTTTTAAATTCTGTATGAAATCCTGTGTTTAAGCATCAAGCCGTGCTTTTATGGGAGGTTGGGCGGCTGTGCCTCAGGAGATAGAGCGGGTCGTCTACTAATTAGAAGGTCGGTGGTTTCGATCCCCGGCTCCTCCAGGCCGCATGTCGAAGTATTCTTGGGCAAGATACTGAACCCCTCATTGCCCCTGATGGCTGCTCCATCAGACTATGAGTGTGATGGGTGAATGTGGCAAGTATTGTAAAGTGCTTTGAGTGGTCAGTAAGACTAGAAAAGCGCTATATAAGTGCAAGTCCATCTACCATTTACAATGAATGCTGGAGCAATTTCTTGGCAATCTCACAGTGACATAGGAAATGACTGCACCTGACCTGGAAATCCAGGAAATAGTCCAGCACATTATCCTCTGTAAAACTACAGCTTGACATTTTAACCATTAGATCTTTGGATAAGGATATGAGAGGGGTATTAACCTTCTCATCTAACTCATGACATAAGAGCAAATAAGCACATGTCCCAAAATGTCAAACCATTACTTTTACATGAGTATCACAGTGGCACAATGGAAGTCACAAATGGAAATTAGTAAGAATTGAGAATTAATTTTGTGAGTTTTAATGGTTTTCTTTTTATGTCTGTAGGTATTTGATGTATTGCCAATGTATGGTCATCTGCAACCTGGGGAGCAGCAGCTTGTCACATTCTCTTTCTACGGCCATGAACATATCAGCAGAGAGGTGGTAGCTCAGTGCCGTGTAGAGGAAGGGCCTATGTATGAAGTCAAACTCACAGGAGAAGCATCAGTTATCAGCTACAGCCTTGACTTCGCCCGTGTCGACTTTGGTCTGCAGGTACGTATTCAGGGCTCCTTTACCCTGAGTTTAGTTATCAGTACCTTATCCCTACGAGCTCCATCAGTCAAATAGTTACATTTCACCTTAGCGTGTACAGATTTTCTAGGCTAGGACAAGGGCCATGATTGGGGTTAGAGAGAGCTGGTAATGGCAAGGGAGGCAGGACCGCTACTTGTGGGGCTCATGTCAGGGCAAAACTCTCCTTTGCTATATTTTAAACTACTCTTCTTTATTTTGTCTTAATTTTCTTCCTTGTTGTCTTGTTATCCCTCTTTTCTTGTCTTTGCTTTCCCTTTGCCATCTGTTTGCTCGACCCATGTGTGGCACATGATATGTCAGACAAAACTAATTCAAATTTTGAAAAACTTGGGGAAATTGTGCATTCTGCCATTTTTGAAATGACACTGACGGGCCTGAGGGGAGTGTGACGGATGATGTGTTTGCTGCATTGGTGTAGTTTGTTTCCCGACTATTTGTGCTTGTTGACTGTTAGTGTTTTGACTGACAATCCATCCGATTTCACTCTCCCCAATTCCATTTTTTTCTGTCATCACAGAATCTAAAGCTGAGGAACAACTTGTGGGATGGGTGCTTGCATGCTATTAGGATACACATTATTTAAAGACACAATATCTACTGTTGGTATCAAATGTTTTCGACTACATTTTCCACAATAAAAAGTCTGCTTGAGAAGAAGGACATTAACTTTGAATGACACTATGTAGTTTTTCACAGTTTGGTGTTTTGCACTTCCACCCCCCTGTAAGTATGCAAGCCATCCACACCAGTTGTCATTGATATTCAAAACAAGGACATATTGATTTTTTATTCAGTTGAAATGAGCAATTCAGCAGATCATTTCTCTGACCTTCCTGTTTGTTCAGCACTACTCTGTCTTTTCTTTTCTTTTCTCTCTTGATTTTTCCTTCTCTTGTTCGCTGTGTTGTTTTCTTGTGTACAAACATTAGATTTATCTATAGGATAAAGAAAGTCCTAAAACAACCACCTTGAAGATGCACAACAGACCAACTTTGAACAACATTATCTTTCTTTCTTTTGAACATTTTGAGCAACATTTTCTTGTTTGTCTTTACTTGTCTCTGTCTGTCTGTCTCTTACTTTCTCTTAACAGTTCCTTTTTTGCTCATATCACAGTTACAACTACTACCTCCTTATCATCTTGATAAGGTTACTGACATAAACCACAAGGTGCAAAAGGAAGCCAATATCATGCATGCATTTCTAGAAATCTGAGGTTCACTGTATCAACTTTACAAGGCATCCACTCCACCTAAAACAGTGGGGTAGTTTCTGTTTGCCAAACTAATTCACAATATCTTCAATGTAAAGAAAGGTACTGACAATTTAAAAGTAATAGTGTTGCCTCTCACCTCTCAGTCTCCTTCTCTTTCTTCCAGCTTTTTGATCATGTAGGGGAAGCTGAGATGACCCTAAGGAATACTGGCAAGGTGGGCTTTAAATTCAGTATCATATACCCTCCAAGGGAGGAGGACAATGAGTCTGATGAAGAGGCAGAAGGACAGAGGAAAGCTCCAGAAGAGGACGAGCAGCAGCCAGATGCAAGGCAGCAAAAAGACAATGGGCAGAATGAGGAGAAGGTCAGACCAGGCCAGCCCATGGTCATCCCCAGCTTGGTGAGCTTGTCTTGGAGCAATTTCAGATATGGGGGTCATTCATTATGTATAAAGGGTTTTTACCTGTTTTTGTGTGTGTGTGTGTGTGTGTGTGTGTGTGTGTGTGTGTGTGTGTGTGTGTGTGTGTGTGTCAGGGTTACATAGATGCTGGTGTGGAGCAATGCCTGCGTGTGCTCTACCTCCCAGGCACCCCTGAGGTGTTTGTGAAGCGGCTTCAGCTACAGGTGGCTTTCCTGCCACCTCAGGACATCACTGTGACTGGGGAAGGAGTGTTCCCAAGGATCAGCCTGAACTTGCCACGAAACCTGTGTATGTGTATAAGCACTCATATACACAGTAATGACTGTATCCTTGCACAATAAGCCAATGGAAGAAAAATGTACAAAGCAATATACTTCCATCACGGTGCTTCCTTTTAGCTTAAATCACAAAGTGTATCTGCTACAGACTACACAGAACTAAACTGAATTTCATTAAGTTTGCCCAAATGCAATTGTGATGTCTGTAACGTTGAACAATGTAAACGATTTGTTCTTTATGCAGCAGAATGGACAAACTTAGTCAAACTTATAGCAGTAAACAGAAGCTGCTTGCCCTGTAATGTAATAGTTTATTGATCACCATCATGGAATTGTCAGAGAACAGAGTCAGCTACAGAACAGAGCTGTTGCCCTAGAACTGAATGTAGCTTTTTCCAACAAGTTTTATATTAGAAAGCACTGAGCCCATTTCTTTCAGTTGATACAGGTCCAACTAATAATCATATCTCCATGCTAACAACTGCTGAGACACAAATTCTGAATATTTTTGTGTCTGCTCTGGTGTGACACTATGATTCCTTTGCAGCAGAGGAGTGCTACAGTGATGTGATGCAGCAGGCCAGAACAGCTGTGGAGGCAAATGGAGTCAAAAAGGAGCTTATGAATGGAAATATCACTGCTGGAGGAGCAACAACAGAGGCAAGCTACACACTCACGGTCACTGACTAAAATAAACAACATTGTTGTAATGCAGTCAAAACCCATTTTTTTCCAAAATCTTGTTTCTCAAAGTCTCAAGAAAAGTCATCTTAGAGTTTTGATTTATATGTTCTCATAAAAAATTTAATTTGACTTAATATTGTGATCATGAAGTCCTTATTATAATGTGACCAATCGAAATGATAATTCAAGACATCTGGAGTTTGAATTTGAATACTACAAATTCTTTGATTATGAGATCTCCCAAGGTCATGGACTTTTTTCAGGCGGCAAGCTCTGCTTCACAAGACCAGTATCCATTGCTGATTTTGAAACTGAATTGCAAAGCTGAATTACATACAGTATATTAAATATATTATACGCAGACTGTGCTGATTGTTTATTGCTTATGTAACGCCTCCATTTCTTTAGTAACTTTTGAGTCTTCTCCCTCTCCCCTTTCCCTTTTTGGCATGCTGCCTCTAGTATGAAGAGTTGCTTCACATGGAGATTGAGAGAGCACTGGTCAAAGAGAACGCTCTTGCTGTGACTGGGAGCTCTGGTAGTTCACTGGAGCTCAGAGACTCAGGAGGTTCCTCCAGACAGTGGTCGAGCCTCAGCAAGTATGTAGAAAAACACACACACACACAGACTCTCTTTTGTGTGAACAGATGGTCTCCTGAAGTGAGAACTGTGTTTTAAAGTTTAAGAATTTCAGGTCTTGCTTAATGAATAATATCTGGCTGTTTATGTTTTTGCTCTGTGGTTCTTACTTATTGGTGGATAATGTCATCATGACAACTGGAAACACTTCCACTGAATCTCAATAAATGATCATACTGAAGTATTGCCAGGCCTTGCTTCAGTACACAAACTTATGCGTGAAGTGGTTGTTGCTTGTTCTTGATGTCCTTTTTTACCTCTTTGCACACCCCCAGGTTCCTGCTCCCAGAATACATTTTGGATTTTGGTTATGTCATTCCTGGAAAAGTCCTCAGTCACACTGTAAATGTCACCAATACCGGATCAGTACCCGTGTCCTTCCATGCCAATCGTAAACCTCTCGCTGGCACAGGTGACACAGTACATTACTGAAGGGCTTGTGGCATTTTCAGTTCTTTGTCTCTGTTTCTTATAAAATGTAATATCTCAGGATTACTTCACCACAATTATGCAAAAAAAATGTGTAATGATGCCCCAGGTATTTAGGTATTTGAAGTGATTGTGCTTATGTGGTGCTTAGCAAATACACAAGAACTACAACTATATAAACAAACATTTAGCAGGTGTCATTTGTATTTTTACAAGCATGCACATACATCATCTTGGAAATAGAGTGTGCACATCTTTTCAGAAAATGACTTTTCTAGTTGTTTTCAGTGTTCTTCACTTTACAACATTTTATTTTTTTTAATACAATGCTTAAAAAATAAAAAAATGATTGTGTTGTTGTTCCTTCAAAGGCTTCAGTGCCGAATTTGAAAGAGTGAAGAATCTGCCCTTTGGTGAGACACAGACTTTCACAGTTAGATTTGATCCTCAAGAAGCCAAACTGCAGACTGGGGACATAAGTGTTGTCATGCCAATAAAGGTACACATGGGCATACACAAACATGCATATGTGCACAAACATTGTCATTATTTCTCATTCAATGTAAAATTTCTAAATAGTTGGGTCCTTGTCTGGCCATTGTGATATTGTTTTTAAGATGGTTATTTTTGGTTTTGCAGGTTGCAGGTGGCCCGATGGTGCAGGTGCGGCTGTGTGCAGTGGTGACCATGCCGTACATTACAGTTTCCACGGATACACTGCAGTTTGATACTGTACAGTGTGGCATGTGTCAGGTAAGTCAGGAGTCTGATAAGATGGGATACAGCTACAAGATACTATTATGTAGCTCTACAAAGGTTTCTTATCGTGTTCTACAATTGAATGAAAATGCTGTGTTGAACATTTGTATATGTGCATAATCTTTACTAAAACTGGATAGTTACACAAATTCAAAATAAATGTACTGCCCATTTTATCCCACTTTGTGTTGTCAACATACAGAAGGAGAACAGGAAAGTAGGTGAAAGTACAAAATGCTGTATACAGCCTAACACTACAAAGTGTGTGCTAGGCACACTAATGAGGCTCATTAGTGAGAGACCAGTAATGCTGCCTTGCTGTGGTGACATCTTACGATTGCTTACTGCAAAATCAGGTTATGTTAATCATTTCCAAGGACTTTTCTTACAAAGCTTATACACTGGAACAGCTTAAACTTTGTTGTGTTTAGACATAATGTGGTCAAAACATTAGCTTAAAAGTATAATTAATGAAGTAGCAAGAAGGCCATGTATACTGAAACAACTGAAACTAAAACTCTTCTGCTGTTGCCAAACAGACATAAGATTGAATTCAGGCTGTTCTTAGAAACCTTCTTAGTCTTATGTTTTATAACCCTCCCTATTAGATGAAGACATTACAGCTGCTGAATCATGAGCTGGTGCCCTGCCACTGGAGTATAGCTGATGATGTGAAGCCTTTCAAAAAGGTACGATAGTTGTCATTTTATCGAAATTAAATTCCCAGATAATTTTGTAAATATTGATGTCCACCCAACAAAATGTACATGGCATACTTACAGTACATACATACATACATAAAGATAAATACAGCCCTAAATGCATCAGGGTGACAACTACATATGATCTTGCTTTCACTCAGGTCGATAAGTTTCTGCCTCTTCACCAGCGTAAAAAAGCCTTGCAGGAGCAGCGACCACCTCCAGTGGTGTTTGAGATGATTCCCGCCTCTGGTGTGCTGACCCCTGGTGAACGAGTAAATGTACAGATAAAGTTCATCCCTGCTGAGGGGGTAAGGAGCTTTTGAGATTTTAGAGTTCAGCATAATGCATATCAGAGCACCATAGCATTGTGCGAGTTACTGCTTTTATGAAATGGTGGAACCACATTGTGTAAAACAGTTTTTCAAAATATAGAATATTTACCTACTGCATATGTCTTTGCAGCATGCTTACAACAGGCAGCTAGTGGTTCATGTGGCTGATAGCACCCAGCAGGTGATCATTACAGCCCACGGTCAGGGTGAGGAGCCACAACTTGAGTTCTGCCCATCGGTTCTGGAGCTGGGGCCTTGCCTGCCTCTCAGTGCTGCGGTTCAAGCTGAAGTCACAGTCAAGAACCCCTGCACTTTCCCCATTGAGTTCTACTGTCTGGAGTTCGATACAAAGTATCTCAAGGATGAAAAGGTAGTTCTGGTTTAAAGGGTACAAGCAGCTTTTCTTGTCACCTCACGTGACAGCTCATCTAATTATCAACATTTAATTTTCAGCATTTTAATTTGCCTCTCTCAGTTTCTATGTTTGTCTTTTCACCTCCTGGTTTCTCTCTCCGCTCCTCTCTCTTATGTCATCCCATGCAGATCCTGCGTCTGATGCAAGGTTATGATGAGAACAATGTATTACTGCTGCCCCCCAGGGTCCCTGGAGAAGGTCTCCCCACAGAACTGCTTGACTACTACAAGGAGTATTGCTCCCAGCGGAAAGACAATGGTAGCTTCAGGCACTCATAGACGCTCATGTTCATCTACAACCATTGAAATCATATACCTGTGTATTGTATCAGTGCATACGTGTATTAATCTTATCTACCTGTGTGCACCAGAGCTGAAGGAAGGCTTGGGCAAAAAAGAAGCTGAGAGGGATGACACACAGGAGGAAGAAAAGAGGTCAAATGATGATGACACCCACCCACCAGATGGCAAAGAAGAAGAATTACTAGCTAGCACTGTGAAAACAGCTGAATTGTGTGAGTACAACCCTTTCAGAAACAGAGCTTAGCACGCTAATGAAAGTAGCCTGACATGACTGTAATTTTGACAGGTACTTGTAATAAACATAAGATTTACTTAAGCTTGAATTTAAAATATTAACTTAAAACGCATGGCTTTCTCTCTAATTTGTGTTTTGTGAATTCAGTCATTTCAGAGATGACCAGTGAGTTAAGCAGTGAGAGAGTGGGACAGCTTGAAATGACCCCGGTCTCCAGAGCAATTGCCCGCCACATGTGTGTTGACCTGTCACCTGAGGCTCTGGCTGCACGCAACCGCAGAGGCATCGCTATTATTGTGTATGGAGCCCCACTGACAGGTGAAAACAGCAGATTTTCCTTTGGGAAAAGTAAAATGAAGACTTGAAGAACTATGAGGTGATCATGTGTTACATTGTCTGCATATCCTGTTTCTACATTTTTTTTCCAGGTGAAAGCAGCACAGCGGCTGCTCTGGCTCATCACTATGCAGGGGCATGCCTGAATGTTGATGCTGTGGTTACAGATGTGCTGATAAATGGCACCTCACCTGTGAGCCTGATGGCAAGAGAGCTCTATCGCTCTGCTGCTGCCGAGTATGCTAAGAAAGAGGCTGAGGAGGCTGGTAAGCAGAATACACTGTGCATACACTGCAACTCTTTTGGATCCTTTTTTGTGTTTGGGGAGTTGCAGTAGCTTAGAAGTTGGAGAAGTGGCTTGTGATGGACGGATGAGTAATGGTTTTCCATACTATGCCATTTAACAAGCTATTTAATCCTCAACCACCTAATGAATGGCTCAGCGGTCAACAGTAAAATACTGTGACTGTATCAGGCAGCATTGTGCTTGTAATTAGGGATGATAAATCTCTCTAGTAAGGAAGGACACTACTGCAGAAGAATACTCTATCTGCTTCCAGCTCAGGCCATTGAAGGTGCCACAGAACCGGGACCTGCAGTACATCTCAAAGCTTCAGTTCCAGCTCCAGCTTCACTTGATACTGTGCGAGTTCTTCCAAAACCCAGTGAGGCCTCTCGCAGTAGAAATGGCTCCAAGCATCCTCAGGAGACTGAAAGCACACACATTGCCCTTTGTCTGGTACATTTTCTCAAGTCCTCTGGTCATCTGTTGTGTGGCTGTTTGATCACTGTTGTCCAGGTTTTTTTTTTTTTTACATCAATTGAAGCTACTAGATGCATCTCTATCTTTGCAAGCAAAATGTTGCTAAATCTGGGTATAGAAGCTGCATATAGTTGCATGTTGCATAAGTTGCGAATGTAGTTTAATAATTAAATGTGTGATTTCACTTCAGGGAGGGGATGTGACCAACCTCAGCAGCTTCTTACCTGATCAACTACTGGTTGATATCCTGGCAGAGAGATTTCAGGTAAGACACACTGGTTTTCCCTCAGAAAGATGGCAGCAGTCTAAAGAGTATATTGTAGAATATTGTGTGACATATTACAAACACTTTCAAAATACAGGGTTAACAAGGGCACAGTGTCATAGGACCTTACATACAATTAAAATTAAGCATACATAAATCAAAAAGGCACAGTCAGCAGGCAGGACGGTTACTGGCTTACTTGCTATTTGTACTTGTGAACTGGCAGATATCGCATATGTATTATGTCTAACCCTTAAAAGAGGCTGAATTTCACTTCTATCACTTTTAACTTTTCATGTTTTCTCTTTTTGTCTTGTCATTACTGTTGGTGTTGCCGTCTCTCTGATAACAGTTAAGCGATTGTCACCGTGGCATAGTTATTCATGGTCTGGAGTCTGTGTACACTCAATCAGCAGCAAGCACGCTCCAAGTTGTCCTAAAGGCCCTTAATAACCGCAAACACATCTATGTAGTCAATTTGTCTGACTCCTACGCTGCCCTGAAGGCACGGGAGAGAGCACAGAGAGAAATTGAAGGTAAAAAATCCACCAGATTTGTATACAAAGTAATGTATAATAATATAATTATTATTTCTATTCAGTAAGGTTGATGACATCATGTGGAACTGTCTGTGTGTGTCCTTCAGAGGCTCTGCAGAAAGAGAAAGTGGACAGAGAGGAGCAGTGGTTGCAGGAGCTGGATGAGGAGGAGTATGACGCTCTGCCAGAGGAGCAGAAAGAGCATATTACCCAGCGACACAGAGAGAAACTCCGCCAGCAGAAGCTCAGGTACTGATCGGAAGATGGGCAGGCACGCTGGACCTTATGAAAGGACCCTTTCTTAGTCTTATCCTATAATTCTCTTACTTTTTTCCGTGAGGTTTGCTTGTGTGTGTGTTGCAAGGCGGATTCATCAAACTCTCTTAACTGCACAAATTTGTCGTAAATCACAGTCAAGAGGATTTGACAGTCAAGAGATATTCTACATTAGGTCTAAAGTAGATCATATTGCAATGTTGGGTGCAAGAGGAAGATGACACTGGACCAATTGCAATAACGCCCTGAGGAAGCTCTAGGAGTTCTGAAATATCTTAATAAGAATGATATAAACCTCTCAAATTGGAAAGCCATGATTATGATGATGTTATGGTGAACAGAATATTAATTCTGCATTATTTGTCTGCTTTTGTTATATACAGTATTATATTTTAATTCATTTAAAAAAACTGTATGTGTGTGTACTTGTGTCTCTCTATGTATAAGGGAGCATGAGCAAACAGTGAAGGAGCAGGAGGAGAAGAGGCAACAGGAGGAGATGAAAAGGTTGAGAGAGGAAGAGTTGAAGAAGAAGAACAAAAAGGCTGGAAAGAAGGATACTAAAGAAGTGTCTAAGAAGAAGGGTGTGCTGGACGGAAAGCAGGTCTGTATATGTGCATCCATTCCATGCAAACTCAAATACATGCAAACTCACACAAGCACACACAAATACACACATGCTTAGTCTCCCATTCAGAATTGATTTGTTTCCTTTCCACTCCAGTCAACAGAGGCGTTGAATGGACAGAGGATATCTTCCTGTGACAACTCTAAAGAGTCACTAGTGGACACAGGAGAGCAACATAATTTAAATGAAGGTGCAAACAACTGTAAAGAATAACACTTTTGTTTTATGCCAGAAAGTAGAAACCTTAAATTACTGAATTATAACACCCTGGTGCCAAAAAATGTTGAATAATATATAGTAAATAACAGTGTATAGACTGTAATCTCATTGTTAGTTTCTGACATATGGCCCTCTATGCTGCTGCAGGGCATCATAGCAAAGAGGCTGAGGATACACAAAAGCAGACAGAGGAAATCAAAACATCACATGCAGAGTCTCCTCAACCCACAGACAAGCCGGAGAAAGAAAAGGTAGGTTTACTGCTGAGCAGAGGCAGTGACACACAAGCATGCGGGTTGTCTGGCAGACAGTGGTGCAGGAAACTTTGTACAGATAGAGTGAAGACTAGACTCCATTAATTATAAGCTGATTCTGATTGCAAATGTCGTGCACTTAGTCAAGACTCTGAAACTGAAGAGAAGTCTGGTTCCTACAACAGGAAAATGCATCCAAAGCAGACCTCAAAATCCACCATGAACTACTTCAAGAGACACAAGTTGGAATCGTCCTCACAGTACTTTGACTTGAATATCACTGAAAATCTGTGGATCTTACACATGACAGGCTAAAATATCTCAGAACTTAAAGTGATTTGAAGGAAGAGAGGGAAAAACATCCTAAATCATTAGTAGAAAGACTCTGTGTTTGAAAGCTGTGATATCTGCCAATGATCTCCACTCTTTCAGCTCTAGTAACTATTGTTCATACTATTTGCAACCATTCAGTGTGCTTTGACAACATTTGAGGGATTGTCAGCCATAACAATGTATCATAAACTTTAATGTCATCATAAAATACTATTTTAGGTTAAACAACAAAGAGTTAACAATTCACAGTTACATTTAATAAAGTCAAATGTAGTTTACAGCATAAAACTCGCAGGTAATGTGGTGTTGCAGTTGATACTTTTGTAATAATTAAATGAAGACAGTTTTATAATCCCCACAGCTACAAGTAGACTGTAATCTTCTTGCTGTTTTTCCGAATTGCTTTTGCTCCCCTTTCCAGTTCGTTGTGGATGAGCTGCAGGCTCAGTTCAGTGCGTATGAGCAGAGTCAGGTGCAGGTGGAGCACATCCTGCAGCACTGGGACCGGGCCCAGGGTTTGTTACTGGTCTCACTCCCCAGTGGAGAAACCCCACCAGTGTCAGAGGATGCCCCAACAGAGAAACAGGTCAGTTTGCTGACCCAAATACCATACCAAAAGCACAGCGAATGTTGGTTGTCAGTGATCATGTGGTGGTTGTCAATTCCTCTATAACTGCTACAATACTCATTAGGAAAATTAGGAAAATTATGACTATTGATGATGACTATTTGTCTTTATCCTACACTGTTGCTTCTTATTGCTCCAGTCCAAAGCTTTTATATTTTCAGTAACATTTGAATTCCAAAACTTGCTTTAAAGTGCCAAACCATTTTAGTGGTACTGGAACATTGTATACTAACAGACAAAAAACATCAGTATTACAACTGCTGGATCCCATCAATCATCACCCTGTGTCCACAGAGCCCTGTTAGCAAGAGGAGCAAGAAAGCCAATAGCAAGTCTCCAATGCCCAGTCAGATGACAGCACCAGCTGACACAGACAAGGTGTCTCCACAGGACATCATCCCTCTTATTGTGCTGAATGTAACAGAGAAAGACTATCCCAGTCCAACAGAGCTGCTTAAAGGCAGCACCCTGCCTCCACTGGATGAGGTATGGCTGAAACAGAATAAATTGCTGTATGTTTCCTCCCAAAATGTATTGGCGTAAGGTAATGTAATGTAAGTTTTTTTCATATATTTATCATCAATTCCTAATCTTTTTCCTTCTCTCCTTTGGTGTCCTTAGGTGTTGGATAATTTGGGGTTGGGACCCAGCGGCCCACCCATCCCTCCTCCTGTCACCTTCTCTATAGTTCCATTCCCCAAAAACAGGGAGCAATCCGTCAGTCAACTCACCTGTGACTGTTTCACCTTCCTGGTTTCTGCGGGGCAGGATGAACAGGGTGAGGAGAAAAAGGATTCTGAAGAGGATGTACAAGCATCGGTTTTAAAGGTAATAGATGCATATGCATACACACAGAATGAAAACATTGTTTTGTGGCAGCAGAAGCAGCAGGATTTAAAGGAAATATGGTCTTTATTTGAAGAATAATTAGCACTCAGAATTTAGCTGCTATGAAATACACGCCTCCACTCACCTCTGTCATGGTCATACAGTTTTATGATTCCAAATTCTAACAATTAATAAATTAAGAATACAAATTGATTTCAACATTAAAAATGTTAAAATCAGAACGGTGTTTGCGAATGTGTGTGTGTTTGTGCACACCAAAGGAAGAGGCAGTGGGCACAGCATCTAAAACCCGCAGCAGGGGCAGCACTAAGGAGACGGCAGTAACAAAGGACAAGGATAAAAAAGGCAGAGAGAGTCAGAGAAGCAGGACACGAGCTTCAGCCAAGACAAAGGCAAAGGGCTCGGAGCCGTCTCGATCACCTGTACAGGTCTCCACCACCTCAGACTGCACGGAACAAGACCAACACCAAGGAACCTTAGAGCTGAAACGTAATCAGAGGTAAGGGAAAACACACAGACTCCTTTTACAAGGACACATTGTGGGTTTTTTGCTTCATTGTTGTTACTAATTTGTGTGTGTGTGTGTGTGTGTGTGTGCGTGCGTGCGTGTGTGCATGCGTGCGTGTGTGTGTGTGCGTTTGTGCATGTATTTGCGTGCAGCCTGACAACATTTCGCTGGGTTGTACCAGCCAACAGCGAGGTGGTTCTGAAGATCTGGTTCTACTCAGACTCCCCAGGGAAGTTTGAACAGACTTTCAACTTTGAGCTACTGGGGACCCAGAGACACCACCAGCTACTCTGCAGAGGAATTTGCACCTATCCCTCCATCTGCAAAGACTACAAGTCAGTTAGCATTGTTTAATAATGTAGTGCAGTAGTATAACTGGTAAAGATGAGGGAGGGGGTTATTACAGATACAAATACATGACAACAACACAATCATTGAACTTTGAAATCATAAAACAACTATTAACAATACATTAAAACACACAACATTGAACTGGAAAAATGGATGACAAAATGTGATTTCAAATGGACTTAAAGTTTTCATATGTCGTTTCCCCAGGACTCTTTTTGCTCTTAGTAAAAAGGTGCCACAAATGGTAGATGGGCTCCAGAAGACTTACATAGTCAAACCTGGTTACTTTGAGTTTGGACCACTACTTTGTAGCAAGACCAGAGACAGGTGAGAGACAGAGTGGTGGCAGTGAAATGCTTACTGTGTTTGTATCATTCTTTGCCTTTATATTTACAGTTTTACATGTCTGCGTTTGTGTAGATACAAGGAAAATAGGTACCCAGAGAACACACAGAGATTGGTGATTCGTAACAACTCAGGTCTGGAGGCTGAAGTCCAGTTCCGTTTCCAGCAGGACACACAGGCCACCACGTATCTGCTGGACCCCCCAGCCATGACTCTCAAACCAGACCAGAAACAGGTAGCATAGCACTGTCTAACCTTGTCCATTGAATGAATACAAATGAACATAATGATAATTAGTACATGTGAATATTCTTCTGTCCTGCTAGGAGTTGAGAGTGTGGGCCTACCCAACAAAAGTGGGGCAAATGAAGGACAGTGTAGTGTGCTGTATCAAGAACAATCCAGAGCTTGTCCTCATCAACCTCTCCTGCTGCGGCGTTCGGCCAGAGCTGGAGCTAGAAAGCAAGCATTTGCATTTTGACAGGATTTTACTGCACAGGTACCAAAATTTGGAATAATAATTAAGGAAAGACAAATTTTTCAAAAATAGTTTGACAAGTGATTTTCATGAAGCAACAGAAAGAAAGAAGAAAGAAAGGAGCAGCTTGATAAAGCAATAACAGTGATAATTTTAAAATTCTTGTATAAATTGAACTGTCTATTCCTCTTGCATTTCTTCAGTTAATCTCCCCTCTTCCATCCCTCTCTCTAGACGGGACAGCCGTAGTGTGATGCTACATAATAAGACAGCTCTGCCTGTATCCTGGAGACTGCAAGGTGTGGAGGAGTTGGGTGATGAGTTCAGTGTGCCGCAGGATCAGGGCATCATCTCACCTAACTCTTCTTTCCCCCTGAGCTTAAACTTTAGGGCCAAGAGGCCACTCCACATTAAGAAAATCTTGCGTCTGGAGGTGAGATATGTGTATAAGTACACAATGTGGAAAACTAGGTCAGAAAGAAATAGGCAGCGACTATGTATTTCACAATCTGTTTTTATGTATGCACAGTATAGATTGTGTGTTTTGTTTCAGGTGTCTGATGTGGAGAAGATTCTTGGCATTGTACACACTGAAAACATACAGGTCACAGCTGAAGCCTATGATATAGCTCTGGACCTCTCACCAGGTAGAAACAGTAAAAGCTAACATTCTATTAGAGCACCTGTTTCTGACTGAGATTTCACCCACCATCTTCTGTAAGTTGACAGTGTTCACTAAGCTGCTGCCCTGATGTCATAATAATGAAAAACAATCTACTGTGTACTGTTGTTTCTGTGGCAGATGGTTTTCTGGACTTTGGAACCATCAGAGTCTTTGAAGAGGCCAAACTGGCTCTCAGGGTGAAAAATCAAGGAAAATATGAAATAGCCTACAAGTGAGTGTACCACAGTATTCAAGTGTGAATAAAGGGCTTGTATTTCAGTTTTGAGTTTTGAGTTGGAATGAAGTGAACTTTATTTCATGGTGGGAATTTTTTTCACTTTTATTCCTTTCTTTTCCCAAGGTTCACGTTTGAGCGGACAGACCCAACCCAGCCAAACCTAGAGTCCATTTTCACTGTGTCCCCCCAGCGTGGCACTCTAATGCCCCATGAGAAGCCCACAACGGTGCAGATCGTCTGCAGACCCAATGCTGAAGTCTTAATTAGAGAGCAGTCTTTTCTGTCTTGCCAGGTCTGAACCACACACCGATCTTAATGATCACAGAGCTGGAGGTTTAACTAGATACTAAAGTCATAGCGGAGTGGAAAAGGATTTTATAACCTTATTAGCGAATTTTTGATACCAGAACTTTTTGATTCAATTTTACTTTTGCTCTATGATAAAAGGGGTTAGCCTTCCACACTGCCATTTGCTGGTTAAAAGAAAGTCGTTTTAGTTTATAAAAACATAATTAAAACAAGATTTTATGTACAAATATAGAAGTAAATTGCTCCCAAAAATTGTGTTTCATTGAGACTGTAGAGATTCCCTACTATTTGTTGAAAGAAACTGAGTCACAACAGTACAGCATGCTTCATGAGCCACTTGACTGGGGGTTAGGGTTAGACAGACAGACACTTTACATTTACAACGCAGACACATTCTTGAATTCAATCTTGAATTTTTCAAGATTTCAAGTTTTGGATTAGCTCAAGTGGGTAAAACTTTCATGGAACTGATTGAAGTGATCAAGATATGAGACTAACTGACTAACTGAACTTCTCTTGTGCAGGTGATTGAACCAAACATTGGGAATAGAGGTGAAACCATAGCCATCTTAGCCATCAAAGTTTCAGTCCAGTCTGTCTTCTCCAGGTTAAAGCTTGATTCTTATTATCATCTTTCATGTGATATGTATTAGTAATTAAGAAACAATATTACATCAATTCTGATTTAGATTGTGTTGCACCCCTCTCATTTGGATTCTGTTGAACTATTGTTGTTATACATGCTTTTATTTTCAGAATTGCTCAAAATATATGATTTACCATCTCATCCCAATCTGCAAGATTCATTATTTTATTCATTGGATGCAGTTCTGAGATTCAGCGAATTCACAAATTGTGATAAATTTCTCCTTTAGGTACAAGATCACACCTGCATATGACATCAACTTCGGTCCACTGGTGTATGGCTGCAAGAAAAGCCAGAGCTTCACTATTGAGAACAATGGAGTCTTTGAGGCCCGTTTCAGCATCTGCCGAATGATCATAGACCCTGTTCTACAGGGGAGGCTGGGGTAGGAGAACAAACACACACCCACATACACACAACACACACGCACGCACGCACACACACACACACACACACACACACACACACACACACACACACACACACACAAAATGGCTAGCACTTGGAAAATTTGCTTTAAAACTGACGAAAGAAAGTGGCAGTTCAGCTCAGGTGTTCTTAGATTGTTGATTCTGATTCTTGTGTATTCTGAGCCATGTCTACCATATGTGATAAATCCTGTTTTAAAATGTAATATGTTTCAGTGAAGCATCATTGTGTTGCCAAACCTAGGAGGAACATGCTGCTTTCATGATTAAGTTCTGTGATGTGAAAGTGAACAAATTAAAAGCTAAACTAAAAATATAGATGAAATTTGCCAATTTATATCACTTAAGTGTATGTAATTAGTATTTGTCTGTGAACAAGATTAGAACCATTAATGTGATGGTTGAGGCATTAACAGGAACAGTATTGGCCGCCTGTAGTCCTTACTGAAGGGGTAATAAAAAACTAATGTGGCTTGTGTGGGCTCTTGCCAGATTCAGTATTATTTTAATAATAAGGAAGCATATTATTACATGAATAAATAAATAAATGGATAAATTACAACTATGCATAAAAATATGATTGGTTTTGCTCATAGCATTTATGGTTCAAATTGTGGTTGTTGGCTAAATACTTTTTAACAAGTGTAGAACAATACAATATATTATATGCATATAAAATAAAAAATGTAAAAATATGTATTGTGGATGCAAGATTTACTAAATCATATAAGCTATGGCTACCAAACGTTACACTTTTTTGTCCGCATACATTAAATGCCAGCACGCACAATCACAAACCTCTGAACTGTCAGAGGTCCCAACTGCTGCCTAAGAACATTGACAAGTTAGTTTTCAAAGGATTGTGTCGCTGTGTCCTGATCTCAGGGGTCCAGGTAAGAAGATCCCTCAAGAGAGCCATTCAGGGAGGCCCACTGGTGCTTGTAGCAAAGTGAGCCGAGAGTCCTTCCAGAAAGACATTAATATTACACAGGTGAGAGACCAATCAGTATAGCAGGTGAGGTTTGTGTCTTTTGAGTGTTTGAGAACATTTATGGGAGTTTGTGTAAAGTTTAACTTGTATTTTTTATGCGTCAAAAGGAACATTATTTGAATAAAGTTAAACTTGATTTGCTTGGTTACTAATTTCCCCAAACAACTGTCTGTCAGCAGTTTTATTTGGAACCGTTTTTTTACTGAAGAAATAGTCTCTGTGAAAATGGTTGACAGTTAAGTCCGTGTATGTTTGTCTGTATTGTATCTCACTTTATTTCTACTGACTAATAAAAAGCTGAAGCCATAGTGAAACTATGATAAACACACTCCCTCAACCTCTTCCCATTTCTGACTCCTATTTTCCTCTGTGCCTCTCCTACCTTCCTTAGAATCGCCTCACTATAGGGGTCTTCTCAGTGTCTCCCTGCACTGGGAGCCTGCAGCCGGGGTCTCAGCAGGTGGTGACAGTTGACTGTGTAGCTGAACAGCTGGGCAACTGGAACCAGGGTTTGCTCATTGACATCAGTGACCGTGACCCCTCAGACCAGCCCGATGGCATACCATACAGACTGCTGTCTGAGGTCTGCAAGCCAGGTGGGTGCTGTTTGATCTTATTCTGGTGTATTTGATTGATTAATTAGACCAAGGTTGTGGCTTGTTTCCAAATGACTCAATTCCATACATGTTATATGAACGGATTCTTCTACAATCACTGACAGCACTGGCTGTGTAAACATTTACAGGGTCTACATCAAGGAAATAAAGTGAAGGATAAAACTGGATGATGTCTTTCAACACTTCTGGCTGCCATTTTGACTTTTTTTGTTTCCCAGGTATAGTGTTAGACATGGCCTCCATTTTTGAAGAGCATCATCTGTGCCACAACAGCAGACAGCTCTCTTCTGAGCAGTTTTGCAATGCTGAAGGCATTTATGTCCTGGATGAGAACAAGTTTATCTTTAACAAAGTCCTGGTGAGGCAAACAGCTCAGGCTCGCTTCAAACTCACCAACAACAGCAAGGTGCCCTGTGTGCTCAGCTTGGCCATCAAATATGGTGGCACTAAGGTAAGGCATGTAAAGCTTTTTGGGGTAGATACATGGATAAATTTGTACATACTGCAAGTATCGCTGATTGTGTTACAGTAGGTAAAAATATATCCTGCATTTCCTTGCAGTCGTCCCGTAACATGGAGGTTTTTGATTTGCCTGCTACAACTCTAAGTATTCCCAGCCAGTCACACTCATTTGCTGTGGTCATCTTCACACCACAGACAATGCAGCAATACACTGCTGTGTTTGAGGCCACATTGGAGGGAACCAGCAGGTATATAACTGCATGACTGTATTAAGCTACTTTGGTGTTCTCTTTGCTGTTTGTTTGTCCTTTTATTTCTACTACTACTATGAGAATGCCACCACCTCTTGTTTGTCTTGCTGACCACTGCCCACCTTCTCTTTCCTCTGGTGGATCTAGAATGACCCCCACATTTAAGACCAAGGTCCTGGAGTTTGACCTAATGGGAGAGGGCAATCTGCCCAGTGTCTGTGTGGTGCGTCCAGCTCTGAGGAACAGCAGAGGAAGCCCAATGTTGCAGTTCAGACGGGTGTTGGTGGGGCGGAGACATACCCTGCCCTTGGTGTTGCTGAATGACGGAAATGTCCCAGCTCAGGTGAGACACATTGCTCTGTCATTTTATTTTTATATTGATCTGGGCCATCAGCAAAACTATTTCATTTTTTTTTTTTTGTTATTTTTTACAATAAAACCAGAATCCCCTCTATTTGCAACACCCTCATGACTGTTATACAGTAGATAAAGTACTGGAGGTAACCTTGGGGATTAAGGTTTTTGTGAATTTGTTGTGTAGGTCCAGATTGACATGCTGGATAAACATGATGTGTTCACCCTGAAAGCTGCTCCTGGCAATGCTTGCACCTCCATCCACTCTACACAGCTGGAGGGCAGCACTGACTCAGGTACAACCCGAACCCATAAAGCTCTGTCTATAGTAAAATGCATAGTTAAGCTTTTGTAATAAAAGTAAATGTTTTCACTTTTGCATAGTTTGATTCCCATGCAGTAATGTTACTGTTGCTACTATTAAAGCTGAGGCTCAGTATTTCATCAGTCTCATCTATACCCCAGCATCCACTTGTAGACACCAAGTCCTAAACACTGGACCTTCACAGACTCATGTCAACTTTGCCATAGAGCTTCTCTAACCTTCTCTTACCAGCTGCTCTTAAGCCCTGAGGTTTTGTCTTAATGATGAGAAATGAGAAATATATTTCTGTTTTTACTGAAAAACATCTTTAGAAATTTGCCACTGACACTGTTGTGTTGGTCTAAAAGTCAGGCATTTGATATGCTCTCCTATGCTATGCTCTTCTCGTTTTCCTTTTTCCACAGAGCATCACTTGGTGCACAGAGCCATTCTGAGGCTGGATGTAAATGAACAGGTGAAGCTTGAGGTCAGTTTTTGCTCATACAAGCCCATGACTGTAAAGGCCAAGATGACCCTGCAGGTGGAGTACAACCAGTACAGCAATACCATTATTCAACTGAGTGGAGAGACTTACCGGGAAATCATCTCTCTTGACAACATCAGCAGGTCATCTGAGGAGATGGACGAGGAAAATGATGAGAGTGGTAAGAGAAGAAAGGATGGCAGTAGAGTAGAGACAGAGAGACAAATCATGTGGTTGGAATAGAGAGGAGGAGGGGTAAAGTAGGTATATTAATCATGAGGAGAGGCCAGTCCCTGATTGTGCAAATAAAAATGTTGTATACGTAGTGATGTAGTGTTTCTTATCCTGGATTAATTGACAAGACCTATTTCTCTCTCACAGGTAATTATGAGGTGCTGAATTTTGGTGACTGCCATGTAGATTGTCCCTACCAGGAGAGTTTCACCATGACAAACCACAGCAGCAGCCAGGTGGTAAAGTTTGAGTGGCCTCCTGCGGGATCCCATATCTTCTTTTCACCACAGGTACATACTGAAGGAAGGGATGGATATGTGGTCGTGGAACAGGGGCAGGTTTAGAAATGGTTAAATAGGGGCAGACTGGGGCACAGATTCAAAGAAGGGAGGTGCATTTGTAAAATGAGTAAAAAGGATCAAATTTAAAGCCCTGGTTTTTGGCAATAATATACTGTCTATTATCAATAGTTACACTATTCATTCAATACAATAAATAAATACCAAATAAACATATTTAAATAATCTAATATGAAATAATAAAGTATAGTAAAAAAAAGTTGCTATTTGTAACTGTATACAGTTTACAGCCACAGTCAGATGATGGGACAATGTGCCATCCCCATGGCCATGAACCTGCTGTAGAACTCAAACAACTTAATATCTATTATAGTATCATTCTGAAACTATACCCTCTTTTTTTTACATGCTGATTAAAGAGAATCTGTTTTTTGTTACAGGTGGGACACCTTCATGCTGGTTGTTCAAAGGAAGTGACCGTCACCTTTAGCTCCAATCAGCCAGTGACTCTGAACAGCCAGCCAATGAGATGTAAGGTTTGTCAGGTGGAGTTCCAGCAGCCACTAGAGCAGGTGGTCGACTGGGACGATCGACAGAGGACAGTCCAGTGGCTAAGTCCCACGAAGCAGGCTTCAGGAACACAACCACAGCAACCTGTGAAGAATAAGGTATGCATGTTGACGCTGATGTTAAAGAGATGTTGAAGAGAGTTACCAGTATAACCATTATAGTTGAGCAATCATATATATGCATGCAGGTGATAAAGACGGATCCAGAGCCCTGCTGCTCTGTGGTTGAGGGCTCACAGTGGATGTTGGAATTGCGTATCAGCGCAGTTTGTGACTATGTGAAGTTCAGCTGCAACTCCAACACTGTCCACTTCAAAGACACCATGCTTTATCAAACCAGACTCCACCAGTAAGTCAGGCATTATATGCTGTTTTAAATATAACAATACTGACCTAGACAGTGATCACGCAAAAAGATCCTTAAATTAAACGTACAAGTCCTGAGATATTAAAGATAGATATTAAAATTGACTGAAATATTGATAATAAAGATATCAGATACTGAACATCAAAATGATGATGTGTGTGTGTGTGTGTGTGTGTGTGTGTGTGCGCGCGTGCGTGTGTGTGCGTCCATGCAGACTGCAGATAGTGAATCAGGGTGGTGTCAAACTGGAATTCTCCTGGCAGGTCCTCATGGATCCAAGCAGCAACACTGTCAACAATGACCATGGAGGTATCACAGTAATATTGTATATCACAAAGTTTACCTGTCAACATTTAACAAGCATGATCATACCTATTCATATTCACTCATCCATTCATTCATTCATATTTGTATGATTTTAAAAATGGAGGATGAGACTGTGTAAATGTTGAAATGTGTAAATGTGGGCATGTGTCTTTACCAGATGAGAACTCCATTTCTCGACCTGGCAGCAGGTCAGCAGGAGTGTTGGTTGGAGCTCGTCCTGCCAGCGCTCTGGCCAGCGTGATGTCTCTTTTGATGCGAAATCCTGAGGTGCCACCCTTCAGTGTTGAGCCCAGCATAGGGGCCATAGAGCCTGGTTCCATGCAGAACTTTAGCGTTCGCTTTTCACCTCTGGAACTGGCCCAGTTTCAGGCCAGGCTCGTCTGCAGGTAAATACAATGTCAAGATGATACAGTAACTACTAACAAGGCATCTTAAACTTTGTTGTTAATCTGAAACAATTTACAAAGACAGGATGACTGTAAGGAAGTGAGTGGATGTCTTCACAAGAAAGACATGAACACTTAGTTGTGTTTTTTTTTTTTTATGTGTACATTTCTTTCAGTATCCCCAACTTGCAGGAAGGGGATCAGGCTCCCTGTATCTCAGTGTATGGCCGCAGCCTGCAGCCCCACTGCCACTTTGACCTTGAGGACTCAGACTACATCAGGGGGAACCACCGCAACCCTGAATTCAGGAACCCTCTTGACCCTAACACCAGTGTCATAGAGTTCAACGCTGTTGGTTTCTCTGTGCCGTCAGCAAGGTAACAGACAGAGAGAGGAAGATGGAAGCTTTTCATCTCCATCAGAGTAAGGACTAACACTTTCAGTGCATGTGTGTGTTTGCTCCACAGACGTTTTATTGTGGTGAACCCAACCAGTAAACCCTATTCATTCAAGTGGAAGTGTGAAGATGCAGGTGGCAGCCCATTTCACTGTCTCACCCCATGTGGCACTATCCAGCCTGGAAAGAAAGTGGAGGTAAGGATGGAGACACACAACAGTCTTAATCCCTGTAAGAGTGGAGGTATCTAATAACATTTCTCTTCCATTTTCTTACAGTATTTCAATGTCACCTTATTCACCTCGTCTCATCCTTCTTTTTTTCCATAGCACATCAGTCAATCTCAGTCTCTCTCCTTATTTAAAATTTTTGGTCTTCATCTTATTACTGTTTCACTTTTTCCCATCTTCCCCTGTCCCACTTCACAACTAATTTAATCTGCATTGTTGCTTCCATTTCATCCAATCCCATTTTAATTTCATCTCGTTTTATCTATTTTTATCTGATCTCAGATGAGCTAATCTCTTCCAGCGATTTCTTCATCATCATCCTTGTATATTCATGTATATTGCATGTTCTTTCTTTTTCTTAAATTGTTGCTTAAATTTGTAATCTTCTGGTCTGTGTGTGTGTATGTGTGTATGTGTGTGTGCGTGTGTGTGTGTGTATGTGTGTGTGTGTGTGTGTGTGTGTGTGTGTGTGTGTGTGTGTGTGTGTGTGTGTGTGTGTGTGTGTGCAGATGCATTTTGAGTACATAGCTGAGCAGCTGGATGTGGTGGAGTCATTCTGGAGCTTTGTGATTGAGACTCTGTCACTGTCTGTTCCCTTCCTGTGTGTGGGAAACACCAGAGAACCACTTGTCTATCTCAACAAACCTCACCTTGACTTGGGAGAACTCCTTGTTGGTATGTTACATTCATCCACAATCCTTTATAAAGTTGCACCACAGTATTTTTTTGTTTTCTTACTGAGGTTAGGTGACTTTTGTGTTTCAGTGTTCAGGGTTTTTTATTTGTTTATTTCAACAATATCTGCACAGGCTTAAGCATGACTAAAGTATACTTTACTTAACTCATAGCACTTTATGAGGGTGAAGGAAATGTGTGGGTGTGGTCATTACCAGCCAATAAAAATATGAACATGACCCCTGACAATGTGTGTAAAACTGGCCCTCCAGCAAAAATATTTTCCCTGCTGACAAAAGCTGAAGTTTTGCTAGGCATATAGAAAACCTACTGTAGATAACAATGTAAATACAAGGCTCATGTAAATCCCATTAAAAGAAACGTTGTAAACATCTAATACTGAGCGGCATGCAGACTGCAGCTGCTGTGCCAGGCTCATTCTGCACCAGGCTCTTTGAACAGTGCAGGGAGCTGGAAAGAAGTCTAATAAATTTACTACATGAATAACACAGATAAATAATATAATCCACTTCATTAGAGTTAAACAAGTAGCATGAGAATTCAAACACAGTTTTCAAATTTCCAATTCCATGAAGTAAGTCTGTGTGACCATAATAATGGTATAATGGATACCTATTTTTAGTGCAGTACATACATTCACGTATATGAATCAATTATTATGAACATGCTGTAAACTGTTGTAACTATGTTAGCCCTCACTTAATAATGAGAAAACAAAATCTTAAAGCACCTTTTATGCATCAATGTTAATCATTAATAAATTAAAATAAATAGCATAGGGAATGTTCTAAATGTAGTACAAATGTTTATGTGTGTGTGTGTGTGTGTGTGTGTGTGTGTGTGTGTGTGTGTGTGTGTGTGTGTGTATCTGCACGTTCAGGTCGTAAAGTGCAGCAGACAGTCGATCTGGTGAACGGAGAGGAGGAGCCTTTTCACTTCTCGGTGCTGCAGTCGTCTCTTCTCTGTGAAGACCAACAGTCCAGCCTCATTTTGCAGCCCATGAGTGGCACAGTGTCACCTAAAGACAGGTTAATGACACAAATATGAAGCCTTTCATTCCAAAATGCTGTAAAACAATTTAAAAATGTTCTTTTTTGCACAGCGGCACTATGCTCCCTCTAATAAGCATATTGTAGAAAATTGTCGTGACCTCTTTGGTGCAGGTTGCCATTGTCAGTATCCTTCACACCTTGCCGGGAGGGCTATGTGAGCTTCAAGTTGGTTCTGAGGGTGAAGAGGAGGTCAGAGCCACTCACACTCACCGTTAAGGCCGACTGTTTCGCCATGAGCACTTCAGTTCAAGTTGCGAATCCAGACGGAGGCCTCAGAGAGATCAACTCCAACCACGAAGACACTGTGGACTTTGGAAAGGTCAGCACACTTTCACATCACAGACATTAGTACTCTCATGCGTGATTGCAGGCATTTACGTGTTAAGTTTAAACACGACAATCACCTTTGTTCTCGTGTGTACTCTGTTTGTAGGTGGGGATTTCAGAGCAGTCCACCTTTAATCTTCTGGTGTCCAATCTGGCAAGATTCAGCCTGGAAGTGGATTTTGACCTAACAGGTCCCAGTGACCTGCTGAAACACTTGGAGGCAAAACCACAAAATGCTACTATTGAGGTTGGGAAGCAGCTGCAATCATCACTCTTCTTTTGTGCCCGGAGCAATTGTAACCTCCACGATGTCAGACTGAGTATCAAGGTGAGATGCTGAACACCTGGATAAAATGTTATGATGGTTTTTACACAAATATCAGTGGTTCTAGAAACAAATACCAAGTCCAAAATTTTGACATTGTAAGACCCTGACTTTGTCTTAAAAGCTTAAAATCCAGTCAACAACTACATCTTTAAAAAAATATAAATATAAGATATTAAAAAGGGACAGCTTCAGTCCTGAAGCTGATATTCTTCAGTCCTCATTCTCTCCTGTATGTTCTCTCTTGTCTCATGTCAATAGGTAAAGCACGGGCCAACATTTACCTTTGCCATTAAAGGCAGAGCTGTAGCACCAAGCCTAGAATTCTCCTTCACCAAATTCAACTTTGGCAGGTGCTTCCTGTACTGTCCTGGCATGGTGCCGCCCTCCCAGACTCTCGTAATCAGCAACAAAGGCGAACATGACATCAGGTAGTTATATGTGTGTGTCTGTCTGTTTTTTTTCTCCATGTGTTTAAGGTCACAGTGTTTACTGCATAAAGATTTGTTTTATTCTACTCAGAATGTGAGAGTTAGAAACCTGCTCCAATTTGAAAACATCCTGTGCTCCACTTTTCCTTCCTCAGTGTCCAGTGCCAGTTCAAGAACACCTCTTACCTCGAGATAGACTTCCAAGCAGATATTTTGTCCTCTGGTGCTGCGGTGGAGGTACCAGTCACCTTCTATCCCCGTGAGGCATGTCGATACCATGAAAAGCTCACCTTCATCTTAAACAGCTGCATCACGAAAGAGGTGGACATACTTGGGCAAGGCATCGAGATGAAGGTGAGAAAGATCTATCAATCTATCACTACTTAAGTTTTTCAAAAGCCTCTGTCCTGCAGGAGAAAGGCTGCCCTCTCATTTATGGTTTTGTGTCCCATACAGGTTTCCCCATGCTTTAATTAGGTTAAATGATTGTATGGTGAAATGGATAGGCCATTTGACTATATAATCTATTAAAATATGATGTATATGCTGTAATTTAATTTTCCTTCACCTGTTTTATTTTGTCCCAGCTGGAAGTGGAGGATCCAAGGCAGAGGAAGGTGAAACTTGGATCTCTGATGTTGGGTCAGACGGTGAAAAAACAGGTGGTCCTGGTCAACCGCAGCCCTTTGGATCTTACCTTTACCCTGCTTCTCAACACATACACACCACTGGACCCAAAGGTAAGAGAACACACACACACACACACACACACACACACACACACACACACACACACACACACACACACAATGATGATCAGCGCTTCACATACAGGCAACACTTACATCCTTGCTTTTCCTTCCCTTTCCTCTGCTCTCCTCTCCTCCTCTCTATTTTACTCTACTCCTTCAGGACCTGTCCTTCTGTCCAGCAGGGGAGCAGAAATTGAAAGCCAGTGGTTCTTGTAATGTTTCAATCCAATTTTCACCTCGTCAGCATGTACGTCCCTTCAAGGCTGAGCTGCAGGCAGAGTTTGCAGGCCTGTTACACCCCCTGCTGACCATCGAAGGCTGTTGTCAGGTAGCCTGTGAACTTTTTATAAGATGATGCATGTGTTTGCCTTAAGCACTAAATTCTATTCTTAAGTAAATTTATCTGTATTGCAACTCTTCATATGGTCTGATAACAATAAATGTTAAGGTTTGTTCTTAAATCTACATGTTGAATGAATTCCTAAGTAGTTCCAATTTAAACTGTCAGGGTGTGGAGGTCCAGCTGGACCAGGACCACCTTGCTTTTGGAGCTGTAGGTCAGCGCTGCCAGGCCAGGAAGAGGATTGTCATGATGAACACTGGAGACATTGGTGCCAGGTAAGGTTAGAGACTATACGGCATATTATCCAGTGTGATACTTTTCTGTTTATCCATCTGAAAACTTTTGTGGAAACACACAAATATTACTGTAATACAGACATACACATCCATCTTCAGACAGATACACAATATTGTTTTATTGTGACCCTGTCTACTTTGTCACTAGGTTCCACTGGAAAACAGAGAATTTTCCTCCAGAGTTGTCCATCTCGCCGGCTAAAGGCTACATCTGCCCGGGTATGGAGGTTCCTTTTGATGTGACCTTTGCCCCCGAGGAACTGAGTAATGACAAGAGATATGAGAACCTGTCTTGCTTTGTCGAGAGCTCCTCCTCACCCGTCACCCTCACTGTGACAGGTTCCTGCATTGTAGCTTCCACCAGCAAAGAGGTTTGACTGATGCACTTTTCTTTTTGTTCAGATACACAGTGTTGAGTACTGAACTGGAAAAAAATCTACAATATTTATTTGATCATTTGAAAATGACTCATTTGGGGGTTTGTATGTGATGAACAGTAGGGGAAATAATGCATCACATTTACTGTATGTGCTCTGGATTTTCAAAAATGACATTGATCTACAGTGTAACATGGCAGCTACAGGGCAAAACAAGGTGACCTACATATTTCCCTAATGAGAGCAGACATAATTTGAGTTATATCCTCATGGTTAGATTCTTATTACCGTCACAATTATAAAAATTAAGCAATGGTAATATACATTGTGATATGTATGATATGTACCACAGCATTAACAATATATTCTTTCCTTTGACTATTTGTACAAAAGAAAAGATGGAAGTTATTTCAGGGTGACAGAGGAATTACACAGCTTGTTCTTCAAAAAAAACCTTAGAGAATGAGTGATATTCTCCTGCTTTAGAATAAGTTGAAGGCGATTAATACTGTAGTTCTTTTTGATAATGGTTTCAGTGAGAATTATTACTTATAATCTAACTCTCTGCATGCCATCTATTTTATCTATTCTACCCGTTGTAACTGTTCCCTTCTGCTGTCCTATTCTTGTCTCCAGGTGATAAATTTTGTATGCCCAGTACGTGGCTCTCACACCCAGACCCTACCCGTGTCCAACCCCACAAACCAGCGTTGCAGCATCAGGCCTGTCATTGAGGGCGAGCAGTGGAACGCTGCGCCTTGTGTGACTCTTGACCCCCTGCAAAACAAGACGTATGAAATCACCTACCAACCGCTGACCATGACTGCTGATGGAAAGAAACACCTGGTAGAGGAGCACTAACATATAAACACAACCAACCAGTTATTTATTTGTAGTTTCTTTTGTGCATACTCAATGCAATGCAGTCTATATGAAAAAATATTTCAGATAACAAAATGAAACGGTATAAGTAATGAAGTGTGACATTGACTTAATCCCAGACATTAACTTGTCATATCTCCCTTTTTTATGTTCTCAGGGATCTGTCTTTTTCTCCTTCCCTGATGGGACAGGCATGCTGTACTCCCTGCAGGGAACTGCTGATCCTCCCAAGGCAGAGGACACCATTGTACATGAGCTACCTGCCAAGACTCAACACACACAGTTGCTCCCTGTGCACAACTGGCTCTCTAAGCAACAGCGGTAAAACCCACACCACCACTATCCTAAACCATATGCAACTCTAAATGATAACAATAATAATATGTTTTCTAAACCTGCAATAATATAATATTTATTATTCAATATATTATATGTATTTTCTCGCCACCTGAGGCCAGAGGAAACAAGTTGTAAACACACGAGTGACATCTCTTACCAAATTAATTACTTGTTTTGGATAATAAAGTTAAATCTGACTTGATTTGATTACCTTTTAAGGTGATATGGCAAAATTGCAAAAAACATTTACCTGTGTATTTGTTATTATGAAAATATGGATCATAGCAGCAAGTCCATTAGGTTTTTTTGTATTACGGTAAGAGTACAGTGTGTGACTGACACAAAATTTTCCGTAACCCATATGAAAAGTAAGTGAGGGAAACGTCTTGCCCCTTTTAATTTAGCAAAAAATCTGCATAACAAAAAGATCACCTCAATGCAGGCTGTGAATGACGTGAGGAGGAACACACAGCTGTACAGTAGAGTCATGAGTGTTTGTGTTTTCTCAGGTTCCGCGTTCTGATAGAGATACTGAAGCCCGACAAAACAGATGCTACAGTGTCTCTCAAGGGTCTAGAGTACATTGATGTCCCTGCTCTGGCCAAGAGAGAGTACAAGATGTCTTTCTTTACATACAGAGAGGGGCAGTACAACACTAAGGTCTAATGACACACACACACACACACACACACACACACATTTGAGATCAGATCTGAGTCTTGTCCTCACATCAGCCTTTATCTCTTTTCCTCAGGTGACATTTCATAATGAGGTGACAGATGAGTACGTGTTCTACCTCGTTACCTTCAAAGCCACATCTCCAGGAGTCCTGTCCACCATTGAGTTGGTGACCACTGTCCGTCGGACGGCCTCGGCCACCGTGCAGGTGGAGAACCCCTTGACCACAGCTACCTGCCTCACCACTGAGTGTAAATGTACTGACATCAGTATCCCATCTCAGCACACTGTGCCAGGACAGTCCAAGGTGATAACAGAGTACATCTTTTCCTATACTGTAAAAAAAACTGCAGCGTGCCCAGCAAACTTTAATTGACACACTGTGTGTATGTGTGTGTCCTCTCTTTAGGGTTCTCTGAGCTTCGAGTACCAGCCTCTGCGTGCAGGCGAGTCTACAGCCCGGCTGACTCTGTGTAGTAATGTTCTGGGCTACTTTCACTACAATCTGCTTCTCAGAGCTTTGCCTCCACCACCAGAGAAAACCGTCTTCTTCAACACTTCACTGGGCAGCAGCCACTCAGTTCTTGTTAAGTTCATCAACTACTCCCGCTTCAAAACCGAGTACTCATGCAAGGTAACAAAATGTCCAATGCCTATAATGACTGAGGAATTTAAGGTGCACATCATGTTCTGTGATACTGTATGTATGTTTACCTGATCTTCATTTTCTCATTCTTTAGCTTTTACTAATAGATACTGACACTGTACAGTGTCACTGTATATAGTAAGAGAGTGTAGGAACATATTTATCATGAAGACTATGTTTGTTGGATTCATTGAAAAACTGAAAAAATAGTGTAAACAAATAATTGAACATTTGAAAATGTTATTTTATTTACTGTAGAAACATTACATTACTGCAAATACCATGTGCTTGAAACATCCACTGAAACCCTGAACTTATCTAGACGTGACCTGGAGGAACTGTATGTGAAAAATGCAAATGTCTGAATCAGGTGGACTCAACATTAAACAGACTGACTCTGCCAGCTCTTCAGTACAAAGTCCATATAATGTCAGATTGAGCTCATGTGTTATTATAGCCGGTCATTGTCCGGGGGAATTCACAGCAAGTAAGTGTTAATGACATTTCTGTCATTTCTCCTGGCTGCTCTACCCAGGCGCCACCCCTCGCCTAAACTGAAGCATTTACATTGGGTGAGAACTTGTCTCACACAGACGATCTCTGGTTGTGTGCTCCATGTGTGAAGGGGCAACTCCTGACAATACCTGGACTGATTCCTGACATTGTCTGGAGTTCATATACCTACTGTAGATACTATACTGTATACTATACTCATCCTTTAAATTTATAAAACAACACAAATCTCTCCCCTCCAGACTGATTGCCCAGACTTCACTGTGGACAAAAGTGTTGGTGCTTCGCCAGGCTTCCAGGCAGGATCAGAGGCCAGCGTGGAGATCTGTTTCGAGCCTCATCAACTGGGGGAGGTGAGAGGCCAGCTCAGCCTGTCCTCAGGAATCGGTGGTGAATACATCTTCCCCTTACATGGGATCTGTCTCCCTCCCAAAGCCCAGGGCCCGTTCAGCATCAGGGCTGGACGCAACGTCACGATCCCATTCAAGAACGTGTTCCAGCAGACCACCGCGTTCTCTTTTCAGGTAAAGAACCAGCGGAACTTGTTTCTTAAAGGTTTTTTTTTTTTTTTTAAAGCGGCCCAGAGAAATAACCAGATTGAAGAGTGGATTAAAAGTGTGTTGTTTCTGAAGGAGCATTAGTGAAACTGAGAATCAAAGTGATTAATAACATTCCAATACAATCACTGTGCTGAAAGCCCAGACATTTCTTAACTCCAAGGAAAGAATTACTTAGGCTCATTTTCTTTGAGACATTACCACTTGGTCCACTGCCAGCCAGTATGAACAAGCTGATTTAAATTTAACCTGGAACCGTTACAGAGAGTGGTGCAGTCCAGCCTTTCTACTTTCAAAAGACTGGTACTCCTGTTTATCCTGGATACAGCCACAGTCCCTTTCATATCTCCACCTTAAAAAAATGCTTACATTTCTTTGATGTTCTTCACTTATTATTTTATCTGTAATGATCTAACCCAAGCTTTATTGACCCTCATCCTAGGTGGACAATCCCTGCTTCACTGTTAAAGGGGTGGACAGCATCCTCTCCAAAAAGACACAAAACATCCTGGTGTCATTTGAGGCCACTGCAGGAGACTCTGTGGGACCCTGGTTTGGCAAGATGACCATCTCCAGCCAGCGCTCTGAGGGCCACAGAAAGCCCTGCTCATGGGTCTATTACCTGAGGGGCTTCCGCCCTGAGTCATCTTAGAGACAGATATGAACACACACACAAAAAGACAAAAACACACAAAATGCCAGTGTAAATGCACAAAGGCAATCATATGGACTCAAATGTGTTATTTTATTTTTATGATGCTTCAGTTTCATGTGTTGATAAATTATTTAGTCCATGCCTGAGCTACAACATTAATGCCAAAAATACAAGCGGTAATTGTCCTGTGTGTATTAATGTGGTTTTAACAATTAGTTGTCAAAAATGTGTTCATAAATATTTTAATAGTTTACTGAATAAACCTGCAGAGAAAACCTTTCCACGCCTGTCATTGCACTTTCATATCCACATGGGGGCAATCATGTCAAGTGTTTTCACCAACTCTGCTGCTCCAGTGATAAGGGAAGATACCTAATTTTACCTTTTTTTCTTTTCTTTTTTTTGGGGGGGGGATTTTGGCTTTTGGCCATCCTGATAACCCCCGAGTGTTCAAGTGTCAACTTTCCACCAGGAGTTAATTTGTCCAAACCACCCTGTGTGCTGTTAGACACCTGGCACATTGTAGCTTGAGTAGCTACTCAACTGAAAGGGCAGAGCTGGGGGAGACTTACCAAAGGTTAGATCTGTCATCACACACACACACACAAACACACACACACACACACACACACACACACACACACACACACACACACACACAGAGAGAGAGAGAGAGAGAAACCTCTAATGAGGAGCTGGAGTGACATCCTCTGATCTCCTCATTGGGACACAGCAAACCACATAAAGGCTGTTGACCCACACCTACTACTTCTTTTTAAAAGAAGGAAGGGAAATATAGAATCAGATTAGATATTAAACAAGAGAGTGAACAGAGTGGATGCAATCCCATTCCTTAGATCCCTCAGCTTGCTTTTGGACAATGAGCCTAGAGGAGTGGTGGTTGCTCTATTCCAAACAGTCCGAAGTGGTTTTGCTTCACAGCAACATTAATAGACATCAACTGACTGACCAGGAGACCCAGACCCAAGATAAGGCAAAAAACACACACAACAAACTATATTTTTACATTTCAGTATATAGAGTGTGTTCACTTGAAATATAACTGCACCAAAATAAAAAGAAAATGTAGTGTAATAGTACTATATGAGACAGTGAAGAGCAACAAAGTCACTATAAACTATAGTCCCTATAATCCCATAGTAACAATTTTCCATTAGATAGATAATATTGTGGGTATGTAGGATATGTAGGATGGGTGGGTATGTTTTGGGGTGGGTGCTGTGATGTAAGAGGGGAGGTGAGGGGTGGGGGCTTCTCTCTCTCCCCCATAGAGCGCAGCATGAGCGCTCCGCAGCAAAAGGATGTGTGAGCAGGCAGCGCGCTACTGTAGGGACGGAGTCCACAAACTGCTTAACAAAGAACAAGCCAAACTTCGAGCCCAAGAAAACCGCGAGCAGCCGAAACCCGTAGCCGGTCAGGACAGCGAGTCCGCGACGGCAGCACAGTCCGGAAACAGCGGCGCCCAGCCCGGTGGAATCGACGGGCTCGTCCGCTGGATCGTCACCAAAATGAGCGACAACAAGAACATCTCCAGCCGGGAGTACGCCTCCAGCAAGGAGGAGGTGGCCGTGGCACAGGAGCAGTTCTTCGCCCCGGAACCGCGGAGAGGCATCTCCGTTATTTTGGATGTGAGTATGGAGAGCCGCTTGACAGTGGTCAGCCTGACAGGTTGGGGGTGTGAGGGTGCGCGGGATGAAGACATCCTGCGAGCAGTGCGTACGGACCGGTGCAGTGCGCACTTACGCACAGAGACGATCTTACAGTGTATTGCTACGACTTGTAGCTCGAGCGTAGCGGAGCAGGCAGCAGCTTTGCCGGGTAATTGACACTTAAACAGGATACGTGTCAGTCGGGGATCAAACCTGTGATCTCTCTGTGACTTTAACGGTCTCAGAACTGCCTGCTTTTCCATCTTTCTTCTTATTGCCCCGAGCAAAAATTACATGTCGCATCTTCAATACTGATCTCTGAAGCTTGGCATAATTTGTAAACTTTTTTACGATCTGTATAAAAACCCCTCATAAACTCAGGTCAGTGCAGCGAGCTTTACTCTTACTGAAGATTTGATTGTGAGTCCAAAGAAAGTGTGACGCGCACCAACGCACCTTCCCCTTCTCAGTATCTACACTGACAGTAAAAGCAGAATCAGTCAGTCAGTGCTTACACCAGGTTTATCACAACACCTAAATTATTAATGAAAATGTGTCTCTACCATTTTGTATTGATCCCCGTGTTACAGTAATAGCTGATTATTTCCTGCCCCAACATCATATTTTATTTCACGCAGAGGCAGCGGATAAATCTGGACAAATATCCAGCTTTCCTGTTGGAAGAGGCAATTACGCAGCGCAATGTCGATTTAGGTCAGCTCATCAATACTATTAGGTTATTTTTCATCACGGCCCCACTAAAGCTGGTCAACTGTTGTTGTTATTTTAATGCTTTAATTGGGAAGAAAACAAAAGAGAAAAGTAGTTCAGCTTATACAGACCTAGACCCCGACCCAAATAGACTGATAGAGAAGGGGGTCCATGGAAAACTAATTATGATCAAGACCAGAGGGCCGATGTATCCTAGTAGCCCAGTAAACTAATTCTGTTTGTGTGTGAGTGTGCAGAGGGGTTGATGGGGGTGCAGCCAGATCTGCTGCTGATACTCTCTCCTTGAACAAGAGGCTGTCCTCACTGGCAGGTGCAGTACAATGGGGTTTCACAAGCTTTGAACTGGACCCAAAATTGTTTTTTGACCTGTTTCTGATGTGTGACACGGGAACAGCAGGTCTGATTCATTACACCACAGCCTCGGGTAAAGACTGTATTTCTGATGTTTGGGTTATAAAGCAGGATTGTATGTCAAAGATTCTGGTTTTCAGGACATGTGTGTGTATATATATATGTGTGTGTATATGTATATCTCTTTTTGTAATAAGTCTCCACTCATTTCTCATTGAAGTGTGTTTTCTTTACAGTTTACCTTATCCCCTGTGCATGACTGGTCTGTGCATGACCATCTGCTCTGCTCACACTGAGTGGTCGATAAGCAATCCAAGCCGCGCCTTCTGACATCAGCAGCAAACTCATTCTGGCATTTTCTCTCCCGCTCACTTTCTGAATTGACTTGAACTTTGAAATGTTAATCTTTTTTGCCATTTTCCAATATTATTGACCCGAGCATTATTATCATGGTGAGGAAGTCCACACCAAAGGGATTCAAGTGATTGCTGCGTTGTGTGCGTGTGTGTGTGTGTGTGTGTGTGTGTGCCTGCAGGCAGCGTTCTCCTCAGTATCCCCTCTGCTTGCTTGTTTCTCCTCCTTTGCTATTCTCATCTTCTCCTTCATCTTAACCCTGATGCTCCTTTTTTATGCTCTAAACTCCTTTCATCGTTTGTCCCCTCTACTCCTCGTCTCTCTCCTGTCCTCCTTTCCTCCACATCCTTCTCATCTTCTTCCTCTCCTCTGTCCTCAGTCAGAAAACATCCATTCTTAATAAGGTTAGGAGGAGGCGACACTCTCCCTCCCTCTGTCCTGTTTCTATTTTCTTCCAACTTCTCTGTTTCTCTCATTTGCTGTCTCTCATTTTCTTCTCACTCTGTGTTTCTTTTACAAGTCCGTACACACACACACACATACACACACACACGCGCACACATACACCGCCTCCTCACCGCGACACTTTCCCTCCTCTCCAAGCCTGTCTTTCTCCAGCAGCTTCAGAGCTGTTTTCTGTGGAGTTGAGTGCGCCCCAGGGTGCAGCCGGAAAGCAGAACAATACAGAACAGCTTGTCATTTGGAACGTCGCTCGTCTCAGCAGTTAATGATTTTCACTTTGGTCTGTTCAGTTGGCTGCAGTCGCTGCCTGAATGCACCACTTATTTATAGTTTTACAAGCTGAACAGTTGTAGAGTAAATGATCTCTACATTAGTTTATGTGTATTTGTTGTTCAGAAACCGTGAAGAAGTATTTTGTTAAACTTTCATCCTGATGAGTTTGAGGTGGACAGCAGTCATGTTGTTAGGATTGCAACTTACAATTATCTATTAACCTGAAGACTATTGCCTCAATTAATTAAGTAATTAAGTAATTAAAAGTCAAAAAAACAATTTTTCCCAGAATGACTTGTTGAAATAGTTTGTTGTATCCAACCAACAGTCCCAGTTCCCAAAGATGTTGGATTTCCTGTCATATGTGAGAGAGAAAAGCATCAAATCTTCACATTTCAGCACCGGGAGATAAAGAACGTTTGTTATTTCTGCTTCAATAATGAATCAGTTTTCAAAATAGTTGCAGATTCACTTCCTGTTGATCGATTAATTGATTAATTGTTTCAGTTCTGCTTGAAATATTGGATGTAAGAGTTATAAAAGCTATAAGTTATAACATTTTTTTAAGTTTCTTTCTTTTGACATTTCCATTTACTGTTAATAAGGAAAGTCAGTGTAAAATCTTTAGAGGTTTTTGTTTTTCTGACAGTTGCATATTTTTTCAGGTGTAAAATCTTGTAAACTCTTCTTTGTGCTATTCTCATGTGTGATGGAGGGAAACCCGTGAACTTCACAGACTTTTGCAGAACGGGGCTCAGTTAAAATGATACTCCACCCCAAATCTATCCTTTCATCCCCTGTAGGTGTCAGTTTGTCAGTTTGGTCCTTCACAAAGAACAGGTACAGCTACACATGACAAGTAAAGAGAGGAAGAAAGTAACCAGACATCCGAAGAACGGTTTCAAAACACGTTCCTCCTGCACAATCCACTTCACCTCTATCCACCTGTATGCTCCAGCGATCATAGTTTCCAAACAATATGGCTAAATACACTGCTTATGTTGCTCACAATTAACACCATCAATGCATGAAATTAATTCATCAATATACTCTCACTCTCTCACACACACACACACGCACACACACACACACAATGTTCTGTAACTCTGTGCATCTCCCTCTCGTCTGTCTTTCTGTCAGCCTGTCTCTCCATTTCATCTTTTGCGTCCCCCTCACTGTGTGTATCCGTCTGTCTTCCACCGTGTCATTGTGCTGTTTTCTGGCAGTCGTTGTCAGGAGGAACAGTTCACACGACGCTCTGAAACACTGATGAAAGAACCAGACCTGCCACTTTCAATTCCACAGGGAAAGAAGCTTTCACTGAAGCTATAAATTAGCTTGCAGCATATTGTGTGTGTAAGTATGTGTGTGTGTGTGTGTCTACATACAGACAGGTGGCAAATTAAGGGAAAAACCAGCATTCAGTGTCTTAGTAAGGTGTTGGTCCACCTCGTGTCACCAGGACCGCTCCACTGAAGTCTCTGAACTCTAAACTGGAGGGCTGAACACCATTCTTCCAAAAGACTGGTGACTGTGAAGGCCACAGCATATGATCCACATCATTTTCATACTCTAGAACTGTGACCCTCAGCGCCCTGTGGTTGGGGGGGTGTCGTCCTGTTTCTCCTCGTCTTTTCCAGGCTTTTCCTTTCATTTGTAACAGGTCTGTACACGCAGGGTGTGCACACATACACAGCACTTTTCACACACCTTTCAGTCCTGTGGCTCCTAACAAGTGTCATCACACAACACTGCATGCTGCACTATCTGTTTGAGGCACACTATGTTTCCAAGTGTGTGTGTGTGTGTGTGTGTGTGTGTGACTCTGTCTCAGTGTGGACTTTTTTATTACCATGTCTTCACCTTCTGGGTTGTGTTTTTACTGAATCGTTCTGTTCTACTCAAAAAGCAGCGCAGTGTGTGTGTTTAACCACCTGTCACCTCGGGGGGAAACTTCCTCATTAAAGTAACAAATGATACCAGCCTCAGTCTGGAGATGCGGCATGCTGATCGCTGGTGATTGTTAGTGATGTGCCTGCCAAAAAACTTTTTATTTCTTTTGTTAAATTTCCTCGACAACCACTCAACCAAAACTGAGGACAATGTGACACTTTCAGAAAAGACATAAGAACAGAACATGGACGTTCTGCACTGAACATTAAAACAGCTGCATCTAAAGAAAATGGTTCAAAATTTAGTTGGGTGTTAATGGATAGTAAATTGAGTTTGTGGCTGACAACATAACATGACATTGTTTTCAACAACCCAACCTTTATCCTGCTGACACTAAATGAACAATATGCAAATTACAATTTCTGTCATGTGATTATAAATGATGCTTTTAAATGAGTTATTTGTAAGTTTTGCTATTGCTACATAGCCAACATTAGCATTCCCGGCTGCCTTTACTCACGAAGGACTGTCTGCAGTGTTGGAAAGCAACGCCAACATTAAGTCTCTATCACGTCATTGCTTCTACTAGTCGCTGCTGAAACCTTGGCATACACTGACTGCACTGTCTCGTTTTGTGTTCACAGATATTCAGAAGAGCCGACAAAGATGGTGAGTGAATTCATTGACTATCCTCAGTTCTCTCTGCAGACGTGGAAATGCCTTAAAATGTTCACATAGTGTACTAGATAAAAATGATACATTACAGAATTACACATGATGTAACATGATTGTAAAATGATGTATGTTGATATACGGTTTGATTTGAAGTGATTTCAGAGGAAACACAGACACATGATACGCAGTACGCATGGAGTCAATTAACAGATCTCTCTTAAGAAAATGCATTTTTGAACATTTTTCTCATGAAGTTTTGTACTTTAATGAAGAAAAAAGGCAAATGTGTTTCTGGATTGTCTGTCTCTGTGTCTGTTGGATGGAGATCCAGATGCAAATTACAATTTTTAAACACTTATTGGTGACATACTACTCACACACAGGTATAACTAACAACATTAAGAATGGCTGCATTCCAATCAGGTGTATTTCAGGTATTGTGCGTACCTGCTCACTGGTATAACTTGCTGATGCACCTAAATGGGGTCACACCTTCGCTTATTTCAACAATGACAAGTCAAAACGTCCATCGTAAGCAAGACTTTCAGTGAAATAATAACTTCAGAGGCTTGTTTAGCTTTGGCGGAGATATGTTGTTTGAATGTTTTCTAGTTCAGTGCTGGTTTCATACAGTTTGCATCTTCAGTTTTGCCTCCAGGGACAAAGATTTACAAGAAGTAAATCTAACAAACTACCTTGTTGGGAGCCATTCTGGCCTCCTTGGATTGGTTTTTCAGACAGATGATTGTTTTTCAACACAGATGTGAGATGTGTTGTCTCTGGAGCCGTTTGTGTAGCAGGAAACTACCGAGCGATGAGCCCTGTCTGTCTGCCTGTCTGCCTGTCTGTCTGTCTGCTGCTGCTGCTGCAGTGTGCTGTATTTTTAGCATGTTGGGACATTAAAGTGTTTTCAAAGGGGAAAGTTTATATTACTGTGTAGCTGTGCCAGTGAGCAGTTTGTTTATACCCTCTGGCATCCCATGCACTGCTACTTTCTCTTTCTCTTCATCTTCTCCTCATCTCTATCTCCCCTTTACATCTCTTCCTGCTCTATCCATCTTCCCTCTTTCTCATCCTCTCCCTCTTCGCCCCTTTTATCCTATCACTGTGTCGTTGACAAAAAAGAATTTGGCTAATGAGGAAACAGCCTAAAAAGCTTAGCTTTCATAGCAGCCAGATGGCCATTTGCTTTTCTAGTGTGTGTGTGTGTGTGTGCGTGTGTGTGTGTGTATGTGTGTGTGCGTGTGCATGTGTGTGTGTGTGTGTGGAGGGGTTTCTCTGTTACCCAGGCTTATTACTCTTTTGCCTTTACTCCAGCTGTAAAGAAGATATCTGTTCACTTTAATGTGTGTGTGTGTGTGTGTGTGTGTGTGTGTGTGTGTGCAGATACACACTGTGTAAAATACATTCATCAGCTGAAGCTGTGGACCAGCGGACATAGACAGGTTTTACAGATGATTCAACTGTTGACATCACTGCGGTAGATGACATTCTTATCTTGCCCGCTGTTATTCTGAGAGATGATTTGTGCCTTTACAACAGTCTGTGGCAGCATTTTAAATGCTCCCCTGCCTAATTACCAACTGCTCAGATACACGATGTCAGTTAAAAACATAACAAAATTTACATTTTCATTTATTTCAGGCTAATCTTATCCTGAGCAAAGACCAGATGTGCCAGCGATAAAGCAGCTCTTTCTCCATCACATACGAGCTGCAGGATTATGTGCAACTTCATGATAACAGTCTCACACAGCAGCAAACTGTCTCTAAAGAGCCAGATATGAGGGTGCTTGGGTGAGGGGCTACATAGGAAGAGAACAGAGAGTGGGAGTCAGTGAGAAAAAAAAAAAAGAGGGAAGAAGGGGAAACGATGGTTATTATGGAGAAATGTAGTTATTTGATGTATGGAGCGCAGGATGGAAAGAGGGAACCAGTGAGCACAAGCTGAAGAAGAGCTATTTTTATCCTCCTCTCTCGTGGGAGAAGAACGGGGAACTGTTTTAATGAGTGAGAGAGAGAGAGAAGGGCATCTAACAGGGAGAGGAGAGAATTGTTAAAAAGAAAAGAAGGTGCAGGGAGGGAGAGATTGACGGAGGGAACGGCAGGAGGTGGCAGAGTCTAAATGGGAGAGGAGCAGAGAGAGAGAGAGAGAGAGAGAGAGAGAGAGAAAGAAGAGCAGAGTGAGGAGAGGAAGAGGAGCGAGGGAATAAGAGAGAGTATTGTATATCTGACAGCGGGGCAGTAATTAAGGTTTAATTGGCCGAGTTCTGTCTTTACATTCATAGCACAGATTTCAGTTCACTTCCTGCCCCCGAGCTGCTGAAACAGCGAACCAGGGAATATGTGTGTGTGTGTGTCTGTGTGTGTGTGTGCATTAGTGTATGTGGATTATGCATCCACCTCTACTGCAAATACAAGTAGCATGCACTGGTGAGCATTTCTTGTATGTGTTAGTGTATAATATGAGCATGAGTGTATCAGCATGCCTGAGCTTCTTTGCATGTTTATGCGTGTGTGTGTGTGTGTGCGTGTGTGTGTGTGTGTGTGTGTGTGTGTGTGTGTGTGTGGATGCTCTGTGTGTGTTTTTTTGTGATTATCATGGCTGACTCAAAGACATTGTTATGTGGCTGTTGGAGTGTTTCAGCAGCCAATAATTCTCTGAAATAGTTGCATCATTTGACAGCACTTAGTTTACTCTTTGCACTCGCAGCAGCACCTTTAATATGCCACAGTCCATTGAGCTGCTACAGTTTGAAACTTAATCTTCGCAAAGTAAAATGGAAATGTTATGAAATAACAACTCAGGGGAACCGTTTTAATTGCATATTTTCTGTAACTGCTGAGTGAACTCATTCAGTTACACTTCTAAAAATGAACTCAAACTGCATTTGATCCTGAATCCTCCTGTTACCTGTTAAAGGAACTATTTGTAAGGTTTGCTATTGCTACATAGCCAACATTAGCAAGAGTTGTCTCCAGCGGTGGAAAGCAACTCCAGGGCGTCTATCACGTCTTTTCTTCTACTGCATGCTAACCAGCTAGCTCCGGCCAGGAGCTAGCCTCCAATTGGCCCTGAAGACGTAGCGCTGCTCAGACTGCGTATCATAACCTCTTGTATTACAAAAACAACGATGGCTGAAGCTCTTGTCTCGTGACAATCATCACCACCCACTACCAGCACGAAACCACGATCAGCAGCAGAGACAACTTACAAACAGCAAATAGCCCCTTTAAATGATAAGAAGATAAATGTCAAAATCTTTTATCCATATAATTTAAGATGTTTAGCTACTAAAATAGTTTCTAACATTTTTCCCTTAAATAGACTGTTGATCCGTACGTTTAAATACAAAACGATCAATAACATTAATAATGGCCTTTTTCTAAGTTACTGATAATATCAACAAATGTCTCTGCTTTAAGCCCTGACAGTGAGCCAACGGTCACACGCGTCACGCCGCTTGGTGTTTATTCGCTAAATCCATTTCACTTGCACTTTTGTACTTGTACTTGTTGTAATTTATACGCCACTTCAGCCCAGTGTAAAAGCTTTTTTGCAATATTTCAACTTTTTGGATGGAAGTCAACATTAATGCACGGTCTTCGCTTTCGCCTTATTTATGACAAGTGATGATGTCTGCTGTGAAAAAGGCCTGTTTTTCATATTTACTGTCCACCGTTTTATTTGAGCTTCTGGTCTCTTAATGTCAAATTTATATAATACACTTAAAAGTTCCTACAATGTAAGGAAGAAATAATCAGCCTCCAGGGCATGTACACTATTTTTCTAAAGACAATTGACAAGCAAAAATGATAAATTATAGTTGTGCGTCACCTGAAAGTGTTGATGCAAAATGACACTGTCCAAACTCTGCTCACTGTAACTATTGAATATTTGTGAGATGAGTAGTGAGCGAGGCGTCGACACACAGGAGAGGTCTAACGAGGCGATGTAAGTGAAAACACCTGTCTGGACCTTTACCTGAGCCTCTGCACACCTGATCTAATTAAGGGGAAAAAAACATTGTCCTGGACACTTAGGGTAGAGAGAGTCTTACACAGCCAGGGACACATGGAGGAGTTTTTGGATCTGTGTTTCTCCTCAGTTAGCAGGTAGGTTGTTGTTTTTTTTTTTCCCCTCTTGCTTCTTGGCTCGTGCCTCATCAGCCATCTGCTAATTATCGTCACAGTCTTCGACATGAAGACAGAAAGCAGACGGAGTTTAGGGGAGGCTTGTTGATCCACGCTGTCAAGAGCAGACAGAATTACAACATTACAGCTAAACGCAAATAGGAGGGTGCAGATTCTTCTATCCAGTGTGGGCAAACAGAGCTTGTGAGCAACTGAGGAGGAAATGTAAATGTTGTGAGAACGAGAATCGGTTTTCTTTTCTTTTCTCTCCTCAGTCTCATCTGAGAAACCTGGTGCTGACACATTATATTTACATCCATAAAAACAGGGATTCCTTCCTGGTGATTTGGTGTAATTACAGACTTTTGAACAGTCTCACCTTTCTGCCACATAATTCAGAAAGACAGCTTTTCTGTTCCCCACTCAAATCAGACCTTTGAATTGTTCTTGTCTAAATCAAATCTCACCTCAATATTCAGTTTTAACAGGAATGATGTCAAATAGCAAAAAAGAACAAAAAGAGCTAGCATCTCACGGTGGTATTTATTTTAAGGATACCTCAGTAATATGTGACAGGTAGAATGTTATATTGATTTCTCTGTCTAATTAATCAGATTTATGCCAGCCATAATAAGCCTCTGTTATTCAGACTGCAAACGGGTCTTTCCTAGTTTTTTCTTGAATATTGACTTTACTTTTTGTGGCAGTTAGTCATCATTAACTGATTGCTGTGCACTCTGGATTCATCATTATGTAATATCACTCTCTCAGGGGATATATACATAATTTATGGTCGGTGCTGATTTACTGGCTGTCTCGCAAGATTTGGCAACTTTCAAGATTTTTTTTTTCAAAAAAGAG